CAATTTTGAAATATAGATTGCATAGACTTAATTATATGCTTCAATTATGCAAATGTAATAAGTGCAAATTTACACCTACAAATGCAGATTGAGACACAAAACTGTATGATTCATTATTGTTCTATCAGAAGTATAGTGCTCACTTGCAGTGCAATTATTGTAGGACTGATTAGAGGGGGAAAGTTGAAATAACATTCAGGAGCTGTAGGGAGCTTAGAAGGCCTGTGCATTAGCTCAGTTGGGTGCTGGCCCCCTTTGTATCCCATTGTGGTTTCTCTGCACGTGAGCAGTATGCATGCACAGTTGGACTTAGATGAGCTCTCAGAATTTCAATCAGAAGGAAGATGAAATACTACTGTAAGTTATTCAGTGAGGTTCATAGGAAAACTTTGAAGAGAGATTCAAGTTAACCTAAATGTTTAGAAAGGGTCTCTGTAGCAGAGGCAGAATAATAGAACAATGCTGCTGATTGTTGTTGCTGCACTTGTATTTAGGCCGAGTTTTATTCACTGTGTGTTAAAAAACATTTCAAAAGTAACCTAAATATTGAAATAATAAAATACAGTTGAGTATACTCAACTTATACAGTACAGTATTTTGTTAATATACAATTTAATTTGTATTTTCTTATTTAACTGAATTAATTTTCACAGTGCTGCAACTCTCACATCGACAAACATTATTTTGGAGTTTAACATTTTAAAGTAGAGGTGATTGATCCTACCTTTTCAGGAAGCTTAGAGTTTTTAAACCCAGTAACATATTATTTTTGTACATTCCTGGAGAATTGCAGCATGTATGCTGTCCTGTTTACATACGATCCATCTCACTATTTATGGTCAATTTTTTAGCAGGATGGCATCAAGTGTCCCTGCCCTGTGAGCTCCTCTTCACAGATGAAGAGTTACACTCATGGAAGGGGACTCTTTATAGAGGAGCAACATAGGATACCACCCACAGATAATAATGAGAGATTATGTTGTGATAAAAGATTACACTAAACAGTTCAGAGTATATTCGCGAAGGCTTTCACGGCCGGGATCTAATGGTTGTTGTGGGGTTTTCGGGCTCTTTGGCTGTGTTCTAAAGGTTGTTCTTCCTAACGTTTCGCCAGTCTCTGGGCTGGCATCTTCAGAGGACAGCACTCTGTGCTCTGGTATAGTTGCATTGGGAGTGCAGTATTTATGGCTGTAAGATAGGCTTTTGTCTTTTTCTATAGATGGGTGATTAGTGTGTATTGTTGTGGGTGTATTGTTGTGCTAAGGAGAAGAGATTATCTGTTCCTGTGGTTGATGGGTGTCATTAGCTGGTCTTTTGTGTGTAGTGATCCCCTGTCCTTGTGGCTGGGTAGAGTTCGTTGACCTTTTGCACACTGTATTTTTGAGAGCTGGGAGCCAAGTTTTGTTGAGCTTCACACTTTCCTCTTTTTTGTTGAAGTTTTGCTGGTGCTTGTGGATTTCAATTGCTTCCCTGTGCAGTCTGACGTAATGATTGCTGGTGTTGTCCAGTATTTCAGTATTTTGGAATAGAATTTCATGTCCAGTTTGTTTCAGGGCATGTTCAGCTACTGCCGATTTTTCTGGTTGTTTTGTCTGCTGTGTCTCTCATATTCTTTGATTCTGGTGTGGATGCTTTGTTTTGTGGTTCCAATATATACCTGGCCACAACTGCAAGGTATCCGGTATACTCCTGCAGTAGTGAGGGGGTCCCTTCTGTCCTTTGTTGACCGAAACATTTGTTGTATTTTTTGGTGGACTTGAATACTGTTTGTAGGTTGTATTTTTTTCAAAAGTTTCCCCATGCGGTCCGTGACCCCTTTGATGTATGGCAGAAATACTTTATTTGTGGGTGGCTGTTTTTCTTCTTCAGTTCAGTGTTGTTTTCTTGGTTTGATGGCTCTTGTGATTTCATTTTTGGAGTAGCCATTTGCCTGTAGGGCCAATTCAGATGGCTGAGTTCAGTGCTAAGAAACTGAGCTTCACAGTTCCGATTTGCACGGTCTACCAGTGTTTTGATTATGCCTCTTTTTTGCTGTGAGTGGTGGTTGGTGTTTTTGTGTAGGTACCGGTCTGTGTGGGTGGGTTTCCTGTAGACCTTGTGTCCCATTTGGAGGTCAGTTTTGCGTAGGACCATGACATCTAAGAAAGGGAGTTGGCCCTCTATTTCTTTTTCCATGGTGAATTGTATATTTGGGTGGATGCTGTTGAGATGGTTGAGAAATTCTTCCAGTTTTTCTTCACCTTGACTCCAAATTGCAAAGGTGTCATCCACATATCAGAACCAGACTGTGGGTGCAAGGGGTGCGGAAGCCAGGGCCAGTTTTTCAAAATGCTCCATGTAGAAGTTTGCTATAACTGGGCTGAGGGGCTGCCCATGGCCACTCCATCTGTCTGTTCATAAAATTCATTATCCCACTGGAAATAGCTGGTTGTTAGGCAGTGTTGGAACAATACACACTAATCACCCATCTACAGAAAAAGACAAAAGCCTATCTCACAGCCATAAATACTGCACTCCCAAAGCCAACTACACCAGAGCACAGAGTGCTGTCCTCTGAAGATGCCGGCCACAGAGACTGGCGAAACGTTAGGAAGAACAACCTTCAGAACATGGCCAAAGAGCCCGAAAAACCCACAACAACCAGTTCAGAATATGGTAGTTCAGTGGTGCCCTGCTAGACAATGACCTCGCAAAATGACGAATCCGCATGACAATGAGTTTTTGCGATCGCTATAGAGCTTCACAAAACAGTGTTTCCTATGGGCGATTTTCGCTGGACGATATTTCGTCCGTGCTTCACAAGACTTTTCTTTTCAGGACTGATGCTTCGCAAGACGACGATTTTCATAGCTCGGTCCGCGACTCGCAAAACGGGTGTTTTCGGGACCGATGCTTCGCAAGACAGCGATTTTAACAGCTGATTGGCACTTCGCAAAATGGCTTCCCTATGGGCGATTTTGGCAAAACGACTACGATATTCCCCATTGGAATGCATTAAATCGATTTCAATGCATTCCAGTGGGGAAACGCTTTTCGCAAGACAATGTTTTCACAAGACAGCGATTTCAATGGAATGGATTAACATCATCTTGCGGGGCATCACTGTTCTCTAGTTGATGCAGAGACGTCCACTGAGGATGTGTTTTGCCTTATTATTGCCCAGACCAGATGACAGGAAATATGTGACTTTAGAGAAACTTGGATCCTGAAGCTTTCTTTCATCAGTCTTGTTTTCTGCATCCGCCCACATCAGATCCTCGGCATGAGCTCCATTAGTTTCTTGGTGTCTTTGGCTTTCTTCCTTTTCACCTTTCTAGAGCTCTGTTGTTTCCTGTTCTCTGCAGCCTTCTTCTTACTCTATTTTGAAACAAGAACAACTTTTTTTAAAAAAAGAACCCAACTTTCCCTTTCTTTTCCACTCTTCTGTCATCATTTCTGTCTCACATGGCTCTAATTAGGATGAGAAGGCAGGATTTGAAGTCTGCCAAAGCCGGTGGAATACAATCTACGAAAACTGGTAAGGCAAAGGCCCACCACAAGAACAAAATTTCTCGTGTTGATGCAGAAACAGCTGCTTTGCTGACTTTCTTGCAGCTGCATGAGCCCCCCTTCAGGCCCACTCTTAGGTGGCATCCTCGCCTGCTTCCAATGACATCTAGCATCATGCTTGCCCTTAGAGGTCATACAGCAGCAGCTCTTGTCCTCAGTGGTCTCTTTCTGTGCTGTGTATGAAATCAGCTGTCTCGCAGCATGGAAGTCTAGTGGGAGGAGAGAGTCTCTTGCCCTTTCCCTCAACATCTTCCAAGACTACCGAGTCTGCAGGTTTCCTGTCTCCTCCCACTTTTCCTCCCATTTTTTTCCAGATCTGAGGCAAGGCATTATTTTGAAGATTTATTTTATGTTGGTGTAGAATTTCAAACTGCAGTTTTGGTAGGCTTTTCTCATTAAGGAACTTCTGCCCATATTGGGCCACGCTCTAACTCTCTTCAGATAGTCTTGGAGGCCTTTAGCATGCTGTGCTGATGGCTGTACTGTTGCTTATGATTGGGCCCAGGTTATTCTGACCCTCTGGCTAAGCTCCCATAGGTTCTCTGCCACATTCTCACAGGTTCTACATGCCTCACAATGGCACTTGTGGTTTTGTTTAACAATTCATCACAAACATGGTAACTTTTGAATTAGAATTGTTCAGTGTTGAATCGTATTTCAGCAGTAATTTGCTCAATTCACCAAGGTCTCAGGGGGTAGATAGAATTACCCAGAAGTGCAAGCATGCTTCCCTTTCTCAGCGTCCCCCTACAAAGTACTTTCTTTCCATCCAGTGTTTATATCACTAGGGAGAATGGGGGAGGATTTTTGATTGATTGCTATGTTCCATGCCTTGAAGGCAGTGGTTTATCTGTTCCCAGACAGAATTTCTTCCATCATACAGGAGGTAAATAAAACCATTATCTTCAGATCTCTTTCCTTCTTGCTCCTGACACATTCTCCTGATCTCCACTATTCTGTAGGCCAGATTTCACACCAGGTGTCTCTAGTGACTTTTTTGTCCTTTCCATCACATGGAAAGCTCAATGTTCCAGTTCTCCCCTCTGAGCAGGTTACGTTCTCCCATGTGGTGATCTTGCAAAGGTTCTCCCTCCATGATATAAAGCAAGCTCTTCGTCATTTCAGATGTGAGCCTGACAGCCTGTTTGCCACGAGCATATAGTTCGTGGTCCTTGTCAGAGACCAGCTTTGGAAGAATCCATGCCCACCCAAATTTCTTGGTTTCTTTTATATGAAAGGAGGGCCTCTGATTTTTCTATAGCAAGTTGATAGCTGTCAATTTCTTTTTCCCCATCTCTCTTCATTCTTCTCTGTCCTGTGCTTTAGCTAGGAAAAATAAAGTTGAAATAGAGCTTCAGAGCCAATTTAATCCTTTCCAAGTCACATGTTTCCTGCTTTCTGATCTGGGCAGTGATAGGACAAAGCCACTTCTCAGTGGATTCCTTATCTCCACATACCAGAATGAAACCCCACCATGAGGATGGAAAATACTATTTTCTTTTTTCTCTTTTCTCTGCCATTTCAATTTTTGAAAACCACTAGGTTTTAATCAATTAAAATCATTGCTCTGTAGGGCAGAAAGAGTGCTCCTGTCTTTTTAAAATTAGCATTTGTGGCATCATCAATTAAACAGTTCAAAGAATTTATTGCTTCAATTTCAATTTTGAGGATGGTCCATTAGTTTTAAAGAACAAAGTTCGAAGGTGATCATCACCAGAGTCTGCATCAATTTTTTATTAATTGAGTATATCCTTGCTCTGTGTATATCAGTTACGGATAAATTACACTGGAACAAGTTCCTCTCTAAACAAACCATAACTGGAGATTTTAACATATTAGAAAGAAATGCATTGTAGTTCTACAGAGAGTTTGTAGATTACTTCTTGGGTCACAAATATTTTTCTTAGAATGCCTATAAAATAGATTAAAAATGTGATGAAATCCATTTTTTAATTTCTAGGTGGTAAGTTATACCATATGTATTTAAATATAGGAAGCATCATTAGATTCATACTGTTGTGATTTTTCTTTTAAAATCAGCTTAATTGTTTTAGACCTCCTATCACAGTGGTTCTTAACCTTGGATTACTCAGGTGTTTTTGAACTGCAACTCCCAGAAATCCCAGCCAGCACAGCTGGTGGTGAAGGCTTCTGGGAGTTGCAGTCCAAAAACACCTGAGTAACCCAAGGTTAAGAACCACTGTTCAGACTAAATCCATGATTTAGTTCCTACTTTTTGATTGAGAATTTAGTTTAAAAAGACATTAGCAAATCTCCCCTTCGGCATTCTACCCATTCTATTAGTTACTTAGAGTGTTGTTACCCCTTATATTTTTCTGTTATTTATTTGACCCAATTAGGGATGAGTTATTTCGTCAAAGCTTGGCAAAACTAAGAGAACAGATAGTCAAAGCCAATACATTGGTGAGAGAAGCAAATTTCTTGGCTGAAGAAATGAGCAAACTAACAGATTATCAAGTCACGCTGCAGATCCCTGCTGCTAATCTGAGTGCCAATAGGAAGGTAAGAAAACTGATGAATTGTTTTTTTTAATAAGCCTTTGAAAGATTCAAAGCCCTTCAAATTCAGACATAGATCTTAGAAATATGTATGCAATGAGTGTTGTGTATGAGAGAGAGAGAGACTGACAGGTTGGCATATAAGTGAAAGCAGATGTAAGAGCATAAATAAATATAAAAATATAAGAGCATAAATAAATATAAGACCATAGCAGCTGGATGATAGTTGAATGAGTTGGATACCTGGTTGTGGAGCCAGAGGATGGGAGTTTGATTTCCCACTGTGCCTTCCAGAAGAAAGCTAGTCTGTTCAGCCTTGACAAGCTAGAAGGGAATGGTAAACTACCTCTGAATATTGTATACGTAGAACACCCTATAAAGGGTCACCATAAGTCAGAATGAAGTTCATGGCAAGTAATTGTTTTGTTATTATAAGTGTATAAGTATAGGTTCTGTGAATGTTCAGTTTTAGTAAGCTTGTATAAAGCCTATGCATATATGATTAAAATAGTACATTCATAGTTGTGTTGTCTTGATATGTTGGCAAACAATTCTAATGTTTAATTTTATATTGAGGAAATGCTCACTTCTGAATTTATTATTATATTCAATATAGTTTTAATTTAAATTTTTTACCACTGGGGGCTGACTGATACATAGTACATGTCTCATAGGCCAGTTCCATCTCTGAATTCAACCAGGGTACTTTTTTATTGAATCCCAGAGCACTTTTCATTCTGTAGAATATAAAAAGCTAGAAGATTTTCCTCTTGACATGGAAGCTTCATACGTAGGGGGGGTTCGGGCATGGTCACACAGAGATAATTCTGAAACTGTCAGGAAAATGTGTGCCTTCTTTGGATCACCACTGTGTTTTGAAGTAAGTACTGATTGTGGGATGGGAAGGTGATCTGGCTGTGACTTTTGTTATGCTGCTGATCACAAGGATTGATTTGGCTGCTCTGGCTGGCTAGTCAGGAGCCCTTTCCTCCCTCATTGCTCCATATTCATCTCTTCTGAAGCTGCATGCATGGTGGAACAGGACAACCATCTTCAGTAGGACGAATATTTAAGAGTACTCAATGTATGCATTAAAACAGAGAGGTATGTTCACATTTAGGCATCTAAGTAAATTGTTGTCAGCCACAGTTATTACTTGAGTCCAAACTAAGGGCATATAGTACACAGTATTCTAATATATAACTTTGAAAAACTAAAACATTTTGTCAGTACGCATTTTAATCTTATCATTTATTTTATCCCTTCTTTGTTCAGAGAGGAGCAATAGTAAGTGAACCTGCTATTCAAGTAAGAAGAAAAGGGAAAGGTACTCAAGTGTGGACCATTGAGAAGCTGGAGAATAAATTAATTGACATGAGAGATGTATATCAAGAATGGAAGGAGAGAGGCCATGAGGTACTGAACCTCAATTTCAAACATGTCTGAAACATTTCTCGGGACAAAATGTTTCTAAAAGGAGTATGAGTCTGCAAATGTAACAGTTATATGTTTATGAGAAAAGCTCTGTACTGTTAGAGTCCACCACTACATTCCATTATATTGTTGATTGATTCCATCTGCTGAAATCAGATAGCATTTGTCCATGCACACCTTAGAAAACAATCAAAATGAATTGCCTCCTTAAGCTGTCCTTTGAAAGCAACTCTCATGTTATTTTGAATTCATCCATGGGCAAGAGGTAATGTAATTTGCTTTCAGCAAGAATTTTTTTCCTTGGATGAGAGGATTTGTGTGTTTCTACTATGTGACATGTACTGCCTCTGTTGGAAACCATGATGATAGTTTTTGTTTTAGTTTTTGCTATTTTCCTCATACAGAATTTCATTTTGTATCTTTCGTGTGAAACTGAATATAATTTTAAAACTGTGTTTTCCTTTCTTTATTGTAAAAGGAGTGGGTTTCTGGTCTACAGCAGGGTTAGTTTCAACACACTGGGTGAAATCCAACAGGAAATTGCAACTATAGTAGGCTCATAGAGTCATTGTACCTTATGGAGAAGTTGACTCAACAAATCTCCACTTATTCAGACTGCACCATTTGAAATTCTGTTGTTAAGAGGGTTTTTCTCTTTTTATAGACACTGTGCAGTGATTAAGTAAGAACCAGAATATGATGTTATAAGATATATCTTTAAAATGTTTAGTTATATGCACATTCTTGTTGAATACTTGATCTTTTTATATATCCTTTTTCAAAATACTTGATCTTTTTCTTTATACTTGATCTTTTTTTACAAAAAAGCTAACCTTTTTTGTGTGGTTTTTTTTAAATAGATGAAGAGAATCACTGGAAAAAGAGGTGACCCTTTTTTTGAAGCACAAGAAAATCACAATTTAATTGGCGTAGCAAATGTCTTTTTGGAGTGTCTTTTCTGTGATGTTAAACTCCAGTATGCAGTGCCAATAATTAGCCAACAAGGAGAGGTAAGATTAGAACTCCCTGATATCTGTAAATATCAAGAATATGAAGCTTAATCCATATAAGACAGAGGACTATTGGTCAGTCAAAAGGCAGATTAGGGAATAAAGATTCAGGTGCTAGAGCATGGGATTACACTCCCACTGCAAATTTATATTTGCAACTTGGATTTATTCTTCCATTCAGATCTGAGCCTGGATATCCAGGTTTCCACAGTTGCCAGGTATGCACCTGCACAGTTAAAACCAGTGTGCCAGCTGCGCCTGTTCCTGGAGAAGTCTGATCTGGCCATGGTGCCTGGATATCCAGGTTTCCACAGTTACCAGGTATGCACCTGCACAAACCAGTGTGCCCAGCTGCACCTGTTCCTGGAGAAGTCTGATCTGACACATGTCTTAGTTACCTCTTGTTTGGAGTGTTGTAATGTTCGCTGTGTAGAGATGCTTTTGGAGTCTTCAGTGCCCAAAAGGCTGCAGCCAGACATTTAATTGGAGCCGGTTTTCAGTGGCAAGATAAATTCTCTGTCACACCTTCACAAGCTATTGTCTGTTTCCAGGCAGAGAGGGTCTTCTTAGTCGTTGCTTCTAGGCTATGGAATTCCCTCCTTCTAGCTGTCCCTACACTGACGAAGGCATTTTTATTTTAACAGGCTTGGGGCACTGATCAGGACATTTAAATGGCAGGGGTTGTCTTGTTGTTGTCATTGTTTTTAAATGGGTTTAAACCGTATCAATGGGGTAACTGTTCTTAATCTGAAAATGTAATTATTACTGTTCAGTATTTCATATTGCAGCATTTTTGTCTGTGTTCTTAAAGAGTATTTATTCAGGTTGTAAGTCCTCTTGGCTACTTTGAAGGAGAAAGGTGGAAAGTGTGTTTTTAAAAATATTCACTGTATTTGGTTTGAAAACGAAGCCTTGCCATAAATATTATGGAGGAATGCTGGACAACTGAAAGATTGGCATTTTCCTTCCTTATTTCCAGTGCTGTTGATTGCTGCCTCAGCTGTCTGTGGTGGGTAGGGGAAATGCACACCATGCACCTTAAAGAAAGAATGTCAATCATAATATGCTAGTAACTGATATTGAAAGAGGGCACTACCACCTATAGCCTGAGAACAAAGAAGGTTTGTGCTACTATGATCAGCAACACAAAGAGACATAAATATAAGACAAGGCTGGCAAAGCAACTAATTTTGATTGTTTCATCCACTAGAATAACTGTGTATTTAATCCAGTCAGATAGGTTGTTGAGTTTACAGGAGATATTTAGAAGGACTGTTGATGTCACTTTCTTTTCAATATGTTAGTAACCATCCAGTAGATAGTCTAGTAGATACAGAAGTCTGATTCTGTAAAGGTAGATTTTGGAGTACCTTTTAAGACTGATTTGGGAATCACATGAAAGTTTTATGCTCACATTTTCTTTTCATTCAGTTGCATGTGTGCATTCAGTTGGCTGATAACTGTGCAGTACCCCAGGGTCTTAAATCTTAATGTTTGTGTAATCAGGTTGCAGGGCGTCTGCATGTTGAAGTGATGCGTGTTACTGGTGTTGTCTCTGAACGTGCAGTAGACGGAGATGATTCTTCTGAAAACTCCAGCGAAAGTGGAAGCCTAGAAATCATGGACAACAATGGAGAAATTATTCACAGGCCAAAAAAACTCACTTGCAGGGTTAGAGCAACATTATGTATTTATTAATACTTTAAAATTACAAATATATTAGCAGTACAGTGTTTCTGAATTTTTTTCCAATAACATTACCATGGGAAGGATCCACTTCCCAGCAGAGCTGACATTAATTTTCAGTGATCTTGCTTTCTGTTTACTAGATATATATTCATAGTACATCATTACATAGTGGTATGATTAGATAAAAGTCATTTATTTGTTGAGCAGAGTTAATTACATTAACTCTCATTTGAAAGAGATATGAAATCTCTTCTGCCCTAGCAATACAGTTGTATGGACAGAGATTATTCCTTAGTTGATATCTTAATTTATTTTAAAGGCCAGTAGAATATATGCAGTGTCCTTAATAAACAATTGTATATATTAGAAGTAATAATTTTGACATTCAAAAGCCTAGTTGTGAGATAAAATTGCTCCTCTTTGAAACTAAGGGAGTGACTACATTGCCAAAATTATCTGAGAGCTTTGTTGCACTGTCATTGTATCGATGCACGTCACATGCTCTTTATGTCAGTGTGTCTGCCCTCATAGGGCAGCCTGAATTGAAGCCAGTTGATTTGGTGCAGGGGATGGTACTGCTCTTTAAATGGCCTTAAATAGACCCGGGGTTGGCACTTTCATCTGCCCATGGGTCTGTCCTGACTCTACCTAGCCTTGTCTATAACCATCTTGTCTGGAGGTAATTTTTTTCTGTTTTTTATTCTGAATGGCATGGTGCAGTGCTAAAGTCAAACAGTTTATTAAAAATAATATTTTTTAGGAGAGACAATTCAGACAGCAGGCATAATTGCTGATTTCCTGATGGGACAGCATCCTGCACCACCTCAAACACATCGCCAAGTCATCAGCACAGGAAATGCACACAGAATAACAGCATGGCCATTCACACAACCAAAAAGGGTAAAAAAAGCCAGCAATTTAAAATAAACAACCTTGTGACAGGTGTTGAAAAAGAAAATTCCTTGAAGAAAAGTGAGTTTCCCCTTATAGTAACATTGTGTGGTCGGAAAATTTTGAATCAATTTGCATTGTGATAAACTTGGAGTATTTGGAGGAGCATATTGCAATGTTGTCATGCCCTTAGTCCTCTATTTTGTAACTAAGTACAGTGGTGCCTCGCATAGCGACGATAATCAGTGCAGCAAAAATTGCTGCAAAGCGATTTTGTCACTATGCGATATTAAAAAGCCCATAGGAGTGCATTGAAACCCCTTTATTGCGTTCCTGTGGGCTTCAGACTCACCTTTAAGTCAAAATCCTCCATACGGCGGCCATTTTCGCTGCCCGGTAAGCGAGGAATCCGTCCCAGAAAACAGCAGGCGGCCATTTTTTTACCCAGCGGCCATTTTGGAACCACCGATCAGTTGTTAAAAAATCATCGCTTTGCAATGATCGGTAAGTGAAACGGTTTTGATCATCGCAAAGCGATTTTTCCCCATTTAAAACATTGCAATGGAATCGCAAAAGAGATCACAAAAAGTTCGTCGGTATGCGATTTCATTGTTAAGCGGGGCGCCCGTTAAGCGAGGCACCACTGCACGTTACCATAGTCTTTCGAGACTGAAGGATGCCTAAACTAACTAGTTTATTTAAGAAAATATGTTGGTGTAAATGAGCCAGTATATTGAATTTTAGTTTTACTGTTTTCCAGGTAAAAATTAAAGAAGCAACAGGACTACCACTGAATCTTTCAAACTTTGTCTTTTGCCAGTATACATTTTGGGATCAATTCGAGTCAACTGTTGCAGCACCGATTGTAGATCCAGATGTATCTTTACCTCTAAGCAAAGATGCTCAGTTTACAGTGACTTTTTCTCATTGTAGGGTAACTATTTTGTTTATTTTTTTAAGTATCATGGACTTAAATTAGAGTGTATATTTTACATATCTGACTCAATGATGCTGTGCAGTGAGCTGGAGTACAAATAATGTTATTAAATTATTCAAAACTCTTCAGCCCTATTTAGTTTGTTTGCTAACAGAGACAACATTTTAATAGCCACTATTCCCAAGATTTTAACAGCCATGGATGTTTTAAAAATGAAGAAATTGGTTTTTTTTAAGGTAGGCTTGTGTTTGGAAGATCTGTTGTCTGTGCTTGAGCATAAAACGTATTCTGTGTAAGTTTGTATGTGTATGAAAGGGAGAATCATGATGTAATGAAACGAGCAGGGCTACATGGTTTTCAAATGAAGTCAACAGCTCATCTCTGATTCATCTTTCTTAAACTTAAAACCTCACATCTCTCATTATCACAGCTCCATGACCCTGTTCTCACAGGTTTGTTGCAAGTAATTTACAGGTGGTATCAGAGAAACGACTTGTGTAACCGGCCCCAGTAATGTAAACATATTGTTATGTGACATATAGTTACTTATGGTGATCCTAACAGGGCTTTCAAAATATATGAGATGTTCAAGGGTGGTGTACCATTGTCACCACGCCCAGTGAGTTCCCATGGCTGAGCAGGGATTTGAACCTGGGTTTCCTGAGTCCTATACCAATTTTCTGTCCCCACTACCCCGTATTAACTCCAAGTTAAAAGTAGTACTACTAACTACTAAAACTAGTAATATTTTAACTATGAACACCTGTGGAAAGAGGATGGTGGACTATACCTAGTCAAAGGAAAGGAGTGACTAGTCATTCACTATTACAGAAAACAAGATCAAATGAATGAAATTTAAAATCAATTTAATCAAAGCAGTTGACAAGAAGGCACTGAAAAAGCATAATACATTCTTAAACATATTAAAATTGGAACAATATTCATAGCAAGTACATAATAGGCAAAAGCCTGTTTATGCAAGTGTAACATAAAGTCACATCTGTACGAATTTGCCACAAGGAATTGTTTGTGCGATTCAATTGCAAAAATGGTCACATATCCCTAGTGTGACCAGTTGCAAAATGCTGTGGAAGAAATGCTTTGTGGTTAGCACTTCCACTTCAGTGCTGTCATAGCTACCACAGGCCCAGGCCCCGGTTGGGCCCACCTAGTCACATAACAAGATTTTGCCTAATAAAACATCAATATCAAAACATTAAGTCCATTATCAGCAAAAGCAAAGTGAAGTATCTGTGGCTTTGCTAATCAGCAGTAAGGGAAAAATATAGTTTTGAAGGGGTAGGACCAGTAATAAGTGCTAGTTGTTAGAAACAAACCAAAATGCTCTCTGGCATAACCAGTGAGTAGCAGTAGCAAAGCTGTTTCCTCTGGTGCTAGTGTGGGGAAATTCTATTTCTGTCATTTCTTCAAAAATGTGCTGCCTTTTAAAGTAAAGATTTTCTCACTGTAGATATCATTTAATATTACAAAATGAGTATGTAGTTTTGTTTAATTAAAGAGACTATAAATAAACTTCAGATCATTTAGTATAGTATAAAAAGCAGAGAGAAGTAGCATTCAGTGTTACACATACTGCACATTAGGTGACTATCTTGACAACTGTTCTGATCCTTCAAATTAAGCTTTGTATTTTTTTAAATTGTGGCATTCAGGTTTGGGTTCATTACAGCAAAAAGGAACTTGAGTATTTAATAAGTTGCACCCATTAATTCAAAATATTGGGTTTTGATATTGTATGTTAAAAGAATCATTAAAAATATTATTGTAAAATAGAAACCTGCTAAGAATTGCCTAAAATCATCATCATACAGAATTGACAAAATAATTATCACACAGAATTAGTTCACTTTCTTAGCTAGCTTAAGAAAGATAAAATAAATATCTCTAGTACTATATAAGACCGTACTCAGGTTGTTTTGTTGTTGTTGCTGTTCTTAGCTGATCAAATGAACTGATAAAATGATGTCTCTATAAGTTTTCTGCACTAAACATTCTGATTTTCCAGGATTATGTGGTGAACGTAACAGAAGAATTTCTGGAGTTCATTGCAGATGGAGCACTTGCTATTGAGGTATGGGGTCACAAATGTGCAGGAAATGGCAGTTCCACATGGGAGGTGGATTCTCTTCATGCAAAAACCAGGACTTTGAGAGACAGGTAATTCTGTAGTATGTCATTTTCATGATAGTGATGCTTCATCACAAATAACTTGTGAAATGTAGGGAAAAACATACATAATAATATGAAGGAAGAACTGTATGTACCACCTATACAAGAGATGAATAAAAAGAGGGTGATAGATGTGAGAGTCTGAAAAGTGAATAAAATGAATGAAATGAGCATGGGAATCTGAATTATAAGAGCCTCATGCCTGTGCGAGAGGATTCATTGGTGAAAGTGGAGAAAGAGAGACTTGGAAGAAAGAAGATGCTATAATATGATTCACTGATTCTAATCCACACAAAACTCTCTGTGCCCTATCTTATCCTTTATCCCTATTTTTTCTCCCCATCATTACTGATGATTCCTCTCTAACAAGTAATTATGATGTTAATGTTATTATCTGTAGTTAAAAACAATTAGTTGTTCTAAAACAGATTTATTGAAAGAGGGAGTATGTTTGCTGTAATTTTGAATGTCCAAGTTGAAGATACTATTCATTCTTTGTTATTAGTTATGTTGATACCAATAAATTGTTGTTGGCTTGCTGTATATCTCTTTATTTTTGTTTGTATGTGTATATTTCATAATAATTTTTTAAAGAATTTGGCAGCTACTTAGTTAAACTGATTAAAGGAAGTCCTCCTAGAAATTTTTCATTGAGGTTATAGAGAACTGTGTTTTTGGATTGTTTGCAGGTGGAGTGAAGTAACACGCCGAATAGAAATATGGGTTTCAATTCAGGAATTGAACGAAATGGGGGATTATGCAGCTGTGGAGCTCCATCAGGCAAAGGATGTAAATACAGGAGGGGTTTTCCAGCTTAGACAGGTACAATGGATTCTCTCTGCTTGGAAAAGAATACCAGCATGTTAGTAAATATTTACATTATTTTATTTTTCTCCCCATGCTTGTATGACCAGGGTCATTCCCGTAGAGTTCAGGTGGTGGTTAAACCAGTGCAGCATTCAGGAACGCTGCCGCTTATGGTGGAAGCCATTCTGTCTGTCTCCATTGGCTGTGTGACGGCTAGATCAACTAAGTTGCAACGAGGCCTGGACAGTTACCAGGTAGGAGTCCTGACTTTAAACTGTGGGACTGTTACCTTGGGGTGCAGGTTTGCAGTGCAGATTTGTTGCTTTTCAGGATGTATCTCCTAGAATTTTTATGTGCACTGTATGCAATATTTGATTTACAGTATTCCCTGAGGCTATTGGCCATAACAGCTAAATGAACAATCATATCAAGAGTTAGCATCCCTTTGAGTACCAAATGCCAATTGATCACCAGTGACCTTATGCCCTGATCATGAGGGTGGAACTGTGCTTGCCATCAAAAACAATTCCTGCAACTACAGTGGTGCCTCGATCAGCTGGGCAAAAATGCCAGCGGGAGCTTTGGGAGGACCGCGGGGGAGGGCTCCCCCGCGGTCCTCCCAAAGGCCCCATTTCCCCCCCCAGCTGATCAGCGGGGGCTTTGGGAGGGCCTCCCAAACGTCAGCTGGGCGAAAATGCCGGTGGGGGCTTTGGGAGGACGGGGGGGAGCACTCCCCCGCGATCCTCCCAAAGGCCCCATTTTCACACAGGTAATCGGCGGTTCCAAAATGACCTCCCGCTGTGTTGCCTTGCTTTAGAGGCACCAAAAATGGCCGCCCCATGGAGGATTTTTGCATAAGGTGAGTTTTTAAGCCCATAGGAACGCATTAAACACGTTTTAATGCATTCCTATGGGCTTTTTTATTTTGCATAGTGACGAATCCAGATAGCGACAATTTTTCCGGAATGGATTATCGTCGCTATGCAGGGCACCACTGTATAAGTCTCATGAAAAATAGCAGTCTGAGTCAATATATAGTCAAAAATAGGGAACCTGTCACCTTCAGATATTGAATTACAGCTTCCATCAGTTCTGACCACTCTGGGCTTGGCTACACAGGCTGGTTGGAGCAGGCTAGTGTGAGCTGAACAGGGTCGCTTAAGGTTCCTTAAAAATCCAGTATACCATGTGGTGTGATCTTTGCATCCACATGGGATATGCACTTCAAGCAATCAACCTTTAAGAAATCAAAACAAAGAAAAATATAGTCTGCCATGGAGCTATTAGACTTTCTGGTCTCAATCCTGCAAAATGAGCAGACTGTGAGGCTAGTCTCTTGTCTCACTCTTGTGTCACTGCAGCCCTCCTGCTGCCTCTTCCTGATCCTGTGAGTCCTAGACAGCCAGAACTTTCATCTCTCTCCTTTCTCCCTCCATTGCTGCTCCAGCCTCTTCCCAGATCCTCCAACCATGACCCTCCTTGCCCTCTCCTGTCTCCTCCCATTTCCAGGAGGAAAATTTCAGTTTAAAAAAATTTTCTAAGATGTACTCTGCATTAGCGTTGCCCTAATTGGCTTAAAAATATTTTTTTTGCTTCCTCCCTCTATTCCACAGAGGATTAGAGGAAGGAATTTTTTAATTTTCCTATTTCCCCATATCATTAAGTGGGTAAGCTGTCTGTTTAAGCCACTATTGATATGGGAAAATTGAAACCAGCTGGTAGATTAAAGCAGAACATTCACTTTGGTTTGATCCCAGCAATCACATGTGCTAGAAGTGAATCAAAATGGAGTAATCCTTCCTGCACCTAGAAAAGAGTAGCGCCTGATAGGGACTCAGAAAGGTGTGGGTAGGAACACTCTTGGGGATGGACTGGTTTGCTCAAGCAAATATGTCATCTGATCAGCAGCAAAAAGAGTGAACCACTCAATTCCTGCAACACATCAAAGATAAAAGGTAAAGGTTCCCCTTGCTGTGAAGTCAGGAATGATGGGGGTACAGTCCAACCACATCTGGAAGACCACGGTTCCCTGACCCTAATCTAAATTATGGTAGAGATTATTATAACAACACCTGGCAGGCTTGGAGGCCATGCACTCCTTCTCTTCTGTGTATGAATTGGAAGTGAGTAGAATGAAAATTCCAGTGTTCACTTTAGAATGGACCACCGATTTAATAATGACCACATTTTGGACATAGCATAAACCTATGAATTCCTCAAAGGATTATAGTGAGAATAAAATGAGTGAGGGGAAATCTGTGCATGTCCTCTGGAGTTCCTTGAAAGAAAGATAGGTAATATATACAATAAATTGTTACTCTCTTCTGCCCAAATGTACATTTACCTTATTATCTTTTCTATCTCCTTTCTCCAGCTTATTTATGAACATGGTACATAGCAATGTCAGTGTTTCTCCTGTGATGAGCAGGCAGAGTCTCAAATAGAGAATCAGTTTAGTTTGTTCTTTATATGTTCTTTATTTTGGACATTTATTTGGGTTTTTATACAAAAGAACTTAAAAATAAAATAATAATCAATCCAAGCTCAATTAAATATGATCTAGAAAACCATAAAAGTGTAGTATTTTCTGTCATTAAATAATTTGCTTGAGCTAAAATAAAGGCTATTCATCCAGTGTGGTGCAGCGGCTAGAATGATGAACTGGTAAAACCACTCTTTAAATATCTCACTTACCTTGAAAGCCCTGTTAGGGTCTCTATATGTTTGTTCCAACTTGACAACACATAACAACAAAACAAAACCCAGCTGTGTGAAAAATGTAGTCTGTCCTGGAAACGATGTAGCTGTAGATCACTTTACCAAGTTCAGTATGGAATGGGGACATCTAGCCCATGGGTTGGGAGTATGATTTCATGGGCATTTAAAAGAGGCTGATGCAGAGTTTTTATAGCCTAGATTATCTGATTCAAAATACTGCCTTCAATTCTTCCTCTATCCACAGTATTTGATCATTGCGTATCCACAATTGCAAAAGAGAATCTTAAGATTGAAGGCAGCATGATTAAAACACATACATAATCATTATCATTGATAGACCTTGTCGTGGATGGACTGTTGTCCCCTCAGCAATCACAAAGAATATGCAAACAATGGGTCCTGTTAATGCCTAATTACATGAAGGCCCCATTTATATTCTTCATATTTCAAGAGAACTGAGAGTGCAATTGTATAAATGAGGTCCCTGCATGACTGCATATTGGCATAACTGAGTAAAAGCTCTAACTTATGTATTCTTTGTCATGTGTGATAGAGTGAACAGGTAGTTGCTCCTTTCCTCTTGCTAGTGGACCCCTGAGGTGATGATGTTTGGTGGATATGTTTTTAATGTAAATTTGATAGATGTGCACTTATTTGGTTTGGGGGAGTGGGAAAATTGCATGTTCTCTTTGTTTATAAAGTGTATTTTTTTCTACCAGAGAAGAGATGATGATGATGGTGGTGATATGGATAGTTATCAGGTATTGCTGCTGTTGCTGTCAAATCACATGGCATGGGGCACAGCTAATGCTAATTATCATCAGCTCCAAAGAGTCTCTAAATATATGCCAAAGTAGCTTTCAAAGCATTCTCTATGTTAAAAGGTCTTTAATGAATGAGCTATTTTAATTAATTTGTACATAGTCCTCTTTCATATAGCATCCCTTATCTACTGAAGTGTCATGAGTGATGGATTTATTTGATAGCTGAAAATATTTTTACACCTCCCCATTCCATTAAAATATCCATACATGCTCATAAAACTTAGTAGATAAAAACAGCAGATTTCATGAATTAAAGAAGGACATTAAAAATCGTCTACAGTCTAACAGGTCAAAGGCATTTCAGAAAAGAGAGGTCTTCATAGATTGGTGGATGGCTGTCAAAGAGTTGTGAAGACAAGCCTGAGTTCAACAAAGGGGAAGCTGTCTCATAGGTCCCAACCAAACGCTACTCAGAAATCGATGTGATCCAGTGGGAAACCAATAAACATGAGAAACAGGGCAAAAAGATTTGTGTAGAACATTAAAAGCTTTATATATATATCAATATCCATTTATAGTCTTGCATGAAATTTAAATGGATATTTCATGTAATTATTTGTCATCCAGAATATATTACAAATTTAATTAAATCACAATAGCCCGAATCCTGTTACAAAATAAAAGGAGTATAAGGGAAATTGTGCAAGTGATTTTTGCACTTTCCTTACTATTTGTTACACACCTGGGCATGCAACCAAAATGTGCAATTGAACACACAGAGTGCATCTGAGTACATGAGAAACAGCCAGCACAATCACACATGACAGTTAATGTGATTTTTGGTGTGTACTGCGGAAACCTAATAGGATTCTGGTAAATGGCTTTAAGTCTAGTTGTAAGTCCCAATTAAAGTACTAATTGAATCAATGGAACTTATTAATTCTTGTTGATTTAATAAGTCCTATTCATTTAGTGGATCTACTGTATTTAATATTAATAGATTTAACCCAATGTGTTTTGTGCAAATGTGACTACTACAACAATTTACCTGTGCTGATTAACTTTTAAAAAAATGCTGTCCCTGTAAACTTTGCTGCTAGCAGCAGAACTCACAGTGGTATAAATTCAGAAACTCTTCAAATAGTTTAGTAAATGTTGGAATTGCTCCAGAAACATAAAAGCTCAGTCTACATTGATCTATATGTTTAAACCCAGATCTCATGCAGCCATGAACAAAAGAGTAGAGTAGGGCAGTGGATTTAGTCAAGGTGTTCATGGCTGAGGAGAGCTGAATCCATCTGTAGACGTTACTTGCCTTCCTGCAACCTTTTTTTCCTTAGCACTTTTCTTTCACGTGGGCTCTTATATTGGGGCATTGTTCCAATATTAAGCCTGGCTGAAGGAAAAGTGGCTTCAGGGGAAAGTCAGTGGGCCACTAAGCTGTAAGCAGGGAGAAGAATTTCCATTTTCTCTCCTGTATGCTGCTTTCTGCATGACCTTGGCAGATCCAAACGGGAACAGACAATTGCACTTTTATAAAAAGTAGTTTAAGCATAAATTATTTACTAATTTGCTTCAAGCTGGTCATAATGCATTTCAATAATGTATTATAAAAAATGGCCCAAACCTTCTAATAGTGCCAGCATGACAGCATGATGGGTTTTTTTTCTTTGCATGAGGCTATTTTTGTTGTGCTGGTAGCAGCTATTTCTGATTTAATGTATTCAGGTTTAAGGTACTATGTTGATACTCTATCACTTTGTATGCAACTAAATAGTTGGTTGGCCACTGCATTATTATTCTGCTTTGATCTGCTTATAAATCACAAATGTACACAGGATGAAATAGACCTAACTGTGGGTTGACTGAAGCAACTCTAGCTTTTCTTTCTTTTTGCTCTTTGCAAGTTGGGCAAGCTTCCATTCTTGGGTGGTGTGTTACTTAATGTAAAGGAAAAAATTACTCTTCTGTGTATCAATATTCAAAAATATTCAATAATCTTTCCTAATCAGAGCTGAAATGTACATAAAATTACATGTATTTTTAATATGTATATATATATTGCATGTTAAGAAAAAAAGTTCTCTCTTCAATAGGAGGAAGACTTAAACTGTGTGAGGGAGAGATGGTCAGAAGCACTAATAAAGCGCAGAGAATACTTAGAGGAGCAGATTAAAAAAATCAGCAGTAAGCAAGGTGTGTGGCATTTTTGGTTTAATTTCCTTCGCAAAAACTTTATGTCTTTGTTAATTCTCAATGGGCTCTCCCTGAGGAAGAGATGTTCTTCTTCCCTCCTAGTCTCCATACATGGCAGTTTGAACGAAACAGGATTTATTAATCTTGGAAGAGGTTGAACTGAAGGGTTTTTCTGTTCACTTATTGTGCCCCTAGTTTTCTTCAGTAGTCCCTCTCTCTCCCAAGGATATTTCCTGCTCCCAAGGCAGGCATCACCACATAGGCTTCTGTCTGCATCTCACTGTCTCAGCACTACATGTACCCAGCCCTCCTTTTTCTAGGTAGTCTTGTTTTACCACCCCTGCTTTCAGCTCCTTGGAAGGCTAGGTGTATTGTGTGGGTCCTGTGTTAGAGTTCTTCAACTGCAGCAAGGGCATCTGTGTCCTTGTCCTCCTCACAATCTTGTTAAAAACAATGAGGAGTGCTATAACATACTGTTTTTTTAAACGTTTCTTAAATTGTTAAAAGTTGTTCTTGAACTAATCATGAAAGAACTTCCAGTGGCTTTATTAGCACTTCTTTGCATTCACTGTGATCTAAAGACAGTCTTCCACTTCATTATGTAGGCTGTGGATCTAGCTTGCTATCTTTCTCTCTCCCTCTTTATCTTCTCTGACATTATAGAGAAAACAGAAGACGACACAGAAAGAGAAGCACGGCTTGTCGAACAATGGGTAGGACTGACAGAGGAGAGAAATGCTGTACTAGTCCCTGCACCAGATAGTGGTATTCCAGGCGCCCCTGCAAATTGGTAGGTACAGCTTGCTTACAAAATAACTTCAGGTGACTACTGTATGCAGCTGACAAGACGATAGATATTTCAGAGAAAAAGAAGCCACTAAAATGCTGTGTATTTCCTTTGCAAAAACTTTTTGTCTTTGTTAATTTTCAGTGCTACAAAGAAAATGATATAAATCTAGAGATGGGCACAAACCTTCGTTTGGAGGTTTGTGCCGGTTCGGCGCCATGTTGTGCAGACTCTGCGTACTTTCCCTTCTTGCCTTCTCTGCACACTCACCTATTCCCCGGGTGATGCACGCTTCGCTCCCTGCCTCCTCCATGCAACTGCTCACTCACCGTTCCCTCCTCTGGCTCCTCTGGCAGCCGCCCACTCAGACAAAGAGGCAGAGCAGGGATTCCTGCAGCACTCCCCTGGAGTGGGTGGCTGCCAGAGGAGCCGGAAGAGGGAAGCACGGCTGTAAACAGTGAGTGAGCAGTCATGCAGAGGAGGCAGAGAGGGAAGCATGCATCACCCAGGGAATGGACAAGTACACAGAGGTGGGAGGGAGAAGTATACCGTGCCTACACAACACCTGTGTGGGCAGGGCACCGAACCGGCACAAACCTTTAAACGGAGGCTCTTGCCCATCTCTAAATAAATGCAGTGCTAGTCACAAATGGCGTAGACATACTGAAAGCAACGGGATATAAATAAATAATGATTAACTAGACCCATTCATTCATTGCATTAACTCTAACAGGGACCAACACTGACTTTAACCCAGGGGTGGACAATAAGCAGCAGGAGCTGGATGCAGCCTGCAAGAGATGTTTATTTATGTATTTTATTTATATTATTTATTTGCCGCCTCTCTCCCCAAAGGGGGACCAAAGGTGACACACAACTAAAATTATTTTTAAAATCAAGTTTTAATATATCCTATAAATACGTTGAAAAACAATTTAACATATATCAAGATTAAAACCAGACTAAAAACATTTTTAAATCTGTAAATTGATAAACAAAGTCTTACTGAGACATTTATTGCTTACAGACCTGCCTGAAAAGGAAGGTCTTTGCCTGATAATAGAAGGATAAGAGGGAGGGGGTGAACCTGGCTTCTTGGGGCAGCGCATTCCGAAGCCTGGGAGCAGCCACTGAGAAGGCCTTCTTTCCTGTTCTCACCAAACAAGCTTGAGAAGATGGTGGGACCAAGAGAAGGTCCTCTCCAGAAGATCTTAAAAACCAAGTAAGACTCATATGGGGTGATACAGTTCTTCAGATAGCCATATAGAACTTTCTAGGTAATAGCCAGCACTTTAAATTGGGCCTAGAAATAGTCTGGCAGCCAATGAAACTGTTGTAATAAGAGTTACATGCTCCCTCTGACCAATGCCAGTCAGCAGTCTGGCTGAAGTATTTTGAACCATCCAGAGTTTCCAAACACTCTTCAAAGTCAGCTTTATTTTTAGAGTGTGTAACTAAGATATGTATGCCACTGTGGCCCGATAGCATATCTCAAGGAATGAGTGCAGGTGGTACACTAGTTTTAACTGTGCAAGGGCATTCCTGGCCACTGCTGAAACCTGGGCATCCAGACTCAGAGATGACTCCAGGAGAACACTCAAGTTTCACACCTGTGCTTTCTGGGAACTTTGGATACATCGAAACATGTTATTAATTTTGTGTACAGATACAAGTTTGCATGTTCTCTTTCTTGGACTGAGTTTGCTATTAAAGTATTTATAGAAGTACATGATGTATTACATTGACTGGGTTTTTCTCTTATTGATAGGATCCCACCCCCTGGAATGGAAACACACATCCCTGTACTTTTCCTTGATTTAAATGGTAAGTCACTTTGAGTAGAAGTTTGAATTTGTGTTGCAGTTTTAATTCTGTCAGGGAAATACAGAACATCTACATTGGGCTCCAGTGCAAAAGCCTTTACTTGAAGTGACTTCCAGAAAATGTAGTTATTGCTTCTAAAGCAGGGGTTCCCCAACCTCTGGTCTGCAACCATGGCCCAGGCAGGACCGGGCCGCGGACACAGATCTCCTGCCCCCTCTGTGAGAGCACTCCCTGCGAGTGCTGCTGCAAGCATGTGAATGGGTGTGCTGTGCCCTCTGCGGGCACGCCACACCCCTACACGTGTGTCACGGCTCCGTGTGAGCATGCTATGCCCCCCCAACCGGTCAGCAGTTGGGAAAAGGTTGGGGACCACTGCTTTAAAGTATATTGAGAGAAATCCAGGTCTTGGGCTGCAGAGTTCTTCCATGGTACAGAAAGACAGAAATAATTCTTAAACATACTTGTTAAATGTTCAAAAACACTGTTTTGAAATAATTTATATTTTAACTATGTGATTACATTTTTAGTAACAAATTGTAACAGGTTGATACAAATATAACCGGAACAAGTAAGTCACAAAAACCAAAGCTCACTGTGGCCATAAGAAAAAAAAAATCTAAAACCATACTTTAATTCGACCAACCCAAGAATCAGAAAAAAAAGTTTTTGTTTCAATTGAAAAATGTGTTATGAAGCTAATGGTATAAATAGTAAGTGAAAGGGTAGAGAAATAAGGGAAAAAAGGTGGGGTATATTGAAATTGTGGAATCTGCCTTTATTCTCAGTATTAACATGTAGTATGGGATGGAGCTGCAGGGGTTTAAATGAAACTCAGTTATATGCTGTGGTGGTTTCTGTATCCCCCTGTCTCTAGAGCATCTGGGATGAAGAAATAAACAATGATTGATTCCCACTTTATTTTATTTTTTATACCACCCATCTAGCCAACAGCTTCTTTGAGTGGTGTACAACAAAAATAAAAGCACAGTTATAAAACAAATTCCAGTCTACAAAAGAACAAGAAGACAGGTGACAAAAATAAAAATTAAAAAATTCAGAAGAAAAAGTAATTTGGATTGTCATTCCAGGTGAAATATTGTTGGCAAAGCTGTAAGATTTCTCTAATGTGTTCTAAGACTGTGTTATAAGTTTGTTGTACTGAACCATTGTTATACTATGGCAGGTAACATTTTTAATGCTAGAACATACTCTCTTACAACTTCATTTTGTTTCTTGTTAGCTGATGACCTCAGTGCCAATGAACATCTTATAGGTTCAAATGCATCAGGTGTTAATTCAATACTACCGAAGGAGCATGGAAGTCAATTCTTTTATCTGCCAATCATAAAACACAGTAAGGATGAGGTAAATTACCAAGAACCTGTGCTGGAAAGCAGAGTTGTTGCTACTGGCCAAAATCCTATTGGTTATTTCTGCTGGCAAACTGTAAGTACAGAGGTAGAAGTAATAGCAGCAAATTGCCACTAGTTAACAAGTCTCCATTGTATTCTTTATCACATGCCAAGGGATGAGACTGATGTGCAATGCTGAATATAAGCAGCAATTTATTAATTACCCTGTTTCCCTGAAAATAAGACAGGGTCTTACATTAATTTTTGCTCCAAAAATGCATTGGGGCTTATTTTCAGAGGATATTTTTTTTCATGGACAACAATCTATATTTATTCATATACAGTGGTGCCTCACTTAGCGATGTTAATCCATTCCGGAAAAAACATCGCTAAGTGATTTAATCGCTAAGCGATATTAAAAAGCCCATAGGAACATATTAAAACGCGTTTAATACGTTCCTATGGGCTAAAAACTTACCTTAAAGCAAAATTCCTCCATAGCGGCGGCCATTTTGGGTGCCTCTAAAGCGAGGCAAAACAAGGCAGCCATATTGTTTTTGCAGCGGCCATTTTGGAACTGCCGATCAGCTGTTTTAAAAAGTTCTCTTTGCCATGATCACTTCCCCACGATCATCACAACGAATTTTAGCCATAGGGGACATCGGTAAGCGATCGCTCCAGCGATGGCCAAAAGTCCATCGCAAAGCGATTTCATCGCTCAACGAAGCGATCGCTAAGCGAGGCACCACTGTACAGTCATCATCTTCTTCTGGTTGCTGCCCAATGGTGGAGGGCGGGGTTTCACTTAACTAGGGCTTATTTTGGGGATAGGGCTTATATTACGAGCATCCTGTAAAATCATGCTAGGGCTTATTTTTAGGTTAGGTCTTATTTTAGGGGAAACAGGGTAGCAGCAATTCACTACTGTAGTTCTTGCTCTTCCAGTTCCACCAGCATAAAGTACCCAAAAGAATTCTGGCCAGTGTATTTCTGCTTTTTACCTTTCATTGATAGTTTAATTTATATCCATATTTAATATTGCATCAGATCTTTCAAATTACAAATGTTTGCTTTGACTGGAACTACAAGTTGCAGATAAGCCATAGGAAGCTTTTGACTACAGATTATTTGCAAACTGGAATGAAACTACTCCTGTCAGACATCCTGTTTTGATGCAGCACATCCTGTTTTAATGTGACCAAAATGGAACTGCTGGCGTCTCCCTCTGTTTCCAGCAAGAACAAAGCTAGTTGGCCAGTGTTAAGGTAGCTGGGAACCTCCCAGCACTGACCCACCAGCAAAGCTGTTCTTGCCCAGAGTGTCAGCTTCAGCAATTCTGTTCTCACCACACATGGAGCAGAAAAGAACCCTGCTCTCTTTCCTCTTCCACAGGGCTTGCTCATCTGGCAGGCAGCCAAATGGTGGTAGCTGTGGTGAGCATCGCTGGCAATAATGTTGGCAGTGGGGGTCTCACAGTGTCCCTGCCAATCACATTCCTGGTCATCACAGTCCAGCCATTCACCTGACAAGGAATTGCTAGGGGGAGGAAAGGACTCTCTCTCATCTGGCTGAAGCCCTACTTCACTTTAAAATGGTGCCCAGCATGTACTGTTTTAAAGTGCAGTGAAGCTTAGATCATGTGAAAAGATGAAATGGTCAAAGTTCACTTCACATTCAAATCAATTTCTACCATGCATGTAGATCTACTTTTCATCTTGCTTTATTTTTATTAAACAAGTATGCAAGTTATTTTGTATTCCGGAGTAGCATTTGTATCAAAGTAACCTTTAAGTAGTTCTAATTCATGTGGGATTGAGAAACTTTTTTTCCAGAATGTATAAAAAGAATTGCTTAAATAGTTTCCTCTCATTTTTTCTGGTTGTGTTGTTTACTAGACAGTGCTTTGTTAGTCATAAGCAACTTAAGTTTATACATATAAATTATTTTGTGTGGGGTTAGCTAGTTTTTTATTTTGGAGAGTTGGAGATCTTCCTGCTGTCATCTTTAAATAATTGAAGTGCATTGGTTGGATTGTGTGGAGCTATTCGCAGGAAAGAAAGGAGGGGTACTGTTGTGCGCTTCAGATTCTTTCTCTATATTGGTACAGGGCTAAGTGTAATCCCAACCTCCAGGGTGAAATTACTTGTTTCAAGAAAAGCTATTGCTTTTTTTCATTAATACTGTGCTGACTGTAGTCTTTTTTTCACATTCTGTTAAATAATGCTTTTAGATTTCTGCCACTGCTGCCTGGGACCCTTCTGTGCATGATTCAGTGCATTTGAATAGGGTAACTCCTCAAAATGAGAGAATCTATTTGATTGTAAAAATCACAGTCCAGCTCAGCCATCCAGCTGCCATGGAACTTGTACTACGCAAGAGGATTGCTGCTAATATTTACAATAAACAGGTAACACTTTTGTTCATATCACTGAGTCTGTTTTCAGCTTAACGAATCAACATTCAGAAATATCAAATTGACAGAGGAAGTATATCCGTTTAATTCTCAGGTAGTTCCTCTGTCATTTGCCTATTTTGGTGTAATAAAATATTGTATCAAAATCAGTACTGTACTTTAGTCTGATATTAATATTTTACTTTAATGGTTGACTTCCCAGTAAAGTAATACACTGCTTAGCAGATATGTTCCAAGAAAATGGAACATTAACCAAATCAGTGGTAAAGTGGGTCATTTTTCACAAACTGACATGAAGGACATAGACTGGGCTTCAGGTCTTCCTGCGGCCTGGTCTTCCTATCTTTTATAGAACACAATAGAGCTATGTTCGGTAAAGGTTTCAGCAGCTGGCATATGCATTACTGACCATGTGATTACACTGTTATAAAATGGACTTTGTTTTTCTAGAGTTTTACCCAGAGTCTCAAAAGAAGAATATCCCTGAAGAATATATGGTATGCCTGTGGTGTGACCTATGAAATAGTGTCAAACATACCGAAGGTAAATTTTTCTGTGCTTCTGTGGTTAGAGTAAATGCCACAGCTGAACTAGATAACTCTGCAAACTCTTTCCTCAAACTACTATTTTATGCATTTTGAATTTATCTTTTTTTTAATTATCATTTTTACAAGAGAGTTGTAGTCTAGTTTTAGTACCAATTTTTAAAACATACCATTAAAATTGTAGGCCACAGAAGAAATTGAGGATCGGGAGACTCTGGCTCTGATGGCAGCCAGAAATGAAAATGAGGGTACATCTGATGGTGAGACATACATTGAAAAGTACACACGAGGAGTGCTACAGCTGGAAAATATTTTGAGCCTTGAACGGCTACGACAAGTGAGGAGATGGGGGGGGGGGAGCCAGCTCAGTGTGAAGCACTGAAACCTTTGCCGTTAAGGATGTCTCTTTTTCTTTACTTTTAATATTTGGTATCTGATAGACTGACTCAGTTGATACAGACTTGATTTGAGGATGTCATTTTGTAATATTCTATCTTTTTTACAGTGTTGTTCCAATATTATAAAGTAGATTAAAATCTAATTATACAAAAAGAGTATGCTGTATGAATAAAAGTAGCTTACACATACACTTTTTGCAGTGAGCTTTAGGCAGCAATCCTGTACACGGGAATCTGGAAGGCAGTCAATTAACCCAGTTATTTCTCAGTAGATGTGTCTAGGATTGCACTGCTAATTTTCAAGATTCATAACTGAAAGTACATTTTTTACTTTACTCCTTCTGTCTTCATACAGGCAGTCACAGTAAAAGAAGCTCTCTCTGCAAAGAATCGACACATACAGAGGAGTATTAGCTCACCAAATGTTCACAATGTGAGATGTTCTTTCATGTTTGTAAACAAATGCATGAAGGTGCATTTTTTCAAATACATAACCACTTGCTAAATGAAGCATGCAGTAGATTTGTACCTGTGATTTGTGGTTGTAAACTAATATTAGAATAACGGTTTAACTTAAAATTTAGAAAGGGATTTTCTTCCCTGAGATTAATCAGCAAAATAGTTTGCTTTTTACTCTCTAAGCCTCCCAGGGAATACATGCTGAACGCTGTCCATTAAAGTGAAAAAGTAAAGGAATTGTGAAGTATCAGTTGAACTTGTAGCCATTTCTCAGGGATATTTTATTTAATGCTGTTTTCCTGTACGCAGCAGATACATTTTAAGAATCTGAAAGTTCTGTTGTAAGGCTTTTGTGTTCTGTATGTTAGGGGTGGGTGAGCTCCAGAATTCTGAGAGCTTCGTACAACCATCCCTGGACCTTGGTTGGCTGCATCTGATCCCATGACCACCACTTCACAAATTTTTCTAACAAAATTTAAAAAAAAAAACTGTAATAGACCATTATGCTCTCTTGTGGGAGAAAGTAGTTTTAAAACTTTTTCTAAACTGAGGGATTGTGGGGGACAAGTGTGTTGGGGCCCCTCAAAATATGGCAGAATTGCCTGCTATGTCCCCAGAGGGCAGAAGGGAACTTTTGGATTTATGTTTCAAAAAAATTAATCCAGGTGAGGAAGGTGCTTGGGGACTGTGTGTGGTCGATGTGCTGCATGTTGCTAATCCCTGAAGTAGCTGAACAGGCTTGTGGGTTTTCTGTGGAGGCAAAAGAGCTGTTTATCCAGCTGACACCATTCATTTGTCTCATAACTATTGTTGTATTTTAGGTATCCTCCAGCCGACAAGATCTTTCTGGCTGTGATGAAGATAAGGTATGGACATTTAGAAAATTGAACTAGCAGCACATTTAGTTTTGAACAGTGTTCAAAAACTGTAGATTAGAGAAACCAGTTTTCTCCTACTGCTGGTAAAAGAAAGGACAAATATCTTTAATTATATATTTTTAAATAATATTTAGAGAAATTATTGTAAATGGAACTGGAATATAGAATTTACTTGACAGGAAAGCTTCAAAGTATAATTTATGTTCAGCTCTGCACAGTTATGTTTCCAATCCTTATATAAAATCCTTCCAGTTAGTTCTCTCATGTGGAAAAGGGAAGGCACAATTGATTTGTCAGAATAGCTACTGTGTAGATTTGTTCTTGATAAAGATTGTTAAAGTTATGTGTACCATGGTTCAATCATCAATCCAAATGGTGACTGCAGCCAAGAAATCAGAAGACTGAGATTTAGAAGGGCAACAATTAAGGAACTATAAAAGATCATCAAGCATAAAGATGTGTCACTGGAGATGAAGACCAAGATCATCCACACTACTGTATTCCCAGTTGCTGTGTATGGGTGTGGAAGCGGGGAAGTAAAGAAAGCTGACAGGGAAACAATAAGTCAAAAAGAAATGAAAAATAAAAAAGAGAAAAAACATTGTGGCACCTGAAGGACTAACTGCTGTATTCAAGGTGCCACAATGTTTCATCTTCTTCTTCTTTTTTAATTTTCTTTTGTTTTTGCCTGATATACTAGCACAGATTAACATGGCTACCTCTTCTAAAGGAAAACAAAATGGTTCATTTGAAATATGCTGCTGGAGGAGAACTTTGCAGATATCCTGGTCTGTCAGAAAGATAAACAAATATGTCCTAGATAAAGTCAAGCCTGAATTATCTCTGGAGGCAAAATTGTGAAACTGAGGCTGTCCTACTTTTGGCACATGATGAGAAGGCGAGGTTCTCTGGAAAAAGAATAATAATGGGAAAGTTTGACAGCAGCAGGAAAAGAGGAAGACCAAATATCAGATGGATTAACTTCCTAAATGAAGTCACAGCCTTGAGTTTACAAAAGCTGAGCATGGTTGTTGAGGATAGGACATCTTTGAGATTGCTCATTCATAGGTTCACCATACATTGAGGTGACTTGACAGCATGTAACTATAGACTTACTCAGTGGGGGGGAATGCTTGATTTTTTACAATTGAATAAATCTTGCTACCGTTTTTCCTGTTTCACTAAAATAATAAGTTACAAGATTTTTTTTAAAAAAATTTTTTTTGGCAAAATAGGTCTGTAGTTCTGAACACATTTATTCCAGCAGAAGTCTCAGTGAACATTTTGTTCCAGTAAATAAGTACAGGGTTGTTTGTACTGTGCTAATGCAGGAACAGGTTCTTGATATTAGAAGGAGATAATGGTACACAAAAAATTGAATTGTTGGGTAGAAATTGAACTCTTAAAATATATACGTACAACTTAATATGTTCCTTGATTTTTCAGGGTTGGTCAGAAGGACATCTAGATATATTAGATTGTTCTTCAAATTACCAAGATATATCATGTTATGGTACTTTACCCAGGGATTCACCTCGAAGAAATAAAGATGCTGGTGGTAAGAATTTTTTTAAAAAATGGGCAAGTAAACAACTTTATTAAAATAATAAAAAGTAGACCAGTGATACAAAAGCAATTTTTCTCTATTTTTATTTCCTTCAATTTTTAGTACATTTGTGTATGTGTGTGTGTGTAAAGCACTCTATCATAATTATTTCAGGGTTTTTTTAATCTGCTCGCTATTTTTCTAATGACCCAAAGCAGAAATCTAGGACACATGCTGCAAGCAATTTCTTTGAAAAATAATTTCCTTCCTAAAATAGAAGTGAAGCTGTTTTCCAAAATGTGTATTACCAAATAATCTTGTTATAGGTTTGTCTTGGAGCAACATCTGTTAAACTGATTTGTTAGAGAAACAGTCAGAAAAGGTATCAGGACATCAAAACAGGAGGAGAATCATCATGATTGTCTTAGAACTGTTGGAAGGGACCCTATGGATCATCAATAAGTACAGCCCATCAAGGAGGCACAGAGGGGAACTGAACTCCCAACCTTTGGCTCCATAGCCATATACCTGCATCACTGAGTTAACCACCAAACAGACACATTGTTATTTTCACTGCTAATATACATATACCGATTCAGAGCACTTTATCATCATATTCATTCATATCTCATCCTTGTTCATTGATTTATACTTTATATTTTCCCTCTCCTTGAGCTCAATGTGACATATTGTCTGCCTTCCTTATCTTAATATTACAGCAACTTTAATGACTGCATTTTAGTGGCTCCAGAGATGTATAGTTGTGTTCAAAATTATTCAGCCCCCAATGCTGTAAAGGGGTTTAGGGACTATAGTGTACATTTGGAATTGTATTCAGAATGAAATCCTACAAGGACGTTTTAAAGAACCAAATGCAACTAAAATAACATCAATTGTTTATGTAATACAGTAGTAAATGTTTCTTTTGTGGTTTCTTCATTGCCACAATTATTCAACCCCTTAAAGACTACCACTTTGAAGAAGAGAGGTTCATTCAGGTGTTTTCGAACAGGTATTGAAAACACCTGTGGATGTCACCGAGCACCAATCAAGCATAAAAAGCACCAATTAGGCAGCTTTAAAAGGACTGTGATACTCAGCTCCTTCTAGACATTTACTGGTGTGGTTACAAACATGGTGAAGTCAAGAGAATGGTCCAGGAAGACAAGAGAAGAGGTGATTTGTCTTCACAGGAAGGGCAATGGCTATAAGAAGATTGCAAAGAAGTTAAACATACCAAGAGACACCATAGGAAGCATCTTTCGCAAATTCAAGGCAAAGGGCACTGTTGAAATGCTACCTGGTCGTGGAAGAAAGAAGATGCTGACTTCGACTGCTGTGCACTACCTAAAGCGTAGAGTGGTGAAAAGTCCCCGTGTGACTGCTGAGGAACTGAAAAAAGATTTGTCAGATGTGGGTATAGAAGTTTCAGCTCAGACAATAAGGCGCACACTGCGTAATGAAGGTCTCCATGCCAGAACACCCAGGCGCACCCCCTTGCTGTCTCCCAAGAATAAGAAGAGTCAACTGCAGTATGCCAAAAGTCATGTGGGCAAACCACAAAAGTTGTGGGATAGTGTTCTGTGGACTGATGAAACAAAATTAGAACTGTTTGGGCCCATGGATCAACGCTATGTTTGGAGGAGGAAGAACAAGGCATATGACGAAAAGAACACCTTGCCTACTGTGAAGCATGGCGGAGGGTCAATAATGCTTTGGGGCTGTTTTGCTTCTGCAGGTACAGGGAAGCTTCAGCGTGTACAAGGTACCATGAATTCTCTTCAGTACCAGGAGATATTGGATGAAAATGTGATGCAGTCCGTCACACACCTGAGGCTTGGGAGACGTTGGACCTTTCAACAGGACAATGATCCCAAGCATACCTCCAAGTCCACTAGAGCATGGTTGCAGAGGAAAGGCTGGAACATTTTGGAGTGGCCATCGCAGTCACCAGACTTAAATCCGATTGAGAACCTCTGGTGGGACTTAAAGAAAGCAGTTGCAGTGCGCAAGCCTAAGAATTTGACTGAACTGGAGGCTTTTGCCCATGAAGAATGGGCGAAGATACCCGTAGATCGCTGCAAGACACTTGTGTCAAGCTATGCTTCACGTTTAAAAGCTGTTATAACTGTAAAAGGATGTTGTACTAAGTACTAAGATTGAATGTCACTTGGGGGTTGAATAAAAACTAATAATGATGTGAGCACAGAAAAGACATTTGTGGTTATTTCATTATAAACTTAAGGTTATATTTCTCTGACCTACAAGTGCCTCTTTCATGTAAATGTAAGCAAGATGACTGAATGATCAAAATCAATGTCAAAATGGCCAAAACATTCAATTTCAGTGGGGGCTGAATAATTTTGAACACAACTGTAGTTTTATACCCACATACCAGGAGCAGCTGACTTGTCTCATTTGTAGCTATCTTAGAGACTGTAGTGCTTGGAAGAATGTCTAAGGCAGGGAATGTCTAGTTCACATTCTAGCATAGCTAAGGAACTCCGGGGTCGACCTGGGCCAGCCAGCATCTTTCAGTCTTGTTAAGACAAAAGGTTTAAACAAAATGTTATGAATAGATCAGATCGAATTAGTAGATAGAGTATGTTAAAGGTAGAAATTCCTTTTTGCAACTGCCAAGTTTCACACTGGTGACAAGATAATACCTTCATACTTCCAGGTCTCAGAACCAGTTACTACTGTGCAAGTGCTAACAATAATCCAGTGTGTAATTGTGTATAACAGTTCTTAGACATTAACAGCTGATATCTGGTCCTCTGCAAACTTTATCCTCTTTGCTAAATGCAGACATGCTTCTTGCAGAATTTCCTCAAACTGAGATTTTGGGAAATTTGGAACACATAAGGAGTAATGTTATTACTGAGAGGGTTTTACAGTGTAAATACTATATCTGTTACAATATATCTTTTCTGGAAAATTTGTAACATCTTTTCTCCTGGCAAAACTACTACAGTACTTGGCCTTTAAATAACTATCAAGATTTGTTTGTGATGTACAATGTTCTTATGCAGTGGTTTGGATAATCTGTATTAGTCCAGGAAGTGTGACATTTTAGAGATACATAGAGCCACTGTTGTAACCGAATTGACACAGCTATTTCCTTGTACAGCTTGCAATATAAGTGGTAATGACAACATGGCTATAAACTCCAGTAACACGATACATCATGAGGAGCTAATCTCCTCAGGATCAAAAAAAATCTGAAGTGTCCAATTTTCCTTTCAATTTGTTTATTTAATACTTCATTTGTGCAAACTATGTTAGAGTACCTAACCTTGTGTGTATGTGTATGTGTTTGTCTATGTGTTTGTGTGTGTTTTTATTCTCCAAAGGTTATGTATCGGAGAATCCATATCCATCAACTATCAGCCCATTTAAAGCATTTTCTCCACAACCACCCAAGTTTTTTAAACCCTTAATGCCAGTAAAAGAAGAGAACAAAAGGATCTCTCTTGAAACTCGGCCTCTACTTAGCAAAGAGGTAGGTAGCCGGAAGAAAATTATATTCATCTTTCTGAACCTTCAGACATTTATGAGTAAGTGGTGATTGTCTTTATCTCACAAAGTGTTTTGTAACTCACATTATGACATGGAAACCTGCGTTAAAATTACACAAATTCTTATTCTCCATTGGAATGATATGTTATTTCAGTTTCTTTTCCCTTTTGGTAAACTTAAACATGGTTTGGTTTGGGATAGGGAATGGATGAGTTTAAATATGTGTAATGTGAGTTGTCAGTTTCCACTAAAATGTGATATCATATTAGTAAAATGTTTCATGTTTACATAACTTCAGGGGTTTTTAAGCCACTAAGGGTCATGTTTCATGAATTTCTGTAGTTAACATGGGCCATTACACTCCCTTGCCTGAACTGTTTTAACAAGATCATGTCCTATTTTACTAACTTGCGCAATTTGATTGCAGTACGTTCCTTGTGTGATGTTGTGTGTGTCTTAACCTTTTCAGAGCATGCCTTCATCTCACTTACATAGCACTGATTGTGTTGTACCTTCAGGAAGTAATGGCAATAGCATGCCAGTAGAACACAGTAGAATGCATGAGGAGAAGATTGTAAGTGTTGCATCTGTTTTTGTCATAATGCCTGGTGGTGGTGTTCAGCACATTTATGCTACAACTGTGAGTGGGGATAGATATGCACTTGGTCCTTTATTGCATGTTGGCTTTTATGCATGTGACAAAATGCATTTTTAAAAAAATTGTGGTAAATGAATGATACAGCAAAATATGTGATAGGGGCATACTTACTAATAAACTATAGTTCGTTTCTGCATTGATGTCAAATTGTTAATGATGACATATAAAGCCCTAAATGGTTTAGGGCCTCAATATCTAGCAGAACGTCTCCTCCCACCTAGATGTACCTGAACCACTCATTCTAGCCGGAGGGGTGGCTGAGGGGCCTAACGGCGAGGGAGGCCCAGAGAGAAAGAACAAGAAACCAAGCCTTCTTGGCAGTGGCCCCTCGCCTTTGGAATAGTCTCCCTTCAGAGATCTATTTGGCTCCCTTGCTGGATGTTTTTAATAGCAGACTTAAGACCTGGTTCTTTAGGCAGGCTTTCCCTCCTGTCATCACTTGAATTTCTTTTTTCTTTTCCCCATCTTGAACTATATTACTATTGTTGTTTTTTATTTCATTATATTGGTTTTATTCCATTTTTGTATTGTTAGCCACCCAGAGTAGACTTCGGTCTAGGTGGGCAGGGTATAAATTAATTAATAAAATATTCCCACCCTCCCCCAACTGCTTCACAAGTCTAAAAAAGAAACCCCAAAGCACCAGTTGCCAGTTTTCCAGCAGTTTTTCATTTTTAATCTAAAAGGTTTTTAGCTGGGAGTGTAGCTTAGAGTTAGACTAACAATAGTAAATGTTAAAAGCAAGAGTGGGTTCACTTATATATTTTGTAGCTTCTTCTTCCTTTGGCTTCAATGTATGAGCTGTCAATTTCATAAACATAACTCAGTTCAGAGTTATTAATGCACAAACCTGGTGAACAAACAGTATGTGGGGGGAAAATTAAAATCGTACAATGTTTGATTTTATAATTGCTTTGATGGGCAGCGTGGCATTATTTCCAGGAGAGGTAGCTGGATAGCTCAGTGGTTTAGGTATCTGACTATGGAAATTGAGGTTGGAAGTTCAATTCCCCACTGTGCCTCCTGTGAGTACAGCCAGCCTGTGTGGCCTTGGACAAGCTGCACAAGGGTGCTCCCAGAAGAAGAGAATGGTAAACCACTTCGGAGTAGTCCCTTTCTGGAAAATCCTGAAAAAGGTCACCATAAGTCAGAATTTACTTGACTATACACAATTATTAATTTGCAGTAGACAAAGAAGCAAGTAACATAATTGGTTTCCAGTTATATACCAAACAGCTATGTAACATCTAGGTTTACTATCAATAAAGTGACTATGAGTCTCTCTACATTTTGCCTTAATTACATGGAGATTGTTGCAGAACTAGTGGTAGAGTAGAAAACAGTTATGTCAGATTGCCCAGGCTTTTTGAGGTACAGCATGAAATCTAAGTGTATCTAACTTCCAGGTAGTTGATATTACTGAATAATCTCTAAACTCTAATGCTGGTTTCAGTTATCTACTGATATTTAGTCACACTGTTCTCCTATTTTATTTTATTTTGTATAGTAAGTTAAGGGAAATTCTGCATGAAGGCAGTAAGAATGGCAAACCCTGTCCAAAGGTGATACAGTATAATAAAGCTGAAGGACAGTTATACTTCAAAAGTATGTATTAGCGGAATGAATACTGTCAAGATCTTTGTTCTTAATTTTTACAAACTGTGTATGTGGACATGCACAAGTACATCCAGGTATTCTAGTAACATTTCTATGAAGACACACAGTGAGAATCTATAAAAATGGCTGATTCCTTGGGGACATCCTTAACCCTTCAAGCAGCTTTTAATCTAATACAACATACTGAGTTTATGAACAGTTAAATGGATTTTATAATGGTCTCTGGAAATTGGATTAGTACAGCACTGTGCTACTACACAGCATATATAGCATTGCTGTGCAAAGTTATGTTCAGAGAACACATTGAGATTATTCACACTGCTAATGGGGGATTATAGTTAAAATTGGGCATGCAGTATTGTGTAGGAGATAGAGTGGTGCACTTGAACTCGAGAAACCTTGGTTTGCATTTTCATTGGACCATGGAAGCTCACGGTGGCAACACTGGTAAAATTGCTTAAATATGCCATCTTGAAAACCCCTGTTTGAATCACTATTAATCAGATGTGACTTGAGTCTCTTTTCCTATAAAAATGTAAATTGGATAGTATAATTTTGAAGTTCACATTTTTTTTTAGGTGTTAACCAAATCTATTCCTTTCAGTGTATAGAAAACATGCAGATTTCTAATATTTGAACATATGAGGCTGCCCAAATCCAATGTTATCCTACATTTTATGCACTTTCTGGAATAACCTTCATAGTAGAAAATGGTTACAAGTATTTTTTTTCTGTTTGTTCCAAAACACTAAGAAGAAACGGTGTGCTGACTGTTACAAACTGAGTTAGTGAAGGATAAGGAAATGTTTAGACCATGTTGGACTAGTTTAAGAAAGTCTGATGAATGATGAGCCCCACTTTACAGATTGCTGGATCTGAAGTCATAAAAATAAATCTGAACTGCTAATACCTGTAGTACATTGCAGTTCTGATCAGAATATCTGTAACTACTCTGTACTGTAGTATTGACACACCCCCATGAATAGAATCTCATGTTGCATCCAAATGGTCATGGCTTTGTTTTTTTTCTGTTTAAGTGAAAATGATTATTATGCAATGTTAGTAATGCTTTCATGAAAGCTCACAAGATGATAAATTGGGCAGAAATGACTTTGCATTTCTTTTTTCTCAAACCACCCTGCATCCCTCTCATCCAGCATGCTAGACCAGTAAAACCAAAGGGAGTTGTTTGTGACTCTGACATGGAGCCTCAGCAACTGACACAAACAAACAAAAATCAAAATCTCCTCCAGACACGTTTAAATCCTTGACTAAAATTTCAATAGGAATTTGGATCCCACCTATAAAACTTTTTCTGAGAACCTGGAAGAGAACAGTTGTTGTTGGCACAAGAATCAAATTCTGAAAAAGACAGAATGGCCCTTAGTAAAGGCAGTGTGCATAAGAGGCTTACCTGACTGTTCTTCACAGGATCTGACCACAAATATACATTGATTCATTCCTTGTTAAAATAGTGTGACGGTTCGACTTTTGGCTCATTCAATTCAAAGAAATCAGTAGGTTTTTGTTGCTTCGAAACAGGTGAAAGATTTATTGGTGCATTTAACAATAAACAGGTGCCTGCAACATGATTGTGAGTCTTTTCTCCTTCTGCCAATGGGTCCAGAAGGGGTTTCCAATCTTCATATAGGAACAGGTTTCCATAACTATTGTTCCATGGTCCCAGTAAATCAGAGGGGACCAGTCTCTTACGGTCTGCCCCGTCGGGCTTCCAACAAGGGCACGGTCTCGCTGTCCAGTCCGTCATCACACAGGATCCATCTCTCAGGGACTCGGCTCTCCCAGGATCCTCCTTGTAACTCCTTCTCTTCATCTCCCTTACTCTCTCCTTTCTCTCACAACTCTCTCTCCTCCCTCAGTCTCTGCCTCCACTCTCCCACCTCGGCTTCTCCCCAATAAGAGGGTCTGGGTGGAATTTCCACTCTCCTTCTATAATCTGCCTCCTCCTTAGGCACTCTTAGCATCTCCCATAATCCAGGGATCCTCCATCCACACCCATTCCCAACTGGGCAGCAACTGTTTTTCCTTTCTCTCTACCTCCCCCGTTCCTGCCTCAAACTTCACCCTCTTTTTCCTCTCCTTTCCTGCCTTGTCTCCCTGAACCTCCTCCCCCATTGTCACTTTCTGCATTTCTTCTGTCAGCTCCTCTATTTCTGTCTCTTGCTGAGGTCTCGCTGTAGGCTCTGGTGCGGGTTTGGGTTTCGCTTCCTTATCCTTGCTGTTGAGGGGGGAGTGGAGTATGCCTCTCACCTTCTGTCTCACAAATAGTTATTTGAACTTAGGATAGGTCTTCCATTTAGTTTGGTTTCATGTAATCAAATAATAACATGTAGTACATAGAACTGTGAGAAAATTAAGTTCTTTGTGGTGAATATACATGTTTGGAAGTTATTGTGTACTGCTAATAGTACAGGTATCTATTTTCAGCAAATGAGATAAAAATACAATTATAAAATATCTTTCTATCACTGCTAGATAGTTTTTAATAAGGAAAGCATTTAAATAACAGTGATGTGAACGGAACTTTTATGTAATACAATGGATGGAACCACTTTTGAAATGGAAAGATATATCTTTAATTCATTATTTATTTATTTTGCCTAAACAGTACGTCCTTAATGGAGTATTCATCATATGTATTCTTCACGGACTGCATTTTTAAAACACAACAGTAATAATTGTGCATCTTTATAATTTTAGCTGGACTCTGAAGAAGATGATGAGTTGCAGACCAATAATAAGAAGCCTTATGTCCCTGAGGAGTTTGCGGACTTCAGCATTTACAATGCTAGCCTCGAGAACAGGGAATGGTTATCTTCTAAAGGAGATTTTGTGAACTCTCGTATTCTTGAAAAAGAAGTCTCTCGTAGTCCGACCATGAGCAGTATTACTAGCGGCTACTTTTCCCACAGTGCCTCTAATGCTACTTTGTCTGATATGCTCGTTCCCTGTAGTGACAGCACAGATCAGTTGGCCAATCAGATGAGGGATTTGGACATCAGCGATCAATCTGTAGCTCACTTAACCTATGATTTTAAAACTTCAGACAAGGAGTCTTCACAACCAGAAAGGGACTTGGTGAATAAGAAGAGGTCCATGCCATCAGTTAAAGGAAACAGTGCCTTAACTACAGAGATTCCAGTGTCTGACAACACTGATACAGATGCTGCAAAGTTAAACTGTTCACCTTTGAAGTCATCAGCAGATAAAAATACACAACATGAGATTGAATTCCCATCTCGCGAAGCAACGGTTGAACATACATTAACTATTTTTGAAGATCATGCATTTACAGAATTCATGGGTGTAGGTGATGGAAAAAAATTAGAACATGAAGTAGGTTCAGCATTCTCTTCCAGTGGCAGTTCTAGCAGAAGAAAAAGGCTATCAGCACTTGGAATGAATTATGCTTCTGGTTTCTCAAAAAATACTCACAGACAGGATCATCTTGCGAGCCATGTGGAATCCTTACCTATGGAATGTCAGCTATCGAACAGTATTGAAAACCCATCATTGGTTGCCGAAGAGTCTTCATATTGCCAGATGTATCCAGATTCTTTCCTAGGAGAAGACTTCACAGGGAAAAGTCATTTAGATTGCTCTGGATGTGAAGATGCTACTTCTAAAGAGCACACTGATTGGGTGGCAGTAGGGGAACGAGTGTGCATTGGTAGCAATAAGACTGGCATAGCAAGATATATTGGGCCTGTGGATTTTTCCACTGGTACCTGGGTTGGCGTTGAATTAGATTTGGAGATGGGTAAGGTACCATTTTTTTGTCTTGTGTTTAGAATCCTGGTTATTTAATGTCGTGTGTCCTCTCTATTTGAGGACTAGAGAACTGTAACCTCTGAAAATATTAATACATGTTACTTTTATAACTATTTATATTCTAATCTTCCTTCAGACATGAAATTGAAGAAATTTCATGTTTGAACATGAAACTAACATGAATAAGTCAGTATTCTAGAAGGACAGAGAGTGATTCCTACTACCTGCCCCCAAGGAATCATGAAAAAGTCTGCTACAGTTAAGGCTTTCTGATGAAATAAGGAAGATGTAGTCTGTCTTTTAGGACCCAGCAAACAGTTTTACTATTTTGTTTTCTGCAGTTTCATGAATGGTAAAGGAAAGATTTCTATGAAGACAGAAGCAGAATTGATAATTACCGTATTTTTCGCACCATAAGACACTTTTTTTTCAAAAAAACATTGGGGGAAAAGTGTATGCGTCTTATGGAGCGAAATTCCCAGATTATTTTTTCCTGTTTTCTTTGCCTAAAAATGTGGTGCGTCTTATGGAGCGAAAAATATGGTAAATACATATTTGTGTGTGGAGATAGCCAAGCCCTGAATACTGAGCTTCCAATTCTCTCCCCATTTTGTAACTTTTCTGAAGTGTATTTTTCCCCAGAATTCCTTTTGGATTTAACTTTTAATGGTAAGATTGCCCTGAGTAATATCCCACCCATCCCAAATCTTAAAACACTATCAGGTTTTCTTATTCCTAGGTTGTCTTTTATCCTGGTGGTGAACAAGACCAAAACTGCCTAGCTTTAACAGGATTGCTGCGCTGCTTGTGACTTAAGAATGTTCATTGAGCTTCTAAATATTATTTTAAATTATACAAGTGTTATGAAAACAAAGTATTGACTTCTTTTAAAATAGTGTTTAGTACCTTTGTGCTTAGAATTAAAAGAAAATTTTAAAAAAATCAAAATGTGGTATAAGTTTACAGTTCCAGCCCCACAAAATAATTCTTACTGCATTCAGTCACAATATAATAAGATGATAATTTACCTCTATGTTTTTGCTTTTAGGGAAACATGACGGAACTGTAAAAGGTAGAGAGTATTTCCGCTGTAGACCACAACATGGGATATTTGTTCGTCTTGAATGCCTCACGAGAGCATCAGCTCCAACAAAGATATGCAGTAGCACTTCACAATCTCAGGTATCGTCCCACCTGGAGAAGGGGAAGAATTCAGTGCTTCAAGGGTCACCCTCTTCCAAAAATGGGGCAGGAGCCCTCTTTCAACCAGGAAATGCTGCAGCGTCCACTTTCTCTAGAAAACAAGAGATCAGGAAGTCTTGGATTAACTGATGCTGCCACTTTGTTCTTGTTTTTGCACTTGCTGCACACGTTACTGTGTGGAAACACTTTTTTCAAAGTAATTGTACAGTTTTAATCTATTAGTATTGAACATTTGAATCATGGACATGATGCTTTGGTTTCTATTTTAATAAATCTTATATAAACAAACATAGTGAGAGCGACTGTGTATCGCTTGCCTCGCTACAGGCAAACATGGCTGCACACAAAAAGACAGTCTGCAATTCTATACCCACTTAGGGGTAAAACCCCAGTAAACTCAGTGAAGTTTGCTTCTGAGTAAATACATATAAGATTGTGCTGTTTGTAAATACACTGTGAGGTACATGACTTCGTTGGCAACTGAGATCATACTTTAAACAAAATATTTTATTTTATGGGAAGGCAACAGAATGTAAATATATAGGGGAAACTGACCATATGCTGTTAATTACCAAAGAGCTTGTATTGGATTGACACACCTGCTGTTTATATTTTGATTTTTGTTGTACATGTTTGTCTTAGCTGATAGCTTGGTGCCATATTTCTAAATATTAACACCTGGCATCATGCTGCCTTATATCCTGTGTTTTGTAAGCACACTGAAGAGACTGGTTTCTTTTTCATGTTATTGTTCTTCCTATGGGCCTACCACTGTGCTGACTGGACATATACTGAAAATATTAACAATGCCTAAGGGTTGCATGTTTGGCATTTTTCATGTGCCAATATAGACCTACCAGGCAGTTTGGGTGCAGAAACAGTATTACTGCAGAGGAGAAGGTGGACAACATTTTTGATAAATGGCTTCTCTTTTGAAAACAGGGACAAGAAACAAAGCAGCAGCAGTAGATCATAACTACAAACTGTTTATTGCTGGCTGTGACCAAGCTCAAATAAAATGGTTTGAAGTGATTTCATCTGTACAGCTCATTTTGAATTATGGATTATGGATCTGTATAGTGTTTTTCAATTCTGGAGGAGCTATTCCATGTATAGATACTGTACTGGATATCTGTAAAGTAGAAGATGGTAAAACAGAAAGATAGGAATCACCTGCTGTTATTTGTTATATATTAGAAATTAACTGAGATAATGGGATGTTACAACCTGCTGCTCATCTTTGATTTATATGTATAGTAAGCTAACGCCTGGTATTTTGCAATTACTGTAAAGAAGTGTAATTTATATTTTATTTCTCCTGTACCATATTTAATTGGTACAGAAGATTTTGTGTTAGAATACAGATGGTTTACTTCAGATTTTATAAATGTTTGTGCCTGTTTGACTTCATCTTCTGTAACATAAGACTTTTTATTAAATATAATGCTTAATTATTTACCATTTCATAGTTTTGTAGGTCCTCCTGATATAAATATTGCATATGTGTATCAGGAGCTGATCAGAGAAGATACAGTATTGAAAGTTATGTATACTTTCAGATTTCATCAAAAGTCATTGCTTAGCAGTTACTAATTCCTCCCCACCATAGGTGGTGGAATACGTACCATATTTGAAAAATGACTTTCAGTTTATAAATTGTTTCACCAGAATAGCATCAGCTGTATTTTTTTCTTTTATAGTAACCACAGTGTCAGTATAATCTGAACTAAACTATTCCTCAGTGTATCTTCACAGGGAGCATGAGTACACCGCAAAAATAATAATAATGAGGGTTTGGGTTTGGGGCAGGCTTACACAGATTTTTTTCTATTGATCATATGATACAATAGGAAAAGCTAATCAATCTGGAGTCCCACAGCCCCAATGTGTAGTTTTTCCTCCCTACCATACTCTTCTGCTTTTAAAAACTAGAATCCTTTTCCTTCAGTTCAAAGTGTATAATCACTTTGAAAGACCAATTAGCATACACGCATACATGGAGCAATGATTTAGCAAAGCACCTTCCCTCCCCAGATTCACAAAGGAGGGCTAGGAAAGCCCACAAACATGCAAAAGCAAGCAGCACCAGCATTCACCTTTCTGCAAAGTCTCTGTCCCAAGAAACGTCTTTAAAAAAAAGCTTTTCCTCTAGTACAGCTTCTGTTTACTGTGTTTCCCCGAAAATAAGACAGGGTCTTATATTAATTTTTGCTCAAAAAAATGCATTGTGGCTCATTTTCAGGGGATGTTTTATTTTTTTCATTATACAACCATATACATTTATTCAAATACAGTGATGTCATGGTTCACGGGAGGAACCCTCGCCATTATCTGGAGGTGCAGACACTGGCAACCTTTTCTGTCTGCAGATTTAAAACATCAAATATAAAGAAGAGATCAAACTTGCTTATCTTGAAAGAGAATGGTTACTCCCGACTGCTTCTTTTTTCACAAAGTGATATCAAGCAAGGGAAAATCCCAGAAGCTGACTCCTTTTTTCCTCAGTTATCCACTTCAGGGCTGTTTTTTGACAAGTGTGAATGGCAGTGAGCATGAGAGGGTATCCTGTGGCTTGACATCCTTTTTCCTGCTGGCAATAGTGGCATGATATTGTGCAGCCATGTAGGGCCATTTCCTGGCTTTTTTAATTATGAGCACAGAAACACAATATGCCACGTTCCAAAACTGGAGTTTTTTTTTTTAACTGAGTATTTTTTATAGTTTAACAAGCAATCTACAAAATATGATAAGGAAATAAGTGCTTGGGGATGGAATTAAAACCACTCATTTACTCTTAAGGCAGTTCTTTTGAACTGCACCACTTACAGGCGCTTTGAATAGAACTGTAATTAGAAAGGATTTTTCTCTTCTAAGAGAATGTGAATTAAATTGCATTTCTTTTGCTGTGTAGTCACATCCTGACTGATGTATTTTGTGTTGAAGTAAACTACTTTTTAGAAATTAGGTATGTTTTTCAACAAACTATCCTGGATAAGTATTTGCTCACAGAAAATGCTGTCTCAAATTGAAGTGTAAAAATGAAATTCATTCTAAATGGCCTTAACCTGTGAAAGAATATGGTCGTTTTAACCTCATAAGATTGCATCCCTTGTTAGGCTAGGAGAAAAAACAGGAGATGGCAGTGTTGTGATACAACAGGGTGGATAACATACCATATCCACATGCAACTTCCAGATGCTTTTACAATCCTAGTCTGAATTTTCTCTTTACAAAAAAAAAATCATGCTTCAGGGAGTGTTAATCATTTTGAAATCATTTGACTTGGCCATAATTGAGCTTAGATTCCATGTCTAGTATGTGTGGTGGCGTTGTTTTACACTTTCAAAAATCGAAACAAGATACACTTGCTTTATGTATCTTCTTTTGATTGTTAAAGTTGTAAAATACTATATAATCGTGCCATATACACTGGAAGTAGACTTCAGGCACTTCCAGTTATGACAGGATGAGACAGTGTGAGTTGCAATGAATCTGTGTGTTTGAGTGGAAAACTGGTGCCAGGATCCACCGGAGTTGCTTCCCCCACATACAAAGGCTAAAGGTTGCTATAGCTCTAAGAGAATAAATAACAATGCTTAGCTTAATGTATTTGTAATGGGTTGCACAGTGACTTGCAAAAACAGAATATATGTACAAGGATGAAAACATGGGTTAGAAGTGTTGCACTACTAGTAGACATCACTAGATACAAACTAGTTTTTAAAGGTGCTTAAAGCATATTTTATTTATTTATTAACTTCTATGCCGCCCACACTACCCAAAGGTCTCTGGGCGGCTTACAGCTTTTAAAATACAATAAAAAGGCAAAATAAAAGGGCAAAATAATTAAAATGCAATTAAAATATATATTCTAAAATTTGCCATCAGACCCACAGCTGGTATTATTTCAATTAAAAGCCTTCTGGAACAGGAAGGTTTTGACCTGGCGCTGAAATGTCATCAGCGTCGGAGCCAGACGAATCTCAGTCGGGAGGGCATTCCATAGTCTGGGGGCAGCTGCCAAAAAGGCCCTTTGTCTGCAAGCCGTCCCTCTTATCTCCTTGAGGGACGGCTCTTTCAAAAGGGTCCCCTGGTTAGATCTTAACTGCCGGGTAGGTTCATATGGAAGGAGGCGGTCCTTCAGGTATCCAGGGCCCAAGCTGTTTAGGGCTTTATACGTCAAAACAAGCACTTTGAATTGGGCTCAGGCAGCAACTGGTAGCCAATGTAACTTGATATGTTCCCAAGCGGCCCCATCATTCACCAGCCGCGCAGCTCGATTCTGGACCAGCTGCAATCGCCAGACCGTCTTCAAAGGCAGCCCCACATAGAGCACATTGCAGTAATCTATGTGAGATGTTACCAGTGCGTGTGTAACTGTTATGTCTAACATTGCCTAACACTGAAATCTACAGTTCTGTGTTGTTTCTACACAATTTTGTGTGACCCAATGTCACATAATATAACTAAGTGCATCAGTTATTTACATTCATATGCAACCTTTCTTAATGTTTCACATTAATGTATACATACAGTATGAACATTTTAGAGGAAGCAAGAGGATAATTAACCTTTAGACTAGCATTTGGCCTTAATATTAACAGAAACAGGTTTAGAATTAATATTTAGGTAAGTGCTATATGGCTATTTCTGATTTTTCTTTTGTTATAAAACAGATTAAAATGGCTATCTGCTACATTACCTTTATGGACAATTTTGTATCTGTTTTTAAGTTCTATGATTTTTGAAACAGCAGTTTTATTCAAAGCAGCTGAAGACAATGGAAACCAAAAATATTGTGTTATATTTTTATTTTTCTGTTTTGCTAATCATTCTACTAAATACAGTACCTAGTATATATTAAAATACAAACAGGATAAAATAAAGCACTAAATTGTTGCTGTTTCATAAGGAAAAACATTAACAAAACCCAAAAAGAAAAAACCATAAGCAGTAAAAAAATCTTCCAGAGAAAACAAGGACCTGCAAAAAGAAACAATAACAAGTTTCAAATGGGAACTACAACAAAAAGTCTTATTTAAGTACAAATAACAAGACCAGTAATGGATTTGTATGTACACATTTATTGTCCTGAAAGCAAAACATCTTGACTGTAAGTATAACATATTTCAATTCTATGGAGCTATTTGTTTACTTACTGATGAACCTTGCAAACACAATTAGAGTGGTCGAAATGACTAGATAGGCGGGGTATAAATACAATAAATAAATAAATAAATTTCACAAAATGAGCCTCTTCTTTATTCACATTTATATCACAGGCAACACGAGCAATTATAAAAACAGCCTAATCCTGTTATAGTACTGCAGATCCTGTTGTATAAACAGTTACACTTTCATGCCAGAAGAGCAGTATCTTCAACACATCTCTGCATGCCATTGCATTTTCTGGGGGTATGCATTAAGGGCAATCCCTAATGAAACCTTTAGTAATCACACAGCTGGGATCCCTGGTCTCAGGTTTCTGTTGCATCGTTGCTTGATGTAGTCCAGAGCAACAACACACGCAAGCATTTGTACTCTAGGAACACTGAACAGGATCTTGCCCTAAATATGCAATGGCTAGAATCCTATTGGTATTGTGACAAACAAAAAAGCACCAGAGCAATAAAAGCGAAGGTCCTGTGGCAGCCGAAAAGATTTGTCACATTTATTCCAGCCTTGATTTAAGATGCCACAGCCCTTCTCGTCTTGTTTCCGCTTCCGTCCCCCCCCCCAACCCTCCGGCGTAGGTCCGGAACACAAAACACTAACGCGGCTTCTAACTGCGAAATCCGTCCTCAAGGCCGTTGAGCCGGAGAGCCCACCTTGAGTTGCGCGGGCGCAAACTGCCCGGGCCTCGCTCGCTGGAAAAGGCTGGAGGGGGGCTTGGGACGGTCCGCCAGAGGGGTCCGGCCGGTCGCTGCTCCCCCCTCCGTCCTTCCTTCCCTCCCTCCGTCCGTCCAGCCAGTAGGAGAGGAACCGCTTGGGAACCCAGGCTTGCTGACATCGGCGAACGGGAGAGGGCGGCGCGGGGCAGACGTGCGTCCCCTCACGCAGGGCCTTCTCTCTCCTCAGGCCTGCTAGAGGCACCGCCAGTCGCTGGGCCCGCCCTCGCCGCCCGGTTGTTGTTGTTGTAGCGGCAGCGGCGGTTCCGGCCCCTGGGTTTGACTCGGACGCACGGCAAGGGTGGTAGCGGTAAGTCCCGCTTGGGCTCGTCCGCGGAGGCCCAGAGGCTCAGGAGCCGAGCCGACAAGAGCACCTGGAGTGCCGGCGGTGCCGCAGCTGCTTTCGCCCGTTTCCTCGGCGGGAGGACCGGTGTGGGAAGGAGGAGGGAGGGCAGCCTATTCCCCCCCCCCCTCAGCCCCGTTTCCTGCCTTCAGAGGAAGGAAAGTCACGAACCCCGATCTCGGGTTTCTCAAAGAAATCCCCCTCCTCGGGAACGAGTTGTGTGTGTGTCTGTCTGTCTGTCTGTCTGTCTGTGGGCTCCTCTGGGTCGTGGGTGGGTCGCTTCTTTCGGCCTGTGGGCTCCCCTCGGTTGGCAGAATCGCCTCAGCTTCTGGAGAGGAAGGGGCACCGTGGGGTGTGTGTGTTTCTTCCGCGCTCTCCCCCTTTTTGCGCGATAGCACCTGAACGGCCCTCGAAGAGGCGATCGGTGCCCACCTGAGGCAACGGAGACGCGGCGCTTATTTATGCCGGGACGTTTGTGCCTCCTCCTTCTGGCGCGCCTGCCGCGCTTGGAGGGCCTGTGGGCTTGACAGTCGCGCCCTCGCCCTCGCCTTCCCTCTGGGAGGCCGGGGGGGGGGACACCCGGGGTTGGGAAGAAGGCCGCGCAGACATGAAATCAGTAAAAGAGAAATCTAAAATCTAAAACATGTACGCTTCACTTTGCTCCTTAGTTTGTACCCTGCCCACTCCGTTTATCTAGAGAGATCGGAAAACGTCAACTATTGTTTCAAGGCGTTCTTCCATAATTAGCCCTTGGCCTGCTACCCTGTTTCAGAGACAATAGAGTTTTTCCAGAATGAAGCACCGAACATCTGGATAGGAAGCTTAGCAGGGATCCTGTGCTTTTTTGCAGTGTGACATCTGAGGAGGAAAAACGTGGATAAGCTTGAATCTTCTTAATAGAACATAAAAGGTGTGGATCTTAGTTGGATGGGCAGAACGTCTGCTAAGGGGAATGATAAAAGTTCTGTCATCTAAGGTAAAATGAGATTTGAACGTCTTGAAGTTCATGGCATTCGCTTAACAAGGCTTAAAGTTTTGTACAAATTATCTTGAAAATTCTATCCAGAGTATCCTTGCTATGGGATAAAATCATCATACTTTAGGAGATAAATACATATATTAAAAACCTGCCTCAAAAGAACTTGAATATTTCAGGTGTCCTGTTCCACTAGGTCACTCTTGTAAAACAAGCTCCAAAATTACAAGCATGCTCTTTCCTCAAACAAATAAATCTGCGCGCACACGCACACGCACACACACACGCACATGCACACACACACACACACACACACACACCACTCTGCTTGCTAGTGGCTGGCGGAGGTCTAGACATCACATTCCAGAACTGAATACTGGAGAGGGGTCTTTTGCGACCTCCTTAGTTCCTACGCTGGTTGCACAGGAGTGGTGGAGCACTCTGCAGCTCCACAGTGAGTGCATTCATTCACCTGCATGCAGTTCATGGTCACCTGTGGCTAGTACTTAAGGTGTTCCATGCTTAATGCTTACCTTCACAAGAGTGAAGCAGTCCTGTGACACCTTAAAGACTAACACGTTTTATCTGAGATAACCTTCTACAGACTGTGATTCATTTCTTCAAATGTACCAGTGGGCTGGAGTTCTGCAAACACTGATACCAAAGAAAACATGTTTGTCTTGAAGGTACCACGAGACTCTGATGTTTTTGCTGCAACAGACTAACAAAGCTTATCTCCTCTCACCCAAGCAAAGAAGCAAAGTGCTGACCAGAGATTCTGAAATGTGTCAGTGTGAGAAAGCAGAATAGCAACACACAGGGTAGTATTACCATTGTCATGGCGTGAGTGGGAAGAAGTGTTTTTCTACTTTTCATGGCCAAAGACTGTAGCTATTGCATTGAAGTCTGTCTATAAGGGCAGTAGCCAGCTCTTTCTGAGCTCAGTGAATAGTCCTTAAACAGCCCAGTGAGGGAGCAGAACTTCACCCACACATAATATATCCCAGATACCTGCAGCTGGAAATATTTAGTATGTGAATCTGTTCTGTGAAATGTTGCTATCTTGTCAGGTAATATTCTAAAACATTTTTACATTTAGCTTTTTTTTAATTGCAGTTACTACTGAACAGTGATCCTGATGTTTTTTTTCCACTATACCACGAGAAGGTTGGTTTCTCAAGTTTACTGTGGACTTAAACCTGCTTCATCCAAGAAACAAAGGACCTGCTTTGAAATGGCAAGACCTAGTTCAAGTAAGATAAGCAGCTGCCCATGGCTTGTGTCTTTCTGTGTACATACAAACTAAGATGTTTATGAACTGATCTTTTCTTTTGCAATAAATGAAAAACAAAAAACAAAACAAAACATATTTAAATTATTTGGGTTTTGAGAGACAATGTTGACACAACTGCTTCTACAATCAGATCAATTAAAATATTCCGTCAGTTAAAAAACATTTTTAAAAATATAGGTTTATTAATACATCACCTTTGTAAAGGAACTTTTTCTAAGTTTTCCTCTTTAATGGTGGAATTGCTTGTCTTGGTAGATACATGTGTGCAAATGAGTCTTTGGGTAGTGAGGTTGTTGTAGTAATGTCAGCCAGCCAATTCCTGTACAGCTTGTCTCCATGCTTCAGAGCAAACTTGTTTGTAAGTTCAGGATCCAGCTGATTTAAAAGAATTCTGTGTGCCATCAGGTGGGAAGGAAAGAACAGAAAAGCTGGAAATCCTTGTCTCTCCCATCCCTGCAATGTTGTTGTTTTTTTTTAAGAAAATTGGTTCCCAGTTCTCTGTTCCTAATAATTTGTCATCATGACCCAAACAGTGGAACATTAGTCAGTGTTGACAGTTTTTAGGAAGATAATATTTTTAGCAGGCAGAGATTCTTAAATGAAGTTGCCATTTTCTTTATTTGTGGGTGGAGTCCTTGGTCACCATGCTACTGAGTTCATTTTTTAACCTTAAAAAATTTAAATAGTATGAGATAAAATAAAATGAACTCAATAGTATGGTGATTGAGCGATTCCGCCCAATTTACACCTGGATAAAATCCTATGAATTACATTTCCGAGCACAACACAAACTATGTAACTTGTGGAGGCAAACATAGCAAATTAAAAAGTCAGTATAGATGTTATTTGTTGCATACCAAGTTGTGTGACTTGTTGTACAAAAAATAATGTTTATGCTAACTTCATAAAGTGCACAAATTTACTTCTAAAAGCTATGCTGTTTGGATTATGCTGGCAATAGGATTTTGGCCTTTGCTTGATGTGAAACCCAGCACCTGCTATACTCACCTTCCACTGCAGTCCTATTTGCAAGTGATAGCTCAATGGATTAGGTACAGTGGTGCCCCGTATAGCGTAAAAGCTATGCTGTTTGGATTATGCTGGCAATAGGATTTTGGCCTTTGCTTTGCTTGATGTGAAGCCCAGCACCTGCTATACTCGCCTTCCACTGCAGTTCTATTTGCAAGTGATAGCTCAGTGGATTAGGTATTTGGCTGCAGAGTCAGAGGTTGGGAGTTCCAATTCCCCGACTGTGCATCCCAGAAAAGCCAATCTATGTGGCCTTGAGTAAGCTGTGCAGTCCCAGGGCATCCCGAATAGAAAGGAGTGGTAAAATGCTTTTGAGTACTCTCTACCTAGAAAACCCGAAGAGGATCACCATGAGTCATAATTGACTGGATAGCAATTATTATTATTATTTAAATCATGTAAAGTAAAATGAGATGCCTTCTGATGTCTTCAGCCAGGAGGCTTTGTTAGTTTTGATCATCATTAGGCCAGTCCTTGATTCTCAGCACTTTCTAGTTCTGCTACTCAAAATTTGAGAATGCCAACATGCAAAATATTGTTTATATTTTATTTTAAAAGACTAGGTAACTTCTATAAATCATAGTATGCCCTCTTCAAGACACAGTATTAAAAGATGAATAAAATTAATATTCATATAATATAGTATTCCTGAAAGAGTATGTTAGCACTTATCAAAACACTTACATTTTTGTAGGGCCAAACATGGGAAACATGTTTTCCCCTTCTGGTCACAAGAGATACCAGATCTTTAAAGCACAGGCAAAATTACTCAGGTTAAAAGAGAATCATTTCCAATCCAGTCCAGCCAACTTTACAATGAAATGAAAAAGGAATTCCAGCATGACTTCTCCTCTTCCAACTCAAAATAGTTTTGCATACATTAAATTTTAAAATGTGCCTTTTAAAACTGCAACAGAGTTGACTTTGCTTTCTTTTTAAAGATATGGCTGATTTTCGAGAAATGTTTGCTAAAGCGAAGCATATCGCCATTATTACTGGGGCTGGTGTTAGCGCAGAGAGTGGTGTTCCAACCTTCCGAGGTGCTGGGGGCTACTGGCGGAAATGGCAAGCTCAGGTGCGTACTACTAGTCTGCATTCTCATGATGGTAAATAACCATCTTGGTAGCTTTTGGGAGCATTGAGATGTAGTGTCCATGAAGGAAAACATCAAAGAAAAACATCGAGGAAAGCTCTCCAAAGGTGTCATCCTGTTGCATGACAATGCCTCATCGCACACTGCAGGTGAAACAATGGCAAAACTGACATCCTTAGGCTTTCAAGTGATGCCCCATCCACCCTATTCTCCCGACCTTGCTCCTCCTATTGTCTGTTCCTCAGACTCCAAAAACACCTAAAGGGACAACGATTTGAGAGTGGTATGGAGGCAACTAATGCTGCAAATGAGTGGTTACACCAGTAGTCAGAAGAATTTTATTTGCAGGGACTTAAGAAGCTGCAGGACAGATGTCACAAGCGCATTGACTTCCTCAGGGAATATGTAGAATAGTGTGACAGTTACAGCTTCCTAGCTCAATTTTTTCTGGGAAAGGCTCAATACTTATCAGCACCCTCGTGTAATTGGTACAGTTGAGAAACGAATCCATGCAATACTTCATGTTTCAAGGTGTAACTGTTTCAGTAAGAGGGTTACCATTCCCAGCATCTTCCAGCTAGCATAGCCAGTGGAGATACAGCCTTTCTATTTATTTAAGTTGGGACCCCAATAGTATTTAAAAATTCAGATACCTAGCTCTTACTGCTTAGGAGATTTTTTGGACAAGCTAACAGACATTTGGATTTAAGTAAGATTAACAAAGCAACAAATGATCTTTTTCCTTTTCAGGACCTGGCTACCCCAGGTGCTTTTGCCAAGAACCCCTCTAGGGTGTGGGAGTTTTACCATTATAGGAGGGAACTTATGATGACTAAACATCCAAACCCAGCACATATTGCCATAGCAGAGTGTGAGGCCAGACTGAACAAGCAAGGCAGAAGTGTTGTGGTCATCACACAGAATATTGATGAGCTCCACAGAAAAGCAGGAACAAAGCATCTCTTAGAAATTCACGGTAAGAATTGACATTAGAGCCTTGCTGCTGATGTCTTGTTCAGATTTCCTTTTTACAAGTTTTGGGGTTTTGATATTTTGTGGTATAATTGGAGATCTTCCTCTCCTGTACACAAAATCAGATGTATGTATTTTGAAAGTTCGAGATAAACATATAGAAGATTTGCAGTTGCGTTTTTTTAGTGTTGCAGGGTGAAATATAGCTGGAATGGATTTGGAAAGGGGAAGGATAAAAAGCACATCTTCCATTTTGATTACATTGGCAAACCAAATAACTGCTTTGGATAAAAAAAGAAAATATTGGGAGAACCAATCAGATATTTCATATATCCTATGTAAATTTGGCCTTGAAATGTCCTTGAGAAATTAACATGTGGAAGCAAAATAATAATTGCACTCATGCCTAAACAAACTAGGTTTCAGATGGTTGTATGCAGCCTTCCCTGTATGTAGAGAGTTTTAGGTCCCCTTTCTCACTGAGGGTACAATCAGATAGGCATTTATCCTTTGCTTTGATTTGGGTTGGGGACAGGCTGGTTTGCTCCTTTTCCCATTAAACACATGATATTGTTACCATTGTGAACCAGTCTGCCCTGATCCATGCTTACCTGCACTTACTGTTGTTTCTTGGGTGGCTGCGGATCGGATGGCACTGTTTTGGTTGAGTTCCAGTGTGTGTGATTGCTGGGACTGAACTAGTTTGGGTATCTGTCTGTCTGTCCCAGATTAAGATTATTAATCAGCTTCAGCAAAGGGACAGACAGACAGCCGCTTAACGATTTTGAGAAATAGGAAGCTTCCTTTTCCATTAAAGGGAAAGAAGATCAGTCTTGATCATGCTAAACAGGGTGAGTTGAGGTGGGGTGTGTAGTTGATCTTTGTGGATGCAAAGATTGACCCAAATGACTTACTGCATCCCAAAGCGACACTCTGTAGCACAATTTAGACCAATCCCGGCTAGGACAATTTTGCTATCTATTTGCACGTGAAACAACTCATCACCGCTTTCGAAGCATTATTGAGGGCTTGGGGACCCATCTGTTCCTGCAAGGAAAGAAAATTAGGAGTACTGTGCTTTCAGTGCATGCACCAGGTTCCTTAATTTCTAACCACACCTTTTAATTCACTTATCCTAAAAACATTAATGAACAAGGCAGGCTTTTGAGGGAAATTCTGGTTCATAAAGTCTTTTCTTAACTTAAAGTACTATACAATTTGTGTGTTACTTTTCTATTCAGTAAGATAAATTGTTTTCAGAATATATCAATGACTATTTATAGTTGAGTCCTTATATGTTAGCTAAACACTCCAGTAGTTTGTGGCTAGCTAATATATATTGTTTCTTTTGTAAGAGCTTTGTGATATTTTGTTTCATCTTAGAATGTCTGACTTTTGTCATTTGTACTTCCTATATTAGGCTTACATGTCTGTATTAAAAATTTCATATGGACAAAAGAAGATAAGGTTTAAAAGTTGTAATCTGGATTCTTTCTTTACAGGTAGTTTATTCAAAACGCGATGCACTAGTTGTGGAAATGTGACAGCAAATCACAAGAGTCCAATTTGTCCTGCTTTGGCTGGAAAGGGGTAATTGTAGTATATTGTCAGTGGGATGTGATGGAGATGTTGACTCCTACTTGGGGCATTTTCTCACAAGGATGTCATTTTAAGTAAAACTATGGGTGATAGTTGCTCCTCTGAAATGTATGAATTGAAAGCTCTTTTACTTCTGCATAGGGAGAGGGACAAAAATGCTTTCTAATAGCATCCTCCATAAGAGCCAATGTAGTAGTGGATAGAGTATTGGGCCTCAGTTCAAATCCCCACTCAGCTGTGGGAACACGTGGGGGTGGCACTGATGAAACCATAACTTAAATATTTCATGAACCTTGGAAACCGTACTAGAGTCGCCATATGTCAGGATCAATTTTACAGCACAGAATATAGCATCCTCCATGTTTCTGCAGTGCTGCTTCAGAAGGCCCACTAATGTGGGGTGGGTGGGTGCTCTTTCAGCTCTAGGAAGCTGGTGCTTGACAGAGACTTTAGAAACTCCTATGCATGACTGTCTCATGCAGGTGTCTGAAAATTTGCAAGAAATAGTTTCTACAATGATTTTTAAATCGTTCTAAATGAAAATTGGTAAAAAAGACAAACTTACTACATACAAATTTGTGAAATATCTATCTTTATTTCCAAAAGAATAAAACTTCTCTGGCACTAGGCTTCTGTTTTAAGATAGTTACTCTTATTTCCTTCAGACTAGTTCTCGGCAGGAAATTGTTGGAATAGTTGCTTATTACCTCACTATAATAAATATTTTCACTATCCAAAGTGAAGAGTCTCCTTGATAAGATTTTAATGTATGTACTTGGTTACTGCTGACAAAATGTTCATAATTTAACTTTAAAAAATGTGTGTGTGTGTGTCATAATTTCAGTGCTCCAGATCCTGATGCAGAAGATACCAGAATTCCTGTGGAAGATCTTCCTCGGTAAGTCTTGAGCAATTAATACAAAAGTCTTAAGATAAATACCTGTTATCTTATCATCTAGTCCTACCATCTGTTTAAATGGGTGGTAGAACTTCCTTGTCAAAGGACAGACCTTTTTTTACCTCCAGACAAAATCAAATTGACTCCTAAACTACAGTCCTAGCATTCTCATGCATTAATGTGAACATGAATCCAGAATAACCACTGTTGCATATGCTAGCCCTGTGTTATACATGTGTTCAGTGAAAAGAAAGATACAGCCTGTATGTGTGTGATGTATGTCTGACGGTTGCATGCATGTGATCAGGGAATTCTGCCATATAGGCCAGTATCCTGCTGCATGTAGCTGGAGTGGGATCAGCAATAGTGGCAGGTAAGAACTAATTAGAATTTCTGCTTCAAGTTGTGTGCAACTTGGATGTAATGAGATGAAGTTGCTTGCAAAACAAAATAGAAGCAAGAACTTTTTAATTACCAACATTTTGCTATTGCCAGTGATCTCACTCCCACCACGCTGGTTGAGCTACACAGCAGGATTTTTGGCGTTGGGTTCATATGCTATGCAGTTAGCCTCTTTTTATATTTCTCTGTAAATATGTATAGCACATGTGATCCCTGTATGCAGAGAAGCTGCCCTCCTGCATCCAGTTCCCAGAGCTGAGAATCGCATGTCTGCAGAGTCCCTGTTCTGTCAGGATTGAGGTTATTAGCACTGATCAAACCTGTTGCTGCATCCTGGCATTGGTTCAGTGCCTGTATAACTTCATTTGACTGAGATGACAAGGAGAAATAGAGCTTGATGTCACTAGCATACTGAAGTGTGAGGGTTCGATATTCAGCTCCAGCCCCAAAAAAATCACCAGACTTCCTCGGCTTCAAGATGGGGGTAACATTTATTGCTCAGTTTAACAACAATCCTGTGTCAGCAAATGTATTCCAACCTTTCTCCCCATCAGACAACAGGTCTACCGGGAGTTTCCATTTAGCAAATTTAAAAGGGTTTCCATTCTGAACATTCCAGGGTCCCAGCCATTCAGGTGGAGTACCCAGGTTTAATAATAATCCATTCTCCCCTTCCAGTATGGGGATGGTGTCTTCGTCTCGATAGTGCACCCAGTCACACTCCCTGGAGGGCTCCCCCGTCTGCCAAGGTCCTCCCTTGGTCCTGTCTGTTGCATCTCCCACATCCTCCATTCTAATGTCTCCCTTTGTCCTCTTTCCACCTTCTCATCTCTTAATTTCTTCCGCCACTCCTTGGTCTCTCTTTCACCCCAGTATGATACTTTAGGGGTGAGTTCTCTCCTTCTCCTCGCATCCGCCTCCTCCTTCAGGACCATTTTTCTACCTTTCCCATCCAGGGGTCTTCAACCCATATCCACTTCCAGCCTCGCGGCAACTCCCCTTCCCCTCCTTTTATATCTCCCAGTCCCGCCTCCACTACTTCCTGTGCTTTTTCTTCCCGTCCCGCCAATACAGTCCCAGTGTCCTTGACCGTTATTTGTTCAAATCCTTCTCTAGCCTCTCTGGGTCTGGTCCAGGTGGTTTTGTCTCCCTGGGTGGGAGAATGAGCAGGGTCTGGCTCTGTTTCTCAGCAGTAGGCAGGAGGGACGGCACTCCCGTGAGAGGAATCTTGCTCTCACCCTTGGTCTTACATGAAGGCACCCAACTCCAAAGCTCCTGAAGACTTCATCCAGTGGCTTCATATAGAAATTAACTCATTGAGGATAGAACATAATGGCATCCCGTGGTTAAACAGACATGGAGCTAAACAGATAACACCCTAATGTAGGGGCAGGCAGTATATGTTTCGTGAAATGCATGTGTCCCCTCAAAGGCCCAAATATGCCACCCCAGCACCCTGTTTACCCCAAATGTCTAAATGAGAAAATGCATGGCTCGTGTCTTGTAGAGGGCATGATAGGCAGGTTTGCTATGTTTTGAGGAATTCTTGCCTATTAAAAAAATAAAATAAAAGAGCTACCAGAGGGCATTGAAAGGTTTCAATAAAACAGTAACACATCCCATTTTCTTAACAAAGAATCTTTTGGGGATTGTTTTTGCCCCAGAGACTCTGGAAGTGCACCCCTGCCCCAGTGACATACACTGGAACATGGTCTGCAAGTTATAGCAGAGCCACTATAACTTGATGCCCACTCCTCTCATCTTGCAGAACCATCCAGTGAGATAGCATGGTGAGCAGTATCAAAAGCACTTTGGAGATCCAGGAGAATCAACAAGGCAGCATTCTCCATTTTAACCTCTAAAGAACATCACAAAGAAGTTGTGGCAACCAAAGCAGTTTGACACCAAATTGAAACTGTCCCAGATAACTGGAGCATTGGTTGTAGAATACTGATTTTAGTATGTGAACATACATTGAATTCTTCCCTTTTAAAACAAGTACTTTTGGGTTAATCACACCCTTCATTTGCATAATGGCCCTTTTAGGGCTGCAACATATGAGTTGTTGGACTGGACACACTACTGAGACAGACTGATGTAATTCTATTAATATTATTTTCCTTGTAGTTTTCTTTAGAGTGTAAATAATAAGCATTGTCTGAGTTTACAGTAATACAACTGCAACAGACTGGTACAGATGCAACAGACTTTCTAGTAAATTAACTGAATACTTTTAATTGCTTTACTTTTTATAATTTTGGGAGGCAGATGTGAAGACTGCAATGGACTTTTGCGTCCTCATGTTGTGTGGTTTGGTGAAACATTGGATTCTGATGTCCTTACAGAAGTTGAAAAAGAACTTGAGATATGTGACCTTTGTTTGGTGGTAAGTGTTTTTTTTTACAATTTCCTGTTTCTTTGCCTTTAATATTTCTTGACATTAACTTAATAAAACTTAGCATTTTAAATGAAATGTGACCTTAATAATGAAGCTTCACAGTGTTAATATGGCACAAGGTTGAATAGACCTTCATTGTATATTGTGACATAACAGTCAAGTGTTTGTAAATCACTGATTTTACTTGAACAACAAAAATACATTTCTTTTTGATACATATATTTAACTACAAAAACAAAGCAACTCTTACACTATAATTTATGTTTACAATGAGAAGGATGAGCCCTTAAGATATTACTGATCTGTGGTTCGAGAGACAGGAAAACATGATATCAACACCAGGCAGCAAAATTAATGTATGCTGAGCCCATTAATTATTCTGTTGGTGACTTGGATGAGATATGTGTTCTCTTTCTCAGATTGGTACTTCTTCTGTAGTAAATCCTGCTGCTATGTTTGCTCCTCATGTGTCTGCCAGAGGAGTGCCAGTTGCAGAATTCAACATGCAAAGCACTCCAGCAACAGATAAGTTCAGGTAACATCCTAATATTTTTCTGTTAATAGAGGAGATGTAGTATGTACTGTATGTATGTACCATGTTTTCCCGAAAACAAGACAAGGTCTTATATTAATTTTTGCTCCAAAAACACATTAGGGCTTATATTCAGGGGATGTTTTATTTTTTTCATGAACAACAATCTACATTTATTCAAATACAGTCATGTCATCTTCTTCTGGTTGCTGCACAGTGGTGGAGGGCGTGGTCTTATTTAACAGGGGCTTATTTTGGGGGTAGACCTTATATTACAAGCATCCTGAAAAATCATTCTAGTGCTTATTTTCAGGTTAGGTCTTATTTTCGAGGAAACTGGGTATGTATGTATGCATGTATGTATTTATGCATTTATTTGATACTATGTCATTTTGATGAAAAAAAATGCAAGACAGCTAATAACCATAAAATACAGATTTAAAGAAAATATAAAACCTTGCTTAAAATATTTGCAAAAAATGGAATTAATTCAAAACATAACAATAAAAGATAGAGCCAGAACCCCCATTTGACCAACAACACCGCCCACCTCAAATCCAGCTTATACTGTATGCCAAAAGTCTGCATAAATAAAGGACTTTTTTGCTTGCTGGCAAAGGATACAAAAATAGCATGCTAGTCTCCCATGGTAGAGTTTTGGAGCTGGGAGTAGTGACCAAGAAGTTATAAATCTTGTGTTCCCACCAGATGTGCCTCCACTGGGAATGGGACTGAAAGAGGAGCGTTCAGTGAAGATCTTAAAGCTCTGAAAGGTGTATATGGGACAATACAAACTTTCAAATAGACTTGTCTCAAAGTTCTACTTAGATCCTCTCCTTTGCTGCAATGAATACATCACTACTAATTATTTCCTATTCTGTCTAAAATGCAGAATAGGAAAGACAATGCCAGTTTTGAATGTCAAGCCACAGGCCCCTAAACCTATTCAAAATCATAAAGATTGGTGGGATAAAAATGAAAAAAATCAGATTAACTGGTTTATGGGAAGAGAAATAGCCAAAACAGATGGCCACAACCTCTTGTGTCTCTGTTTGGGATTTGGGTTGAAGTTCTGTTGTAGCAGACAAAGTTCATTCATATATTATTTCTGTATATTCTGTATATATCTGTGTGTGTGATAAAGAACTATTTCAATCCTGGATAATCTTTTGTTTAAGGTTCCATTTCCAAGGGCCCTGTGGCACTACATTGCCTCCAGCACTTGCTCGCCATGAAACTGAACTAATCTCATGAGCATTTATCAGAAGCATGGAGAAAACGGGGCAGGGTGCAGATGTGGAAAACTCAGAAGAAGTAGAAGACATCTTCCCTGTAACAGAGCAATAGGATACCAGGATCTCAGTGAGCAAAATAAATCATGGTTCTCCAACTGATCATAAGAATGAGCCGGGGAAAAGAATTATCATGGACAGGGACACTTGAAAAGCATTTAGTTTTGCTGGATAAAATATATGTAAAAGGAAAGCATAACAAGCCTAGAAATTCAAACACTGATAACTTGAGAACACAAATAACATCTTGTTACAATCATATGGTATGTTTGGCAAATTTTAAACATGGAAGGACTTCACCATTACTGCATATCACACAAAGTCATTTTCCAGAACTGGTGTAAAATTATCCTTTTTAAAAATGGAAGAGAAAATAACCAAATTGTCAAATAACAGGTTTTAATAGAGCATACACTCCAGTATTTTTGCAGGAAAACAAAATGTAGTGGTGTTTCTCATGAGATTGTTCAGTGCACTCACAGAAAAGGTTCAGGTTTGAGATAATGCCTCTGATGACTGCCTGAGAGAATCATTGAAGGAAGAATCACAGTATCAAATCATCCATATGCATAGCACATATTCTTGGTTTCTTTTGCTTTCAGACTCACATGAATACATTTCTGGGTTGATCACGGTCATTTATTTCTCTTCTTTTGAAAGGTGCAAGTTAAAATGGCTGGCTGTATTGTTGCAAAACTGTTGTTCCTGATCAAAACTCCGGCTCTTCACTACAATGGTACTGATAAAATTGATCAATATTTATTTATCAATATTTATTGAAGAATTTGAGCAACTGAGAAACAGAATGGAACTCAGTCATTAATTATTACGAAAGACATGTTTCTTCCTTTTGATTTCAGTATAGATCCAGATTTTCCATCTTGTAGTTTAATGTTCAACATATATTCATAGGGTAGGATGACAAGCAGTTCCTACCTTGTCTTGAGGGAATGGCTTGGGGAAATCAATCTTTCTGCTTCCTCCTTCTCTCTGCAACTCTCTGTGCCTTAAAAAAAACTGGTATGGAAAGCTGGAGCACTATGGCAGGTGGAAGTGGTGAACATTATCTCCCTGTTTCCTTTCTTAGTCTGGAATCTCCATTTTTTCCCCAGTACCTTTCGCAAAATCTGGGGACAGCTTATGGTATTTTGGAATGATTAGAATATTTAGTTATCACTACAACTATATTCTAATGTGAGAAACTAATGCCAGCAATTATTAAGGAGGTGTTATGAGTGAATTCTGTTGCCTTGTTCACACACATTATTTCTTTTCTGTGTGAACTGGAATAAACTTTGTAATAGGTGAAGGTAATATATTTCTAGAAACTGAAAAACTCTGAAGTTTACACCTGTACTTTTTCTTAATTTTTTTTGTTACCAATGTTCATGTTAATACTTTTGAAATTTTCATCATTAATCTGCTCTCAAAAGTAATGTTTTTGAACTTGAGGAACATTTGATCTACATAAATTATGAATAACACAGGCTAACTTTAATTTGAATGAGGTGAGGGCAAGTGATACATATATCAGACCACTAAAAGTTCCTACACAGAAGATAGCTTTTGATCCATGCAGATCTTCATCAGGCTGGGCATGGAAGGTCTGCATGTATGGTGCAGAAAAACAAAACAAAACAAGTTCCAAAATCAATGGCTATATGTGTAGGCCAGGCTTCTCTGCTTAAACCACGTTTCACTATTAGCTCTTCAGTCTCAAGAGGTATAAATTCAAATTCTATATCTGGTGGTGTGAATGGGAGTGTTCCTTCCCATTCTTGCAGACACGGGCCTGCAGTCACTCTGCTTTCCCTACCCCCTCTGAATGCCAAGTCAGAACTGTGTGTTTCAGTGTAAAGAAATGGAAGAACCGGGAGAGCTGAGTGACTGCAGACGCCAAGAATTAGAAATTGGCCCTATATCAAAACTCATGGTTCCTTTTTGGCTGGGAATAGAGGCACACAGAAATGTGACAAAACCGATATCAGATAAGTTAGGATAAAAGCTGTTGAAACCCAGAACCTTAATGGCCACATTAGGAACTAATCCTGCACGCCCAGCTTTCTTGTATTTCTTGTTGTCTTAACAAGAGGCATGAAAAATACAGAGAAATAACCTATCTAGGAATGTAACTACTGAGTGCCTATAATTTTTTTATTATCCCTCTGGCAGACTTGAGAGCTGCCCACAGTTTCCGGTGGGCAGGCATGGACTTTGGTTGAGAGGGGCTTCCAACAGTCCCAAAGCATAATCCACTTTAAATGTGTGAGGCAGAGATGAGGCAAAATTTATTTATTATTTATTTATTTATTGGACTTATATACCGCCCCATAGCACTACAAGCACTCTCCGGGCGGTTTACAATTTAAATTATACAGGCTACACAGCAAGCTGGGTACTCATTTTACCGACCTCGGAAGGATGGAAGGCTGAGTCAACCTTGAGCCGGCTACCTGGGATTTGAACCCCAGGTCGTGAGCACAGTTTTAGCTGCAGTACAGCGTTTTAACCACTGCGCCACGAGGCTCATTAATTTAGGGTCTGTCCTGACAGGTATATAGATGGCTACAGTGGTGCCTCGCATAGCGAGGCTAATCCGTTCCGGATTAACCTTCGCTATAGCGAAACATCGCTAAACGGAATTTAAAAAGCCATAGAAACGCGTTCCTATGGCTTTAAAACTCACCGTTAAGTAATCTTCCTCCATAGCGCCATTTTCGCGACCTCGGTAAGCGAGGGCAGGGCGTGAAAATGCAGCGCGGACCTTCCGGCGGCCATTTTGGAACCGCCGATCAGCTGTTCTCCCCCGCTTCATTATGCGATATTCGCTTAGCGAATATCGCAAAGCGAAAAAATGCCATAGGGGCCATCACTGAGCGAATGCTCCAGCGATGGCCCAGAGCCCCTCGTTAAGCGATTTAATTGCTCAGTGGGGCGCTCGTTAAGCGAGGCACCACTGTATTTGGATTGCTGTTGGTATAGTTTGGTTTGCACCAAATTACAGTATACATATTTTCTACTTTTACAGTAGTGCCTCGATTTACGAATTTAATCTGTTCCAGAAGATGTTTGTAAATCAAAACAGCCTTTCCAATAGGAATGCATTGAAAACCGATTAATCCGTTCCGGCTGTTTTTTGTTTGTATGTAGAGATACCGTTTGTAAGTCAAAGCATCAGTTCCCATAGGAACTAATGCAAAATCGGTTAACCTGTCCTCTACCACTAGGGGGGGGAATTATTATTTTTTAAAACCTAAAATAACTTAGGTTTAAAAAAAGGGCAGGAAAGAAGGGAGGGAGGGAACAAACACCTTTTAAACAAAACAGCTTTGAACCAAACCATGCATCTTTAAAAACATTTTTACATTTTAAAATTACAGTACCAGGCAGTCCAAAGTCCATTTCCCTTTCCCCACTTTTGTTTGTAACTCGAAGCTCCGTTCGCAAGTTGATGCAAAATTTGTGAACGGAGCTGTTCGTATGTAGGGGCGTTCGTAAGTCGAGGCACCACTGTACTTAAGATTGATCTGCCCCTTTAAGAACTGTTCCATTTCTTTCTGGCACAGCATTAAGGGCTTTGGTTTTTTAGGTTTGATTTAGTGTGCTCCTAATTATCCCTGTGTATATAGCCTGTGTGGATGGTTATTTCACACCCAAATGGAACTGTGGGTGGCTTTATATGAAGTGACAACCCTGTTACATATTAGGTGGGTTATGACATTAAAAGGGAATATGAAGAACCCCCCGCCATTTTTGTCTTTTAAAAAAAGTATTTCCTTAACTGACACAGTGCAGTTCTAATACCATGCTTGGTTGATGCATTGCTGCTACTTGCTTTACTTAACAACAAAAAAGGAAAGTCACTGTGGTCTACTGAACAATAACGGTGAAAAAAGGCAGGGGAGGGGTATGTCAAGTCCATGGGTACCACCCACACAACTCCAGCTCTATTTTTGTCTTTTAAAAAAAATATTTCCTTAACTGACACAGTGCAGTTCTAATACCATGCTTGGTTGATGCATTGCTGCTACTTGCTTTACTTAACAACAAAAAAGGAAAGTCACTGTGGTCTACTGAACAATAACGGTGAAAAAAGGCAGGGGAGGGGTATGTCAAGTCCATGGGTACCACCCACACAACTCCAGCAGAGCCCTGGCTGAGGAGAAAGGGAGGGTTACCTCCTTTCCATCTCCCCAACCTTCCCATGTTTTTCTCTCACATTGCTGCTGTCTCCTTACTTGTGAGTAAACCAGGTGAAACTTGCTTGTGAATAAACAGACAGTTCAAAGACCTGCATGGACCCCTCTCATGACAAAATAAACATCTCCAGTGTGAATGAAAGGATTACTAAATGAGAGATAAAATAGACTGCACTGACAATAAGAACCTTTTAAGGGCGAACAAGATTCCCCTGTCTGGACGGGCCCTTAGTCTTGGTTGCAGAGAAACATCACCATCACCCTCACATAATTATTCCTGGGTTGCAGCAGAAACTTAAGTCTGTAGCAGATGCCTGCCACACTATCAAATGTGCATACAAAAATGCTGCCAGGTTAAAAGGTTCAGAGGCTCAAATTATATTTGCGAATGAAATAAATCCCAATTCAGAAAAAGCAAACTTTGACTACCCAATTTTCCAAAATATTAGCCAGCATCTTATTGCTGCTCTCAAGAGTGTGTATTATATGTCAGTCCCATCTGACTTACAGCAATTCTAACAGCGTTTCTGAGGGAAAAAAACTAAATTGAGACATACAGTCCCTGTGTGAATCAAAGGCAAGAACAGATGATACCTTTATTAGACCACACACACAAAAACTGAACGGCTAGTTTTCAATTTAAATCTGTCTTCCTCAGGCTGCACCAAAATATGGACAAAATATATACAGTATATGAGAGTCCCAAAAATTCCTGTTGTCTGTGCCCATCTGGACTCTCAAAATCAGTGGAGCAAGAGTGCAACCACTAGGTAATACATACTAATTTGACATTAACCCCAATTGGTTAAAACTAAGGAATTTACAAAATTTCCACCCCAGTTCCCAGATGGAAGATTCAAGGTTTGAAACTTGCAGTTTCAAAGGAAGGCCAAACAGGAAGGTGTATGTGTAATATCTGCACTAATTCATTTCAATAACTGAAGTGTGATATCCAATCTAGTTTCCTCAGCTGTAACCTTAAAGCTACATCTTTAATGTCTGCATCTTTCCTAACTTGCATCTAAGACAAACACCTGGCAAAATCCATCTGCCATGAAGTTGGGGGACTTTTAAAGTTATTTGAAGTAATGGGAAGACAACAGTGCAAGTCTGATGAAGTGGGCCCTGAGCCATGAAAAGTAGCGGATGATATGATTTCTTTAGTGGCCTATAAAGGTATCATCTATTGTATTTGTATTCAAAAAGTGACTGCCAAACAGTACTGGGGGTGGTTTCAAACTCCACCCCGATAGCTGTTGGTTGGATTGCACCTTCGTACTTCTCAAACAAAGGGCCGCCAAATAATTTGGATATCCCCACGTACACATATTGCCTTCTCCCGAAACTCCTATTTGGCCAGGAAACCAGGCAACACACGTACAGTACGTGGCCAGGTCGTCCGGGTTTCCCAGGCGAGAGATTTAAGAGGTGGAATCGCCTCCACTGAGTTTTCATGGGGATTCAAACCCAGGTCTCCCGAGTCCTAGGCCACTCCATCCACTGGACCCGGCTGGTTTTTCACCCAGAGGAGAGAGACTGAATTATTTCATGGAAGTCTTTTTGTGGAAGACTCATTAACTCAATGGGTCTACTCTTAATTTGTAGTAGCAATGCCGGCTGCTACCTTGTCCTGGAATGACGCTCTGCCCAACTGCGGAAGCCCTCGCCTCGCTACGCTTTTTTGCGGGCGCCGTTGGCTCCTATCCCGGGCGAAATAAATACTGTATTGTGAAATGAAGAGTCTTCCGCGTCGCCCAGATTTGAAACCCGTCAACATAACCAGGAAGCTGATCTCCGGGATCGTCCCTCCCTCTCTACGGAACGCCATCAGGACATTCTGCATAGCACCGCCCACCTCGCGGCCTCCGCCATGCACTTCCGGGTCACGGGAAGAGGTCAGTCGGAAGGGGAATGAGAAAGATGGTGGCGCGGAGGACGCGGGCGGCGGCCAAGGCCGACGAAGCTGCCGCAGGAGGAGGAGAAGGCGAAGCGGTGCCCGCCGCCGTTTCTTCTTCAGAAGGCGAGGAAGCGGGCGGGGACGAGGAGGCGCCCGAGGAAGTGACCTTCGAAAGCGCGCGGGTGGCCGCGGAGGAAGCGCGCCGGTCGGCGGGGGAGCGCGCCCGCCGGTATAACTTCTCCCTTGTCCCTCTCTTGGCTCGGCTTCCCTGAGGGAACAGCCCGCGGCGGCGGCGGTTTGGCCTCTTGGGGGCCAGGCCTTTGCTGACCCTGGGGGAGGGGGTGGTGGCGGTGGCCGCAGCCGCAAAGGCAGCCAACCGTGGACCCCACCTGGAGACAGCAGGTCTGCCTCCCGCGGTTGATGGCCGGCGGTTCTGGGGTTTAAACAGTCCCGAGGCCGTCCTGAGGAGGGAGTTCAGAAGAGGGGCCGCGGAAGGCTAAGCGCCCCAAAAAGCAATCTGTGGCCGAGGAAGGGAGTGAACTCCGTTCAAAGGAATAAAGGCGGGAAGGCGAAGTTTTATTTTCGTTGCCCTTTTTGTAAGTAAGAAGTGCCGCTGAGCAGAAGTGAAGCAAACTGGGGATGGGGGGGAACCGAAGGGAAAGCGGGGGCAGCCTAGGTTTGCGACTTGAAACATCCCAAAGCGTTAGAAGTAACTGGCCAGATTCTTCTCTGGCAACGCCATAGTTGAAATGCTGACCCCCCCCCCAAAAAAAAACCTCATCCGGATTTGTCCAGCGTAATTGCAGCTTCAGCAGGAAGGAAACATTCTCCATTCCTGTGTTAACTACATTGTATTTCAGTTTGTATGTAGAGAGCGCTTTGCACACGGACTTATTATTGGCTACAAGCAATTACCTGTTGATCTCTCTGCTTTTTTGCTTTCTTAGAGAAAAGGCTATCTTGAAAGAAAAGAGACGGCAAAGAGAAGAACTATTTAAGGAACAAAAGGTAGTAACTTGTGCGTCCTTTCTCTGGATTTTGAGGTGGCTTTTGAGCAGGATAGGAATAATTTTCTCTTGGACTTCCAGTCCAAGCTATCTTGGACTTACGTTTCCAGTAGCCCTAGCCAGTGTAACTATTGGTAGGCAGTCATGAGAGTAATTGGCCCCAAACAACTGAGAACCAAAGGTTCCTCGCTCCTACTTTAGAAAGTGTATTTGGACATGTTCCAGATTGCTGTACTGCCTTTGAATGTGCCATCAAGTCAATTCTGACTTATGCGACCCTTCTCAGGGTTTCCTCAACAGACAGCACTCAGAAGTGGTTTACCATTCCCTTCTTTCTAGGGCACTTTTGGAACTGTGCAGCATACCCAAGACCACCCAGGCTGGCCCGCTCTTCCAAGATGCTCTGTGGGGAATTGAATTCCCAACCTCTGGCGTCACAGCCAGATAACTAAACCGCTGAGCTAATTAAACTGAGACAATCGCTTCGTAAATATATAGTCCCAAAGAATTATTTTAGTTCAGATTGGATTTGTCTTCAGTGTGGAAGGGATTGTCACTCTCGAATAGGCCTCCTCAGCCACACTAGATGCTGTTCCAAGTCCCCCATACAGAGCACATTACCATAGTCTTTCGAGACTGAAGGATGACTAACGGTGGTGTGAAAAAAGTAAGCTGCTTAGTAAAATGAAAATGTGCACACCAGTTTTTCTGATTTTTCCAAACCTTAAAGAACATTGAAAAATGAAATATGATTCTTATGCAGGCTTGGTTTGAACACAGTAAGCAAAAAATAATAATTGTTTTTTCCTACTCTGGTCAGCATTACTAATATGGCATTGATCCCGATATAAAACAGCATGAACTGCCACCCAATTACAGGCACCCTACAGTTTCTACTGTTGTCCATAAGAGGTTCCAGCTTCAACCTGGGCATGGTAAAAAAAAATGACAAGTCCTGTGGCATCTTGTAGACTATATGCCACTGGTTTTCAGTTCAACCTGGAAGTGATTTGTATCTTATTCTTGTATTTATATAAATTTTATTTTCCTTGAATTTGATCCAGAACACATTTAAATTAAAAGAAATAATAAATATCTTTTTTGCCCTATCACAAGACTTCTTTGAGACTTAATATAGGACCTCCTAAATCCTGAGCAGTAACCTTGCAAGCAGGAAATACCAGCCAAATTAGGACTTTAGTTGGTACTGTATTTCAGCCAAATTCCAAATGATGCTTCCAGTTCCAACTTAAAATGTTATTAGATGCCAGTATGTAGTCTCCTAAAAGTTCATAAATTTTCTAGTAAAAGTACATTTGGGAGTTGAGTGATGGCAACTGGACTTCTTCCTTATTAGGCTGAAACATTTTGCTACTCATCCAAGCAGCTTCTTTAGTCTGAGGAGAGTCAGTAGGAGACCCCTGATATATCTTCCTTGGTTTCACATCTCCCTAATCTGAATAGGGTTGTTAGATGGACAAAGGGCGACGGGTGAGTAAAAATTCCACCTCTGCACTCCTTCTCCACCTATTCTCGTGGGTCGTCAGCAAGGGAACTCGACAAGGATGATGGGACAGATGATAGCGGAGGACACAAAGGACAAATGGATGAAAAATCTCTCAGACAGGGAACTCACTCGGTCAGAGAGGGAGATCTTAGTCAAAGATCTAAATGTTGTCATGACACCCAAACAGATTCTGGTTATGGACTTCATTACAGCCACAGAATTGGCTATCCACAACAATCTACCAGTAACAGAAGCTGAACAACTCCAGATAGAAGTTTCTGCAACACTTCCCAGCACTCAACTGCCACCATCCAACCTCACCAGACAGGAAAGAAGTCCTCCGACATCCCTCAGCAGGGATGAGACTATCACAAAACTGCCTATGGACAAAGGAAGATGCACTGTCGTCCTCAACACTGGATTACCATAGAAAACTAAGATCACACATAAGAGAAACTGAAGAGGGACCCACCAACATTTACAGGAAAAAAGTGATAGGATGCCTGAATCACTTGGAAAAGGACCACGACATTGACAGGGTGACCTACCACGTGTTGTATCCTGAAGAGCTCCAAACTGCCTGTGGACAAAGGAAGCTGCACTGTCGTCCTCAACACTGGATTACCATAGAAAACTAAGATCACACATAAGAGAAACTGAAGAGGGACCCACCAACATTTACAGGAAAAAAGTGATAGGATGCCTGAATCACTTGGAAAAGGACCACGACATTGACAGGGTGACCTACCACGTGTTGTATCCTGAAGAGCTCCCCTTGGCCGCCCTTATGGACTTCCCAAGATACACAAGGCAGAAGCCACCCTTAGACTCAGCAGCAGCAGCAGCAGCATAAACTCAGTGACTGACAACATTGCTGAAAACCTGTCCACTGTCTTAGCACCATTGGTTGGACACTTGGGCCACCACATTCACAACTCAGAAGAGTTTGAATCCAAAGACAGGAAAAATGAAAATAAATACCGACAGGACCATGGTATCATTTCATGTCACATCCCTCTCCATCAGCATTCCCATCTCCGATGCCCTAACAACTGTAAAAAGGAGACTGGAAGAAGACAGCACCCTCTCCACCAGAAGCAGCCTCAACTAAGACCAGACTTGCCTGCTCCTAGACCTGTGTCTGAGCACCACTTACTTCACCTACAGAGGTGACTTTTACAGACAGAAGCATGGCTGTGCCATGGGTTCTCTGCTGTCGCCCATTGTTGCCAACCTATGCATGGAAGAAGTGGAAAATAAGGCACTAAACACCTTCCAGGGGATGACTCCAACCCATTGGTGAAGATCAAGATTCAGGAAGTGCAGGCTTTCAGAGACCGTATAAACACAGTGGACCCAAATATCAAGTTCACCAGGGAAGACGCCAAAGATAACCTGCTGGCTTTCCTGGATTGTGCAGTCATCATAGGATCCAATGGCAGTTTAGGAATAGAAATCTACAGAAAACCTACATTCACTGATCATTACCTGTGGTTTGACTCATCACCCATTGCAACACAAACTGGGGTCGTTGGGACACTAAACCACAGAGCAAGAAGCATCCCCACCTCCACAGAAGCCAAGAAGAAGGAAGACAGACATCTGAAGGCAGCCCTTAAGGCCTGTGGATATCCAAGATGGGCCTTTAACAAGGCAATGTCCCAACCCAGCAGGACAATGGAATAGTCTGAGACCCAGAACCAACGGAAGAACCTACTCATTCCTTACATGGTGGTTGTGTCTGAAAAGCTTAAAAGGATTTTTGGTGAATACCACATACCTGTGTACTTCAGACCCACAAACACACTGAGGCAGAGACTTATCCTCCCAAAAGACCAGACAGCAAAACACAACAGGAGTAATATAGCATATGCGGTCCAAAGCAAAGAGGAATTTTTGGAGCTCTACATTGGAGAAACCAAACAGCCACTAAACAGGAGAATGGCCCGGTGCAAGAGGGGTATCAGCTCAGGATGACAATCAGCAGTGTTCTTTTATTTGAAGCATAGTGGACACTCATTTGATGACTAAGATATACTTATTTTGGACTGAGAAGATAGATGGTTTGAGAGGGGTCAGGGAGGCCATACATGTGTACATAGAAAATCCCTCACTTAGCAGGGGTAGAGGCCTTAGATACAGTCTGTCTCCTATTTATCATGCTGCCCTTTCATCCATCTCCAGAAAGATCAGGACTGCACACACACCAGAACGACCACTGTTAACGACGCATGACAGTGGGTGGAGAAGGACTGCGGAGGTGAGATTTTCACTCACCCCCAGTCCTTTGCCTATATAACGAGCCTATTCAGACCATGAAACCAACGTGGAGAATATATCGGGGATCTCCTACCAGCTTTCCTCAGACTGAAGAAGCTACTTGAATGAGTAGTGAAACGTTGCAACCTAATAATAAGTCCAGTTGCCATGATTCAACTTCCAGATAACCACACCTGGATGATTGAGAATCTTCACAGATAATTTCCAGTAAAAGATGAATTGTACAATTACTGTGATGCTGTCAGATTTGTAGATAAGTAATTATTCTCTTCAAGTAATTTTGATTTGCAGAAATTTTCCAATTTTTTTAGAAAAGAAAGCTGCTTCCTGAAAATGTGTTAGAGGAGTTGGCTTCATCCACACAGGAAAGGTAAGTAAAATAGGTTTCAGAGCACAAACTGGCACTCCCAGCTTTAGTTTGATTAAAGTGTAAGGTGCCTTTGGTGGTACCCTATATACAGTGCTAAACGATGACCCCGCTGTACAACGAATCCGCAGGACAGTGACTTTTTTGCGATCGCTATAGCAATCGCAAAACGATGTTCCTATGGGAGATTTTTGTTTGACGATTAGGTCCGTGCTTCGCGAACCGTTTGTTCACAAGACAACAATGTTTTCTGGCTCCGCAAAATGGCTGCCCTGTGTTTTCTGGACCCATGCTTCGCAGGGCAGCCATTTTAACAGCTGATCGGCCCTCGGAAAATGACTTTCCCTATGGGCAATCTTCGCTGGACGACAAGCTAATTTCCCCATTGGAACGCATTAAATGGGTTTCATGCATATTAGCATGCCACCGTTATATATATGAATAAGTTGATTTACTGAATGTCTTCCTAAATACAGCTTTCCTTTCCTTAGCAGAAACCAGCCATGTGACACACCTGAAAATGATAAGTGTAAGATTTTCTTATGTTACCATTATTGTATTGCTTTTGTCGTTTCGTAAGTATTGCCTGCTAGGCAATACAGTGAACTAATTTACTGACCATTAATACTAGAGGTCTTACATTTTTAATTCTGTCTGGTTGAGAGTTTGGTATGTGATATTTTACTGCTCATTATTCACATTTTCATAATCTTAAATTTACTGCACTAGAAGATTTTTTGCAAACAGTATAGAATACTCCTGGCATCTATTTTATAAAGATTTAAAACATGTATTTTCCCCTTTGCCTTCTCTGGTTGTAATTATGAAGATAAAACGTCTTAAACCTACCAAATTTTTCTTACAGCACAGGATGTTGAGGGTGAGTCTGAAACTGAACATACAAAGGAAGATGAAGAAGAAGAAACAGTAGCTACTAGGTATAGCTTAACAATTTTTATTTAGTACAGCTTTTCTCAACCTTTTTTCAACCATGGCTGTAAACTATGAAAGAAATATAGGCCAAATCAAGATTATATAAGTTGCAAAATGAACCTTATAAGGTGTTGTGTGGAGAATTGTTTCCAGTCTGTGTCTGCCTTCAAATATTCCAGGGCCTCCTGGGGGGCCATATGGCCCCCATTGAAAATGGCTGAATTAGTCTGTTGTGTCACGATTTACCTTACAGAGCCATTCAGACTAAAAAGTTATAATTTTTAGACATTATGACTTATGACTGAAAATATAGTAAACAAATATTAACAAATGCTTATATCCTATTTCATAGCCTCAAGGAACTCACAATATAGTTAAAGAACTAACAGGGTACCTAGTGAACAGTACTGTATTAAGTATGGTGAGGTCTCTATTGAGATGTAGAGCAAGGAGACAAATTACTTACAAGGAGAGAAATTTTTCTTTTAGAAACAATGTCTGTAAGCATAGTAGCTTGACATTGTGCCACAACCGTCGGATACCCATGGCCACATATATACCATGCATGTGGAAGCACCTATTTACATCAGAGGTGTACAACTAATGTTTCCACATGTCGGATTACAATTGTTCTAATTGATCACTGATAGCTGATGAGCCTTGTGGCGCAGTGGTTAAGCTGGTGTACTGCGGCCAAAACTGTTCTCATGACCCAGGGTTCAATCCCAGGTAGCCGGCTCAAGGTTGACTCAGCCTTCTGTCCTTCCCAGGTCAGTAAAAATGAGTACCCAGTTCACTGGGGGGGAGGGGAATGTGTAGCCTGCATAATTAATTTGTAAACCACCCAGAGAGTGCTTGAAGTGCTATGGGGTGGTATATAAGCAACACGCTTTGCTTTGATGTGGCCATCTGGAGGATGATAAGTTGCTCATGCTCAGTTTCATAAATGGCATCTCCATGTTGGCATGAAGGCAAAAGCCTTCTCATAACCCCACATTATTACAAAGCTGGCCTGTGTGAGGTGCCACGATGTATGAATATTTGAAATTGTTTTAAGTGGTAGTAAGCCTGTGTCCAGTACAGAGTAACTTCTGGACTAGAAGCTCACATTGCAAATTGAAAGGATTAATTACAACTCTGAACATGAGTGAAAATGTTTCAGAAATCATGACATGTTAAATTAATAGGAAAATTAAAATATTTGATCCAATTTAGGAAAGTTGGAAATGGTTTAACTAAACTGTTTCTGTTTCAGTAAGACAAGACACAATACAAGCTACTATGTCTCTTCTAATTTCTGTTTTATTGTTAGGCTCCAAGAAAACTATATGGCTGTGAGGTTAAAGGATCGGGATTTAACCAACAAGCAACAGCAAGGAGCTAAAAACTTTGTACAGAGACTCCTATATGGAGCTGGCTCCAACCGAACTACTGGTAATGGGATTTTTCTTTGAATCATTTATAGTACATATAGATTTTGCTGCATGCATACTTTGACTAAATTGCTATTTGTCTTTTCAGCAAATCAGTATTTTTCTGTTGAAAACAAGAAAAGGGCAGTTAAAAAAGCTGCAGTCCAGTTTGTGAGTAATTCCTGGGGTAAGTGTTACTCTTTTTGTGTGTTGATGCAAGGAGGGCTCCTTGGTCCACACGGCAAAGTTCTGTCAGGAAAATAATAGCAACATTTGTGAAGTAATTCATTGTGCTCTGCCCTTAAGTTCAGACTTGGACATGAATGACCTTGGGTTCATTCATTCATGTCTCATTCAGACGTTAGTGACAATCTGTTTGTGTTCATTCCAAGTTATAAAAATCCTATTTATTTTAGGCTACAGATCAACTGAATGGTAAACAATTTTTTTTAGAAGCTGGCAATTTAGTCAAAAGCCTGTTGAGTCTCTAAGTATTTATGTCAAACCTTTTCCCCCTCTAATAAGTTTTTCCATGTGCTTCTTAAAAAGCATGTGGTTAAATGTTAATGGAAGCATAAGTAGCAAAATGTGTTAACAACATGTAGGTGTTTTTGTTTTTCACGCCTAATGATGAACCATTTAGGGGAATTCTGTGTCAGATTACTGTCTTAAGGTGGCTTGGTTGTGGTTCATTAAGAGTGTTGGTTGGAACAAGTTTGTTTCAGTGGTGGGGTTATATTGTAATTGGTGGCTGAATAAATTTCTAGCCAGAGGTAGTACTGCTAAATATGTATAGTGATTTAGTGCCCACAGCACCTCATACTCTAAAGAATAAACTGCTCTCAATAAATACTGTCACAGCATTGCACATGAGAAACCAAGGCTCCTGAGGATAGTGGTTTGACAAACAGCCATTTAATGTTAGTAGTTGCAACATGAAGTGATAGAGTCTTGGCCCAAGACTATGCTACTTTTCTTAGGTTTTGATCTCTCGCGTAGATAATTATATATTTATTTATATACCATGTTCCTCCTCCTCATAGGGGACCTAAGGTGGCTCACCACAGATAAAACAATAAAACACAGTTAACTAGACTCACAATATATTTGTATAGTAATCTTCAGTCTGAATTCCAATTTTCATATAAAATTCTTATTAAAAAACTTAAATGAATGCTTGGAATGTGGAAAACTAAGATTGTAGTAAATTTAATCACTTCCCAAAAAGTAAAAATCTTATCATTTTCAGTGAGTTGTGACAGCAGAGAGTAGTCAGAAAGCTTCCACAGAAAGTTGCTACTTTAGTGGCTAATCATGGCAAGGTTTTTATAGCGACAGCAATGGGTGGTTAGACCCTCAAAATGGACATTTGTGGCTTGAACTGTTGACCTTTCAAGTGCACTTGGAAATGACTGCCTTTTCCCCCCCAGGTAAAACGAAGAAACAAAAAGCTAAGCGATTCACAAAGCACTGGGTGTCATCAAAAATAACCCCATGAAACCTTGACTGCATTTTGTTATGGAACATAATAATAAAAATTTAATTATTGTTTTTATATTATGCAAAACTGTTTAGGTGATTTTTCTTATAACTGTATATATACGTTACACTCTTATAGGATACTGCATGTGCTCCTTCTAGATAATATGTTGTCATTTCAGCTATACATCCTAATTAAATATTATTGTGTGCCCCTCAACTCTTTGAGTATTCTTCCTTCTTTTGTTGAATGTCCGACTGCCAGATGGGCTTCTCCAGTGGGTAATAATTTCTTCTGTGTCACTGAAAGGCTGTGTGAACATGAATCAGAGGTTGGCAACATGATGCCTTCCAGCTATTTTGTATTTCAACTCTGAGATATCCTAGTCAGACATTATCTGGTAGGGTATCAGATTGCCTTGTAAACACAGCATCCAACAAATGGGGTAAAAGGAAGGACAACTGCTACAACACATGGGGGGGTAGAAAACAATAGCTGGATTTTAGATGTTGTGCAGTAATAAAGCACAATTGCATTTTTTATTCTACGTACTGTATAGAGGATGTTGAGAGTTAGTGTGGTGTAATGGGCAGAGTACTGGATTAAGACACATGAGATCTAATCTGCTTAGCTATGGAAACTCATGGGAGGGCACCTTTCACGCCTTAAAACCCTTAGAAAGACTGCCATAAGTCTAAACGGACTTGATGGCACATAACAATTTCTTTTCTTTAGCATGTGCACATGGAACTCTATCTGAACCTCTGGAAACCTCAGTAACCCATCATTTCAAGCAAAGGGCTTTCTTCCTCTTTCATCCAACTCACAAAACAAACCCCAGTACTAGATGTAACATGATGTTGTTTCAATGCATGGCACTTTCTACACAGCAGTGAAATCTAACTGCACACACAGAAGTTCATGTTCAAGACAACACATACAAAAGGTAGCCATCCTACCATATGTAGAAGTATTTAATGACTGATTAATGATGGTATCACTACATTTTATTGCAATAGAGTACTCATTTAAGCACTTTTAAAAATGCAGGGTGTACAAAGATTAAATTAAGACTGAAACTGACTAAATATTTGGTTTTTATATAAATAGGCCATAACCACACTGTGTTGACATATAATACTGTTATAATACAACAGTTAAACAGGTGAGTCTACAACGTAGGTTGTCTGCAGTTAAACAGGAAACAGAGTTGAAAAGACCATGTTAAAACAAAAACCACTAGGAAACAGGTTGAGATTGTAAGTAGCGACAAACATATTCACTCAGCTCCTGAGTATTTCAAGTTTTACAGTACACATTAAAAATAGTTCTTCCCATCAATACTATACAGCCAGACTGTCAGGTACTTATGCATTTTGCAAATTACACTGATTGATCTATGTAATAATGGGGGTGAAAGTTGGCAAATTATCCTGCTTGAAATTTACATCACCCACATACTAACACATCCACAACATTATCTATTTTGCCCTGCCTTTCATGAAGGCAGGACATTTTTGGTTTTTTGGAACAATTCAAGGGTTTGTCAATTTGATGTTTACTGATGATATTTGACTCTGGTTAAAGGTGGAAAATTTCTCCTAACAGTAGTTTAGAAAATCATTTGCGTCATGCTGTAAACTAGGAAGCAATGTAAAGCAACAGACCTGTCCATAGTACATAATTTTTAAAAAATCTGAACTCCAGTTGGCAGAGCCGGTCTACTTTCATGTTGAATATATGCCACATTATACACCTTGGTTGTCATCTTATGCATGGCTAGTGTAGATAATCTTCCACTGTGGCAAATGCACAGGATCCAATTCCTGACCGGGCCATCAGTCCTAGGCATTGTGAAGCTTGTCCCATTGCAAGAGCAAGTGGAGGCTGCTTTGGTAGATTGTGTGTCTCTGAAAAGATTAAACAATGCACAATTATGTTATACTTTAAATACTTTATTTTACAATTATGCTTTCAAGAAAAGCATGGCCTCTGAAGTTATTGCATTGGAATTTAATGAAATTCTTTCAATGTTCCAGCTGGTGAAATTAAACTATTATGTGTACAAGAATCACATATACATATATTATCATTACAGTTCAGTGGTTTATGTAAGTAAATACGTTCCTGAGCACTTTGGAGGGTTTACTTATATCATTGCCCTTTCTCTGTTCACCTGGTATAGTCAATATGTTGGAAAATCTTTAGTTTAATTTTTTTTCAAAGTTGAAATAATCTGTGCCACACGCACTTTTCCACCCTGGCTGACACTAATTGACAGGCTTTGGATACAGCAGTGGCAACACAAGAGATCTCTTATCACGCAGAAGTCAAAACATCTCTGCCTGTGGTGACCAAACATTAATTTGTTTTCACAGTAAGTATTAAAGCCAGGCAAAGATTGATACTTACTGGTTAAGATTCTTGCAATTTTAAGAGATCATGTGGAAAAAGCTCAACTTCAGTAACAGGTTTGTTGATGGAATTTACAAATGCCCCAAATCAGTTGCAAAAGAGGGCATAATTTACACAATGCTGCTGACATTTTCATTCTTTCTATGCCACAAAATGTTAAGTAATATTAAAGTACCATATACAGCATGTCATAATCTGCCAATAGCTTAATTAAAAATATATATGCAGTATAATGATTAAGTCTTACCTAGTATTGCACTGTTGAGGACTGAACACACAGGCTCTCTCTGAATGGGGTCCAGCTGATTTCCTACTGGACTGCTCCAGGGATCTGAATATGCAAGTAGACTGAATGCATCCTGTTGAGAAATCCAATGTTCCATTTTATCATCACCAGCATTCCACAGTTCCACCCAATTAAAATGATCTAAGGATGCTTTCTGTCTTGCTCAAAATAATATAAAAACACATGGTAACTGTACCTTACTGCTGAAATACTTTTACGTTGCTAACACAATTAAGAAGAATGAGCAGGATTCAATAAGGGATGTTACTGGCTAAGCAGTGGAATCTAGTTGAGAGCAATATACCGTGGACATAAAATGTTTATACACCCTTGTTAAAATGTCAGGTGTCTGTGATGTAAAAAATTGAGACAAAGATAAATCATTTCAGAACTTTTTCCCACCTTTAATGAGACCTATGAATTGTACAACTCAGTTTAACAACAAACTGAAATCTTTTAGGTGGAGGAAAGTAAAAATACTGTAAAAAACTGAAATAATATGGTTGCATCTGTGTGCATACCCTTAAACTAATACTTTGTCAAAGCACCTTTTGATTTTATTACAGCATTCAGCCTTTTTTGGTATGAATCTATCAGTATGGCACATCTTGACTTGGAAAGATTTGCCCACTCTTCTTTGCAAAAACGTTCTAAATCTGTCAGATTGCAAGGGCATCTCCTGTGCACAGCCCTCTTCAGATCAGCCCACAGATATTCAATCAAATTCAGGTCTGGGCTCTGGCTGGGCCATTCCAAAACATTAATCTTCTGGTAAAGACATTCCTTTGTTGATTTGGATATATGCTTTGGGTCGTCATGCTGAAAGATGAGGTTCCTCCTCATGTTCAGCTTTCTAGCAGAAGCCTGAAGGTTTTATGCCAGTATTGACTGGTATTTGGAATTGTTCACAATTCTCTCTACCTTGACTAAAGTCCCTGTCCCAGCTGAAGAAAAACAGCCCCAAAGCATGATGCTGCCACCACCATGCTTCACTGTGGGTATGGTGTTCTTTTGGTGATGTGCAGTGTTGTTTTTGCACCAAACCTATCTTGGAATTAGGGTTGAAAAGTTCAACCTTGGTTTCATCAGACCATAACACTTCTTCCCACATGCTTTTGGGAGAATTCAGATGTGTTTTTGCAAACTTTAGCCAGGCTTGGATGTTTTTCTTTGTAAGTAAAGGCTTCCGTCTGGCCACTCTACCCCATAGCCCAGACATCTGAAGAAAACGGGAGATTGTTGTCAAATGTACCACACAGCCAGTACTTGCCAGATATTCCTGCAGCTCCTGTAGGCCTCTTGGCAGCCTCCCTGACCAATTTTCTTCTAATCGTTCAATCAATTTTGCAGGGAACGTCCAGTTCTTGGAACTGTCACTGTTGTACCATACAGTATTTTCTCCACTTGATGATGACTGCCTTCACTGTGTTCCATGGTATATCTAATGCCTTGGAATTTTTTTGTACCCTTCTCCTGACAATTAGATCCCTCTAATACTTTGGAAGATCTCTGCGGACCATGGATTCTGCTGTAGGATGTGACTAAGAAAATGTCAGGAAAGACCTACTAGCACAGTTGATCTTTATTTGAGATTCCTCAGAGGCACTTCAAATGATAGCAGGAGTGTACTGACTCCTACATGACAAGGGTTTGAATGTGATTGCTCACTGCTGAAAACATGTACAGTGGTGCCTCGCAAGACGAGCACTCCGTTTTACGACGAAATTGCATTATGACACATTTTTTGCGATCGCAAGTGATTGCAAAACGATGTTTCCTATGGGGGAATTTCACTTTGCGATGATCGGTTCCCTGCTTCGGGAACCGATTCTCGCAAAATGACGATTTTCCTACAGCTGATTGGTGGTTTCAAAATGGCTGCCGGATTTAAAAAATGGCTCCCCGCTCTTTTCTGGGATGGATTCCTCACTGCACGGGCAGCGAAAATGACCGCGCTATGGAGGATCTTCGCTGGACGGTGAGTTTCAAGCCCATAGGAATGCATTAATCGGGTTTTAATGCGTTTCTATGGGCTTTTTAATTTCGATTTACAATGTTTTCGTTCTACAGCAATTTCGCTGGAACAAATTAACATCTTAATGCGAGGCATCACTGTACTGTACATCCCCAGTTATAAGAGGGTATGCACACAGATGCAACCATATTTCAGTTTTTTATTTTTACTTCCCTCCACCTAAAAAAATTCAATTTGTTCTAACTGTTCTTTCCTATCCCACTTATAGGTTTCTCAGGAGATAGATAAGGTGGTCAGGCACTCCCATTTCTTTAAGGACTTGCCATAGTTTGCTGTGGTCCATAGTCAATGAAGCAGAAGTAGATGTTTTCTGGAACTCTCTGGAATTTCTCCATAATCTAGCGCATGTTAGCAATTTGGTCCCTAGTTCCTCTGCCACTTCGAAATCCAGCTTGTACTTCTGGGAGTTCTTGGTCCACATACTGCTAAAGCCTGCCTTGCAGGATTTTGAGCATAACCTTGCTAGCGTGTGAAATGAGTGCAATTGTACGGTAATTGGAGCATTCTTTGGCACTGCCCTTCTTTGGGATTGGAATGTAGACTGATCTTTTCCAGTCCTCTGGCCACTGTTGAGTTTTCCAAACTTGCTGGCATATTGAATGTAGCAAGTCTAGGGGTAACCCCCCCAAAACTATCAAAAGCCTCCCCAGGAACAAATTCTCTTGTCTTGTTTGGATTCAGTTTGAATCTGTATCGATGTGATATGTTACCTCACAAGCCCACATGTTACTCGCAAGCCATTTTAACTTACTATCTCACACACTACACCAGAACACAGAGTTCTAACTCCTGTCCTCTGGCAAAACGTTAGGGAGAAAAAACTTCAGAACATGGCCAAGCAACCCAAAAAACCTACAACAACCATTGGATCCCAGCCGTGAAAGCCTTCGAGAATACATTTTAACTTACTTTGAGCATTTTCTTATTTGCAGTGTTTTTGCCACATTCTCTCCTTAGCTGTTCGCTCATAGCTTGCAATTCTCTGCCAAAGTGAATCATTCTTTCAATGGCTGCTTGGCTGCCTCCACACAGCTGACGTCTTAACTGACTGGAGTCAACCTCTGTAAAAACAAGGTACCTTTAGTAATGCAACACAGTACCAAGAATGCACTATGTTTTGACTAAATATTGACTAATTCAAATAGTCAAGAGAAAAGCAGCAGTAGAACAAATTTGAAGTTATTTACTACTACAATTTACATACTACTTTTCACATTTCAGAATGAAAAAGCAGCACACAATAAAGACTTTCACCATGAACATACTCTTCTGTTTTATGTGGTTTTCTATTGGTTTTATCATAACAATACAATTCCCTCATTCACAGTAAAACAAAAAGTTAACAGCACAAGAAAAAAGGCAGAGAAAAATATTCTTTGAAAGTATAGGATGTAGAATGCTTAAAATGACCTCGGATTACACAATTCCCAGCAGAAAATAATTTTGGCTCCCTCAGCGGGAGAGACAGAGCTTCATTACTGCAACTAACTACAACCAGCATTCTGTACAGATCTCCTTCAAGAATGCACCAAAAACATAAAAAACAAAAACAAAGACGACACACTTCACTGTGAATAAATCCCATTTAACTCACTTATTTTTGAGTAGACCTGTGTTAAGACTGCACTGGGTCATAGAATCATGGAATAATTGAATGGGAAAGGGCCTGTAAGGTCATCGAGCCCAGCCCCCTGGCTCAGTGCTCTGAAGTCTTAACACACATGTACAAGGGCAGCAATTTGATGCATGATTTCCTAGCAAGAAGCCCCATTTAAAGACAAAGAGACAGATTTTCAAATAAGCATGTATACAAGCACAATATAATACTAACTTTCACAACAGTAACAAGGAAGGTCCACTACCTAGAATTCAGAGTTAATTAGGCCGATTTAATGGATCCTGTACTCTGCCACCATGTTATGTTGCAAACTGTTTTTGAAATGTTCCCCTATGTTTAGCAGCAACCATGAAAAACAAATCTAAAGCCACCCTTGGTTCACATAACTAGTTTCAGAACTCTTTGGGTGTTGGTTGTAGGCTCCATTGTAAACTGTACTGCTTAGAGTCTAAATCTGCTTATCAAAGATGTAGTAAGCTAACCATAAAATCACACATTTGATTCTAGGATTTGCTGGTGCAGGAAACAAGTACTTTAAATATGGTGTACTGGCTCCACTACCCATCACAATCCTGTGTTAATGTGGCAGACAGGTGTGGGTTTCAAAAAGCTGACAAGTTTGTCTGGAATTTTTGTGCAAGTGCATGAGTCCTACATCAGTATTCCTTCAGATATGAATCTTCCTTACCATCTCAGCTTCTATTCTGGAGGTCCTAAAATAGTTTCTAAAAGCCTTTTAGCAGCAAACAAGATGGAATCTTATGATAGATAAGATGGTTGCTTCTTTTTAAAGCCCTGTCTGTAATTTGATATACTCAGAATGTGACAACAGTATAAAAACAAAACAAATTCTAGAAGTAATCAATTCTTCTTAAACCAATGGACACTCACTATCTGTATGTTATCTGTTGGTCTTCCATTCCCCCCACCACCACTATTTCACCATTATTCTTGATCTAACATCAGAAGCTTGACAAACGTTTAAGAGAGAAAACTTGCTGAGAGAAAACTACTTCCTTTCTAAAGCGCTACAGGAGCGTATCTGAATGTTCACTTATGGATTTCTTTTTTAACTAAATAGTTGAAAGTGCTGGGGGGAAGAAAAGCATTATAGGTTACAGACACTAACTAACATGCACACACTGCATATATTAAAAATAGCAGTGCTGGTGGGCACAGAAGAGCTATGTTAGCTTCTTCCAAGCTACAACTACAAAAGTGTGCAAAAAAGCAAGTATGACCAGAGACCAGGGCAGGGAGCAAATAAGAAATGAGCTTCTTGCTGGCTGTTAACAGTTCTAAAGTACAGCTGCCAAGTCTCTTAAAAGTTCTCATCTTTACATAGCCTTTGAGTGTATCTCAAAAAAACAGCTTAACCAATACAATTCAAACACTATTTCCTGAATTCTTTTCACAGGGAGTTAGTTCTTGGTTGCTGTCACTTATCTGACCATTTATGTGAATCAAGCTGTTCTGTAAAGCTGGGTAAGGCTGTAAGACAAGAAAGACTTTGAGACTTTCATTAAAACCACAAAGGACTCAGCTCTACACTACCAGACTCTTACAGATACCAATAATTATTATGAAAATTCAGATATTTTACCACAATTTTCCCTACTGGGGATAGGAAATGCTATTACTCTAAGCATCTGCCTATCCCAAGTCCCAGAAAAAAGGGGTTTGCTCTAAAATACCTCCTTGGTATTTTGAGCTCAGAATGCTGAGGAACAAATACTTTTTAAAAATTAACAAAAACAACAGTAGTTCTCATCCAGATGTTTAACAAACAAATTTAAGATTTAAAAAGTATTTCCATAAAATATTTTCATTAGGAGGACAGGTTACATACCTATAACTTTGGTTCTTTAAGCAGCCATCTGTGAATTCACACTAATGAGTTTTTTTTTTCTGCACCTATGCAGACATCCTCAGAACTTTCCAGAGGCTGACAGGTCATTAGTTCCCCCCCCCCCACCTAGTGTGCACACACCACCACCCAATAACTTTACCTCAGTTCTCTTGTCTGCCACTGAAATTAAACAGGCAGAGAGGGAAGGTTGGGTGAATTCACAGATGACCACTCAAAGAACTACAGTTACAAGTAAGTAACCTGTCCTCCTTCTTCATGATCTCTGTGATTCACACTAATGGGTGATTGACAAGGCCATTTACTGGCTAGTGAGATATCACACCAAAACTGATGACATAGCAGGGCAAAAAGAGGCACTGACCTTTGACCTGACATCCAGTCTGAAAAGTTTTATGAATGTCATGGGCTGCTGCTTTACATATCTCCTTTATCTGGACTCCCTTCAAGAAAGCCATAGAGGCAGCAACAGCTCTCATGGAGTGTCCTTTCAAAGAATCTGGCAGAGGTTTCTTTGCTACCTGATATGCTAGAGCAGTGGTCCCCAACCTTAGCCCTCCAAATGTTCTTGGACTTCAACTCCCAGAAATCCTGGCCAGCAGAGGTGGTGGTGAAGGCTTCTGGGAGCTGTAGTCTAAGAACACCTGGAAGGCCAAGGTTGGACACCACTGTGCTAGAGTAACAGTACTAACCATCTGGACAACTGCTATGAGAATACTTGGCAAGATTTTCTATGACCTTGATAAGAAATAGATGTTTGTTTTGTGAAACTTTTTTGTCCTCAACAGATAAAAAGCTAATACTCTATGTAAGTCCAATGTGTGCAAAGATTTATCCAACTTATTAAGTGGGGATGGAATGAATGTTGGCAACACTAATGGTTAACTGATATGAACATCTGAGATGATTTTAGGTAGAAAAAAAGTAATGTCAGTGAACAGTTTCTATATGAAACTTTAAAAATGGAGGATCATGACGTTAGGTATTTAGCTCACTTGCTGTTCTTGCTGGTGGGACTGCTACCAAGAATATAGTCTTGTATATCAAGAAGTATAAATCTGAAGTAACTGTGGGCTCAAATGGTGATTTAATGAGCTCGTGTCACACAAAGGAAAATGACCATTAAGTGTTGGCAGTTTGATATCAAAGTATTAGTTTTTTTAGTCCTTTCAAAAATCTCTTCAAAGCTGGATTTTTAAAATAACACAAGGCTGGAGAATCCTCTATTTGGTTAGCAATTATGGCTGTCAGACACACTTTCAAAGAATGGCTTAAACCCTTCTCTTTTAAATGTAACAGGAATCTTAGACTACGATGTAATTTTGGAGGTTGATATTCCTCTCCCATTGAGTGAATACAAGAAGTGAGCTTTTCCCACTTACAAAACTATGTTTTTCTTGTCAATGATTTTCTGAATTCCATAATAATTCTTTTTTTGATGAATTCTCCATACAGTACTGTTAATTTCAACCTGTCAAGATCTGGATGGTAAGCTGTCTGTTTCTCTTGTGTTATGAAATCTGGGGTTATCAGCAGGTGCAGAATCTCTGAGCCATCTGGAAAAGCATTGCAAACCAAGGCTGACACGGCCACCAAGGTGTTACTAGAACTGCACTGGCCTTTTTTTACATAGCTTTACAATCGATTATTTTGTGAACCATTGGAAATTGGGTGGTGGTGGTGGTGAGATAGGTTAGTTCCTTGAACCAATGAATCAGAAATGCATGGACCAGGGAGGAATCCTTCCTCATGATCTGGCCCAAGAGCACTACCTTCTGCATTTTTGTTAGTCTCTGTGGCAAATAGATCTATAGTTGTGTGGCCCCAGTGGCTACATATTTCACTGAATATACAAGGTGACAACTCCCATTCATATATTTGCTTTATTTGTCAACTAAGGGAATCCTCTCTTTAGTCATCTCATCCATGTAGAATCAGAGCAAGCCCTCATATGGTGTTGGGGGTCAACATGTTCCCTCACAAATTGGGAGTCACCTGCTTTTTTTCTTGGTTCTTTAGGTCTCTGCTAATCTTGCTGAGCCTTGCTTTCTGACATTTGAGAGTTGTTCCCAATTAGGAGAATGACTGAAGTTTGAAGACACATGGTAAGAGTGCTGTGGGACTTTGTCCCCGTCTAAAACTGAACCCAAGCAATCCACGTCCCTCTTGCTCTTATAACTATGTCAATGTTTTAGAAGATGATGGACAAACTGCAACAGAAGACAGCTTGTTTCGTCTTTTATATCACTTTAGCTTTTTTGGCCTGGTTGATTTCAGGAATGGCTTTTTTTCTTCTTTTTTGGTACATCAGTTTCAATGTTGAAGTTTTAGACCCCACTTCTTTGTCTTGAGACTGCTGCAGTGATTTGGATGGTTGTGGCGCTGGTTCTTCCTGTGTATTGACAGGTGTTATGTCACTCTGTAGATGCTCCACAAGCATTTGTTTTGATGGTGTTGTGCAACTGAAGATAACCAATGTTAGCATTGATGTGTTTTGTAATAGAGTTCATGGTCTGTAATGTTTTTGCCAAACAATCTGGATTGTCTGTTTTTAATGGTAATCCGGGTAAATTTTTACAGATTTGGCAGGACTGACAATAAACACACTTTGTCCATCCACGAGAGGGAGTTTAAAAAGCCATGCTATAAACTACAGAGCTAATTTTATGATGAATATAACTTCTTTTTTTAGGGGGAAAAAGGGAGCTGAGATAAGTTGAAAAGGAAGAAAACTATTTACAATGAATATTATAAAATAGCAATTATGTAGAAAATTGGCTATGAAAGACTGCTGGATGTCTCCCCTGCAGCAGTCAAAAGGGAACTGAGGTAAAGCCTTTGGTCAGTGGTACACGCACACTAGGTGAGAAGTGCGGCTAATGGCTTCTTTTTAGGCTCTGGAAGGTTCTGAGATGTCTGCACAGGTACAGAAGGAACCCATTAGTGTGAATCACACAGATCACAAAAAAGAATTTTAAATTAAACAGAGCATCTGAGAGTTACAGCAATATCTAAAAACAGCATGTAAATTTCATTTGGAAATCATTACAATCAAACAGAACAAAAACCAGTGACAATAAAATATAAGAAATATTGCTGCAGACCCATTTGTGTGTCACATTCTTCCATTTCATGATCATGTTTAGAACTACCATTTAGGAAACCATTGGATGACGTCTCTCCAACTCCATTGGAGTAGTGATCTGTTTCCATGTCTACATCATTACTGAGAAGAGGAAAAATGCACAATTAACTATGTAAAGATTTGGAACTGGGTCTTATCTTTAAAGCATGCTACATTCTCCAAGACAACTGTGGAGAGATACAAACATTCATTTTACTACACAGCCACATGTGATGACTACACTTGGGTGAGAGAACCAAGTCCAAGAGGTAGTCTTGATCTGTATCAGCGCTCTTACACATCATTGTGATATTACTACTGAAACATGAGAAAACTGGATGATCCTACTGGGAAATTTTGATTAATGGAAGCTTTAAAGCAGTGGTTCCCAACCTTTTCCCAACCGCAGATCAGTTGAGTGTGTGTGTGTGGTGTGCCCGCAGGGGGGCGGAGCTCTCATGCGCGCATGTGCACATCGCACTCAGGGTCCCCCCACTTGCATGCATGTGCACAAGCGTGCTCACAGGAGTGGAATGTGCTTGCGCACGGTGGCGCTTGTGGGGGCCACCATGTGCGTGTGCGCACAGCACAAGCGCAGGGGTGGAACAAGATTACGCACATGTGCGCGACAGTGCTCACGGGGGTAGGAGATCTGTGTCTGTGGGCCAGTCCTGGATAGGCCGCGAACCACTGCCGGGTCATGGAGGGGGGGCTGGGGACCTCTGCTTTAAAGGGTCCAGGGAAGCTTCAGGAGTCCTGTGGTCAAGCTGCATGCAGGAGCAGGGGTACCTTGCTTTTGGGGACCCACAGCTACTGCCTGTTCCTTGTTGGTGCCCATCCCCTTAACCTTACCAGTTGGAGGGCAGGCTACCTGTCTGCTCCTATTGCTAAATGTAGTTCTAGGTCTACACACTTGGATTTGCTGGCACACACACATTCCCCTGCTCCTGACGTACCAGCTGCCATCTCATTAGTCCCCACTGGCTGCCACCATGGGCAGGCAGGTGGCAAGAGACAGTCACCATTCAGTGACACATGTGAGCTCTGTTGAGGCCTCCATCCTTTTCCAAGCATGTCATGTCCCGCAAACAGACTGGCATGAAGACCAAAACATGAGCTACTCAAATGCTCCAATCAAGACACCTTGTTTCTTAGGACTCTTAATATTTACAATTACAGTCTTATACATTATTAAAGGTTCCTTAGTATAGCCTGATCTTTTTATAAACAGGAATAAAGAGCAGGAATGGCCTTCCTTATTATTTCTGCTTACTAATGAAAACATATTCTTTTCTTTGCAGAATAGAAAGCAATGCTCTGACTGAAATGCAGTCACTTTACTTCTCTTAGGTCCAAGCCTGGTAATAATTCTATAATTCTGTTAAATGCATGCGCTAAATATCTTCATACATTCAAACTAAAAGCAGAGAGGAAAGCAAGATTTCTAGCTTAACCCGTCATTTTGCCCATCAGTAAGGCATTATAGTCAACAACAACTGCCTATGCCTCAAAACCCAATACATAAACTGGAGGTGCTTGATAAGGAACAGTAGAATTAAAATAGATTTAATGTACTTACTTGGAGTAACTATTAACCTGCTGTGATCGTGTTACATTTAGATTATTAAGTTCTGGTACATTCAAACTGGTGGACTGATGTTTACTGTGACAGTAAGACTGATGCATTTTGTTTGATATCACTCCATTACTGCAACTACTTTCAAAACCTAAAATCAAATACGTAAAATGTTAAAAATCAGTATATTTGCTTATGTTGAATATTCATAACCCTGTACAACTTGTGCATGTGTAACTGTGCATGCTAAGCTTCAGAACAGTCCAGCTTCAGTCATAAGACACTTGATGGTGTAGCTTGAAGGAGGAACCTGTTCCTACAATACCCCTTCAGGCAAACAAGAAGTACAAGCAAGCTGTCCAGTAACAGCAGGCAGACTAGAGTGGGTGAAATGAAGGGACCCTTCCTTTTGCCTCCTGAACAGCTACTGTATTTTTCCATGTACAAGACGCTACTTTTTCCTAAAATCATTACATTAAAAATTGAGGGGCATCTTATAAACAGAAGGAAGCTGAGAAGAGAATAAAACGGCCCATACCTTGCCTTTGAAAACAGGCTTTCTTCAGTCACGAAATTTAGCTTCCTACAGTCAGGAGACTTAGCTTCCTCTAATCACAAGTCTTATGGAAGTGATGTCAGCTGATGCTGAACAAACCAACTGGAACACACCTCATTGGAGGTGGAGCCTGTAGGCTGAGATGCAACAAGGACCCGTAATGTCCAAGCATTATGAGCCCAGAGGCTAAACAGTCAAAGCTCAGTTAAGATTTCTTAATTTTGAGTTAGAAAAGTGGGGGTGTCTTATACATGGACATGTCTTATACATGGAAAAATATGGTATGTTAAGGCTAAGAGCATTTATTTGGGGAAAGCACTTGCTTCTCAGAGAGAACAGGGGTGTCGGCTACTATGGATAAGTACACAAAACTGCTCCTATTGTTGTTCATTTTCTAAAACAAATTATCAGACTGTTACTCTTGATGCCAACAATTTCTGTTGAAAACCAACGTTACCATAATATGTGGGCCTATGCATGAAGCTCTCCATACAGCTGCCCTAGATTAGCAGGACACATGTTGAGGGCTCATCACAGGACTAGAATACAGAAGAACTGCATCTGAGAGTACTGAAGAAACTGGCTGAAGAACTCTCAGAACCGTTATCCATTATTTTCTGGAAATAATGGGATATGGGTGAGGTGCCAGAGGACTGCAGGAGGGCCAATGTTGTCCCTATCTTCAAAAGGGGCAAAAAAGAGGAACCTGGGAACTACAGGCCAGTTAGCCTGACATCAATGCCAGGCAAAATTCTGGAACAGATTGTAAAGCGGTCATTGTGCAAGCACCTAGAAAACAATGCAGTAATAACTAGAAGCTAACACGGATTTGTTAAGAACAAATCCTGCCAAATTAATCAGATCTCATTTTTTTTTTGATCAGGTCATCTCCCTGATAGAAAGAGGGAATGCTGTAGACTTACCGTATTTGCCGGTGTACAAGGCGACTGGCCGCATAAGACGACCCCCAAAAAATTCCACTCAAAATATAGAGTGGACGGCTCTGCTGCGGCGCCGGCAGCGGCTGCCCGGGGCTCTGCCCTGGAAGTTCATGGCCGGCGGGGAGGAGGGCGAGGAAGAGGGGAAGAGGCTGGGCGGGCGGCAGCAGGAGGAGGAGGAGGAGAAGGAGGAAGAGGGGAAGCGCGCAGCTGGCGGGCGAGTGAGGGTGCAGCTGGCTCAGCAGTGCGGGGGGGGGGGCAACCCGGCGGCGGGCTCTGGCCGCTCAGGCATGGCCGGCTCTGCTTCCCTCCCTCCATCTGGACCAACTGCCTGTCTCCCTGACCGCCTGCCTTCCTCCCTGACCGGCGCGGCCCCACATCACTCACTCAACAGCAGCGGCTCCTTCCTGGCTCAAATGAAGTGCACCGGGTGTACAAGATGACCCCCCCAATTAGAGGCATGTTTTTTGGGCCAAAAAAGTCATCTTGTACGCCGGCAAATACGGTAGTATATCTTGACTTCAGCAAAGCTTTTGACAAAGTACCCCATGATATCCTGATCAGAGATGGGGATATTCGTATATGAATATACCGCACAGGTAGAAATAACGAACCCATGGGGCTGAACTGTCCACTCACAATTTTGCTGCTGCCACTGGCTCAGCGCAGGCTTCCTATCGTGCGGTTGTCCGCAATCAATTACCCACTCCTGGGAGGAGGCAGGATGACAAGCCTCTCTGCCAGGTCGCAGAGTGGCTAATCCACTGCAGAGAATGGCACGATAGGAAGCGTCTGTGTAGCTGGCGGCAGCAGCGAAATCATGAGTGGACAGTCGTTATTTCCACATATGCGGATACCCCCATCTCTATTCCTTATTAGCAAGCTAACTAGGTGTGGACTGGATAGATGAATTGTCAGGTGGATTCTATAGGTGGTTATAGAATCATACCCAGAGGGTGATGATCAATGGGTCCTTATCCAACTGGGAGGAGGTAACAAATGGGGTACCCCAAGGGCTCACTCCTGGGCCTGGTGCTCTTCAAAGGGAGAACCATTCATCTAAATCCGCAGGACAGCAACCTTTATATGGACTATTTCATATCTTAAAAACAAAAAGAATACTGAAATAAAATATTTCTTTGTAACATCTTATTCTGTCACTTGAAACTCACCAGAACAATGTGTGCTACTTCCTTTGCTTGTTGCTAGACTGTGAATATTCATTCCATGACTGGGGCTCATACTAGGACTACTAAATGATCGAGGACTAACAGGATAGCTATCTTGAGATTTCGGACTGTGACCTCCTAGACATCGTACTTCACTATCTGTACCATTGACCATTTCTATGAACTGACGTACCCTACAAAACATAAAAAGAAAAGTTAATTTTGGTACTTAAGATAATACATTCCAAAAATTTAACTGAACTCTCTCAATCACCAAAGACTGGTATGACTATTACTATAAAAAAAAGACAAGCTTCTTCACATCCCACATTACCACCCTTTACTATACTAAAAAAAACTCTGATCCAGTTACATAGAAAGAGAGAAAGACTGTAGCTATACATATTTTGCTTTGTGTACCACATTTCGAGTAACTGTCCTCCCTCCCAACTAATTTAGAATGATGCATACAAATAGATCTATTTGTAATCCCATTTTTTCTCCTGCTTTAAAAGTTTAATTTATGCAGAAGGGGAGAAGTAGCATTATTGATAGACAACCAGCATACAGTGACCCACAATGTGATACATAACATGAACTGTTACAGGGAGATTTACAGACAAAAGGTGTAATGCAAGTCTTCACCTTCAAAATCATTTCAACAGATCATGGTTAAAACCTTGCTCTTAATCCTTAATACCTTCTTTTTCGTTTTTCCCCATTTTTGGTTTTAATGGGAGCATGTAACAGTATTTCAAGACACATTTTGCAATGTACTACATAAACATTATCATGCAAATCACTAGATCACCAAGATGGCAGCTTGTTATTACAAAAGCTTGAAATTAAGGCACACATTCCCTCCCAGATCAGTTAATATTTTATTAGCAGGTATCTGACTCACTTCAAAGCAAATAAAAGATTGGGGTTTCTTTCTAATAAACTTGGATACAATTGTTGTGTTGTTTCAATGGCTTCTCCCATTCTTCCTGCTAAAACTAATTTCTGAATTCCTGTTCAAAGAAATAAAAGATAACAGTTTGAATATATTATATTTCAGGGCACAATTCGACAACATTTGACCACTTCTAAGCCCCACTGAGTTAAGTTAATGCCATAACACTGATACATCATTTAGCTTACAGTATCCATCTGCAATTTGGCTTCAAAATTCTACATGAAAATAAAAATAGTGGTTGATTCCAAGATGGATCCTGTTTCACAAATGACTGGACAGTGCTGCACAGAAACAAGTAAGATATATTGAACAGCACAGTGTTACTCTAGTTTCCTCACAAGATTATTAGAAAGCCATGATTGAGAAGAAGCAAATAAAAAGCAAACAGGCAATACTGTCCTGGAAACATTAAAAATATTGAAAGAAAAAAAACCAGAAAAAAATATTTTCACACGTATTACCAGAAATGGCCACTAGAGGCAGCCAGAAACCGTGCTATGAATACTTGCTAGAGCTAGAGCATAATAAATAGCATGGTCTCTGGTGCCTTTCAGAGGCCAATTTTGTTAATGCATCTGAAAATAAGTTTTTTTTCCCCATGGGGGCCTTGGAATCAATCCCCAATGGTTTTGGGGGTCCTATTGTATTCTTTCGTCAGATGATTGCCCTAGTATCTAGGATAATGCAAAGCTTTGCTTGAATTTACCTAAGATAAATGTATCTAAAATAAACTTTCACAACAGAGCCTCTGAAGTGAAAACAAACTCACACCACAGCTACCAATGGTGGAGATTTACAAAACAGCAAACAACAAAATTCCATAAGTGTGATTAAAAGAACAGATCCTGGAAAAGCACTTTCACATCTGAATTTATTTGTATTCAAAATACAGCATTGTTCAGACTTACTTTGTCTATTTTTAATGGAAGCTAATTCTTCAAGAACAGTCTGATCAGTAGATCTAGCAAAGGCTTCTGCTGTTGCACAGTACCCATGATGTACCAAATAAGATGAAACCATCCTGTAAAAAGAAGTCAAAACATGAGCATATAAAAATACAGCACGGATGCAGACTTTCAAAACAATTCATGACAAAATCTGTTATCGACTAGTATTTCATTATGAAAAAAAAGCTGAGATTATTCTTACATATACTTTCACAACTGAAATGAATACTATCAATTTGAATGCACAGTACTATCATTGACAAGTGTTTTACATTCTCCTTTGTATGCATAAAAATGTATGGTTACGTACATTTTTAATTCACAGTAATATGTGGTTGTTTGTTACCAGAAGACTAAAGACGCTAAGGCACAAGTGTCAAACTCAAGGCCCACAGCCTAAATCCGCCTGTTGGGCCATTTCATGTGGCCCTCACAGTGTTGCCTGCTACTGCGCAGTATAATACAAAATGCAGGCACTTCCTGAGTCATCCATTAGGCTCCACAAGGATGCTTGGAATCCGCCCAATGGGACTTCTAATCCCAGCAATCCAAGCAGTGAAGATTCAGAACGTGCAGCCACTTGGGCAGCGTATAGCACCTTGGGAAATGTAGTCCTCGCTGTTGCCCAATCCGATTCTTAAAGGTCCCAGCAAGGACTGTTTGATGGCATCGTCATCTTAACTCAGCCTGCTCTGTGACCCTGAGAGGGAAGCACTCAGGTGAGGGGAGAAGAGACGGGTCCCCCTACCAAATTCCCCCAAATTTCTGCTCCCCCCTCCACCAGCGTGTGGCTCCTGGAAAGACAGGTAGGGGAGCAGCCAGGATAAATTGGCTTATGTTTTGAAGATACGCTCCAGCAATAATGGATTTCAGACCTTGCTTGGCTGCCACCGTATAAATTGTTTTGCCGCTCGGCTTTTGATAGGGAGAAAGATCACACACAGGCGCACATGTGCACACGTACAACTTGCCAAAGCAAGGAGGGGGCTGAACTCTGCAGCTGGCTTCTGGAAGAATCTGGACCCTGCAGGTGGCATGGCAACATTAAACACGGAGGCCCTTTCTCCTCCCCACGGCTGCTGGCCCTTCTTTGAGGGTGTTCAGTGCAGAGAAACAAGCTAAATCAGCGATGGCTAACCTTTTTGAGTCTGAGTGCCCAAACTTTTTTTTAAAAAAGAAACAAAACCCAGTGGGCAACGGGCAGAGGTGGCAGTGGAAGTGGCGGCGGCAGAAGCAGAAGTGGTGGTGGAAGGGGGAATCCCGAGCATAGAGCTGCCTCCAAACCCCACTCTGGATCCATCTCCAGTCGGGCCCAACCCCTGCCGCCGCCACCTGCTCCGGATCCTGGCTCGTCGCCTGTCGGGCTGCTAGCACCACAACTGCAGCTGCCTCCTCAGGTTTGGCTGCTGGGGGTAGTAATCCGGTGTCTTATGGCTCACGTGCCTTCAGAGAGGGCTCTGAGTGCCAGCTGTGGAGCGCGTGCCATAGGTTCACCATCACTGTGCTAAACCTTTCCCTCGCTCCCCGGAGAACAAGGCACCTAATAAATGTAAAGAACCAACTCTGTGTCCTGGGCTCATTGCAGAGATGTTATCTGCCACCATGAGCACGGCCCTTGTCTAAAGCTGGAGGGTCAGGGTTAGGATTAAGACTGCATTTCAATTAATTGTACAACAGTTGTACACGTGAATATCTGCTTGCCACTATTTCTAGACTTTGATCATAGACTTTTACTTTCATAGCTAGTTATTACTTAAGTTATTACTAAAACCAATAATAATCAAATGAGGACAATTATATTTAATATGATAAAGAGTAGATACATTTACATAGTCTTACAGATACAACCGGCCCTTTGAGGGCAACCATAATGCCGATGCGGCCCAAGATGAAACTGAGTTAGACACCTCTGTGGTAAGATAATCAGTGCACAAGATGATGAACCTGAAACTACCTTCTCTAGCTGTTCAGCACAATGGAGACAATGCCAGGAGAAGATTTAGCACTTGTGGGGACTCAAAGCAGCATACAAAAAGTTTAAAATCAACAATTAATTAAAACCAATTAATTAAGATTTCCAGAGACAAGTAACACAGATTCTGAAGGAGCAGCAGGTTAGTTGGTAGTACACATTAATTTGCTATTTAATAACAATAACAAAAGAAAACACTGGGGAGGGCCATTTTTACTCTCAAAGAGGCACAAATAATCTTTGCCCACAGAACAAGGATAGAAAATAATTTCCAATAATAATGTATATGGCCAATATTACATCAGAAATATGTAAATCCATAATACCTTGAACATTCTTATCTTGATTTTAGAGTTTTACAGTGACAAAAAAAGGACTGGCAAATGGTTTTTCTGCTACAGGTTGCCTAATCCAATATGAATTAATAGCAGAAACAGAGACTAGTGAGCAGTCTTAAATCATGGATATCCACTTATTCTCCCTTCTCTCTGTGCTATAATTATTTCTGAAGCATTAATACATGTATCTGTTACACAAAACTGGGAAGTCTGCAAAGATAAATTATACAATATACTAATGAGTCTCTGCTCAATTCAAAATGAACTGCATACCATCAATCCAACATTTTTTAAATGCAGAAGTGGCTCAGTTTCTGTAGAAATAGTCACATTAGTCTGCTCAGCACATTGGCAAAATTAATGGAGGAGAACAAGAAGAAAATGAAAAAAATGAAAGCGAGCAAGCGCAAGAGAGAAAGCAAAATATTGTGCCACATTAAAGATTAACTGTTCTATTTCAATTGCGAGCTTTCATGGATCAAAATCTACTTCTTCTGACACAGAATCTTGAGTGACTCAAGATGAGCTCATATCTTTGCAACCACTCCATGGCAAGTGTGCCCACAAACAATAAATCTTTATAGAAATCGGCACATACTTACCACATTAGCTAATTCAAAGTTACAAATGCTGAATAGGAATAACAAAGCACTCCAGAATTATTTTACTGCTCAAGTTGGAGACTAAAAGTTAAAGAGACAGACCTAAATTAAATTACCAGAGGCAAATAATAATTTGATGTTTACTACACAAATATAAATACAGTGGTGCCTCACTTTACTATTGCCCCGTTTAACGCCGAAACCGCATTACAATGAACTTTTTGCGATCGCAAAACGATGTCTCCTATGGGGGAATTTTGCTTTGCAATCATCGGTTCCCTGATTCTTCGCAAAACGACAATTTTCCAACAGCTGATCAGCGATTTCAAAATGGCTGCCGGGTAAACAAAATGCCCCCCCGCTGTTTTCTGGGACGGATTCCTCACTGTACAGGCAGCGAAAATGGCTGCCCTATGGAGGATCTTCGCTGGACGGTGAGTTTACACCCCTTTGGAACACATTAAACGGGTTTTAAAGCATTTCAATTGGTTTTTTCTTTTCGCACTACAATGTTTTCGTTCTACAGCGATTTTGCTGGAACGAATTAATGTACTTGACTTTACGAGGAAATAATTCCACCAGATAATCTCTCAGGCATGCATGGCTGGTTTCAATGGGCATTACTTCCACTGACACACAGGCTACAACTAAAATGTATAGAACAGAAAGGCCAAACCAGGATTAGCTCTTAAACCTGAATAGGAATTTAAGCAGGCATTCATCACAATCTTGAAAATCTTACTTTTGGATCATTGTCTGCCATTCTCCTTCCCGATCTCCTATAGGAAACCTGTCAATCTGAGCTTGAATTTTGGTTCTCCATTCTCTCATATAATCTTCAATATCAAACACAAATGGATGCTGCCCAAAATTAGCATCCACCACTTCTCCTGGTGTTTGAAGTCCAACCGTAGGGTACAGGTTTGGCTGCAAGAGATAATCATCATATTTTACTTTACTTAAAATTCAAGTATATCCCTCCTGTCTCAAAATATCCTTCATTATTTCAAAATCCAAATATGTTTCCATTAATTCAGCATCAAAGCAACAAAATTACTGCATTAAAAAAGTTGTAACATAAAATAACAGATATTAAATTCAGGTTCTAGGACTACTTGGAAGACTCCTATATAGTAAAAAAGCAAAATATACTGCCATCACTATATTAAATCTCAAGTTGTAAAAGAATTCCTTTAGTCAGAATTTCCATGTTACATCAAGATTACAAAGTAACAGATGTACATCAGTACCATTCAATATCCTCTCCATCAGAATGGACCGGTAAACCACTTCTGAGTATTTCATGCCTACAAAATCCTAAGAGGGTCATCATAAGTCAGAACTGACTTCACAGCACATCATCAATGTATTGTTGTTACTAATAATAGGCTAAATATTAGTAACTCTAGTTCAAAAAACGTTTCAGGTAATAAGATTAAGAAAGATTTTTGGCTAAAATCTTGTGAGTTGTTGCCAGACAGAATACATAGTACTCATTAGATCTCAATCACTACAAGAAAGATTCATATTTTTGTTCAATGAACAGGCTTCCTCAGGGATTCTGACATCATTGAAATTTCTGTCACAATCTTGATGACAAAGCACTAACATTCTAGAATGACAATTTGGTAATCATTAATTCATCTTCAGTTTTTTTATGGTAAACAGTAGTTCTCGAAATCAAATATACTGATAACTCAGGAGGGTTTGCTCTAAGAAAACAATCACTTGTACTAAATTAGACTACAGCGGTGCCTCGCAAGACAAATTTAATTCGTTCCGCAGTTAATGTTGTCTTGCGAAAAATTCATCTCGCGAAACACGTTTTACCATAGGAATGCATTGATATCTAATTAATGCGTTCCTATGGGCAAAAAAAGTCAGAACAAAGTCAAATTTGGTTTACAAAGGGTTTTAAGTGCTCTTTAAAGCCATACATATTGGCTTGATTGAAAAAAATTTCAATCAAAAAACTAACTTTTTAAACATCATAGAAAAACATTTAAAAATCAGCAAACATGAGGCAGGAACAAAAAAGGGAAAACATTCAACTTGCAAAGCACGGCTATAGGAACATTTGTCTTGCGAGTCATCAACCGCATTGCCAAAACCATTTGTCTTGCGAGGTTTTTGTCCTGCGAGGCATTTGTCTTGTGAGGCATCACTGTATTGATCTATAAAACTCAGCAATATCTATACAGACTGACAGTGGCTTCCCAGGGTCTCAGGCAGGCAGATTTCCTGTCATCTTGTTTGTCCTTCAAAATCTGGAGCTATAAAACATACACTAGTACACTAAGAACCCTATGCTTATATATCCACCTAATATGGAATTTAAATACTTCCTGAGACATAAAATACAAATACTCAACCAGTGCTAACACCAAATGTGACACAGTGCTTATAACTGTTTCAAAATTAAATTTCATGTGCTCGCTTCGGCAGCACATACACTAAGTTTCATAATCAGAACAAAAGCAATGTTTCTGTTAAGTTACTATCTTTTACTATTTTTAGTGTGACTGTAATTTTTAAACAAAACTAAAATGAATATTCTGAATTATGTACATATTACATAAGCACAAGAATCTGCTTTTTCCTATACGAATGCTACAGCTTTAAAAAAAAGTATCTTACCGGCAAATCTGTGAAAGCAATACCTGCAACCAAGAGACATCCATTAAAATTTTAGAATTACAAGACACGTCTTAAAACGTCAAAACATATGTCTGGATACTATTGTAATCAAAGCAGAAAATTTTCAATCTCAATAGAAGACACAGCATGTTAATTCCCCTTACCTTTTTCTATTTTACCACGTAAATTCTAGTTTACAGTTCAGGAGAAAAACTGTTGAATTCCCATTTAAGAATTTAAATACAGCAAAACTAACACCATCCTGTAATTATATGTCACATGGTAGCTTATTATTCTTAGTTTCAGTTATATATGCAAGTTCTGCTTAGACAATAGTCAATATCCCAGTGCCTAATATGTATTGGAAGAGAAAGCACACAAGTGTCTCACCCATTCCAATAGATTTCCCACTGCATGACCAGATGTGCAATCTTGCAACCAGTGTGAGAACACATGGTGTAGAGCTTGCTGGAGTGAACAGGCACTTACATAACTGTCCTTCAGCTCTTGATTCAGGAATAGGATATTGGCCAACATGTAAGATTTAACGATCAAACTTTTAATAAAGCAAACTTTGGCAATAAAATATAAACAGTTTTGCAGCAAAACTTGGACCATACACAACTATATACATTAGAATCTACAGTTTTATAGAGAATTAGAAGTTAAAGAGAAACCTCTTGAGCCCCAGAAACTAAATTCATATTACTACTAGATAATGCAATACAACCTATTCTGGGCTGTATTCAATGCTTGAAGTCTATCTGCATAACAAAGAAGTTTTAAGCCCCACTGCAGTTCCCCAGGAATCCCAAAATCCAGCTTTAGAAGGCTGGGAAATACTCTGGAACTGGTTTAAATGGTACAGCAGTAGTTAAACCAATAACCAGAGTTTATGTAGACAGCAGTCATTAGACTACATATCATCACATGGTGGTATAGTTTTTTTAACCATATAAATAAAACAATTAGCAAGACAGGCAAAAGTCTGGAACACACATTGCATACTCTCTCTAAAATTCTAAAACTCTGGGGCCTTGATAATGGAAATATGGGCCTCCAGCCAACAGGTATTCTCTGCTACAATAAATCGAATAATCAATGGTAAGTCAGCACCTACTTAAATCTCACTGGTTCAATATGTATACTCTAGTTGGAACCACCCACTGACTCAGGTTAGTGTACTGTCTAATGTTGTGACTATATATATGTATGTGTGTTCTTCGTTTAGACTACCATAAAAGAAATTATCAAAACACCCAGTAAGGTCACATAATTTTCCATTTTTGTTTGAGCTGAAAATTAAAACCTTTTGCTTGAAACACTTCATTTACCAAATATAGTAACTAAAACTACACTCCAAAAGAAAAAGAACAGTGTAGAAAGCAAAATCTGTTTAGCTTATATAATATAAAACAAACATCTAAATTTAAAATTCTACTTTTTGTTATCTGGTTAAATAACCTGTATTGCCAAACAACTAAACATTTCAAAACCTGTTTTTCCGCATCTGTTGAGGTAGCCAAATCAAAAGCATAGCACAAATACTGAACTCTTTTCTTTCATTTAAAAATAACAGAATTATACAAACTGCAAATCCATGATCAATTTGTCAATGTTTTCACAGTTTTCATTATCTCCTTTAATTTTCTATCTTACTGATAAATAGAAAAGCTTTGCCTGTATGTTCTAAATTATTGACACCCCTGAACTCAAAGGTACTTTGCTTCAAACCTATGTTCTATTTTTAATTAGATTTTTTTCTCTTTTTAAAATTAGTACAGATGGGGGTATTCGTATGTGAATACCCCTGCACAGGTGGACATAACAAGGATCCAGCCCCCTGGGGCAGGACCATCCACTCACCTTCCGCTGTTGCCCCAAGCTCTGCGCTCCCTTCCTATCGCTGCAGAGCTCGCGGTCTGCAAGCCACTCCTGGCAGGAGGCAGGAAGACGAGCCTTGCTGCAAGGTTGAAGAGTGGCTTGCAGACTGTGAGCTCCAGAGCGATAGGAAGAAAGTCCACAGCTTGCGGCAACAGTGGAAGGTGAGTGGATGTTATGTCCACCTGTGTGGGGATATTCGTATACGAATACTCTAATTAGCAGATTTGTAATTTGTATTTTATAACATTTGACTCAAATATTCAAAGATTACAACCCTAGTGTAAAAAACACAGTAGCTTCTCAGATTTGCAAAAATTAATGTTTTAATCTCCTTACATGTTTGCATCATAATTGGTGATTCTTCTTACCCAAACTATGTCCATTCTTTGTGTAGAAACAGGTATTGTTGATCAGGTTTACACAGCAGCCAATGACATCACCAGTTGTGAAAGTTGGACCATAAGGTTGTCCAGTTCCAGAGGAACAAAACGAGTGTCCATCATCACCATGATAACCATATGAATGTTTATCCCACCCTAAAAACAAGCATATAACATATACCATTTACCATATTATGGAATAGCTAGAATAAGACAGTGAGATCCCAATTCAGATATGCTTGGAGCAGACCTATTAAAATCAAATGGGATTTGCATTGGCCTTCATTATTTCAAGTCCTATTGATTCCAGTGGGTCTGTTTTAAGTTTCAGCATGACACAATGGTCTGAAATGGAACTTGTTGGTTTACTCAGTTCTCAAAACGTAAGAACATTCTGAAACCATAAAAAAAAAAAATTATTAGTTGCAAGTAGATGTACAAATAAGAAAAATGTTGAGTTTCCCCAACATTTCCCCAACTGAAATGCAAGAGAAACTGAAGATTTAATGCAACTGCAAACTTACCAAATCTTAATGACTTCACTACTTTATGAATTTGAAATATATAGTCAATATGCTAACACTCTGGCATATTTATGCAATTAAAAATTTAAAAATAATTTATTTGCCACGCTGTATTATAACCATTAAGAGCTTGGAGCTGCAACTTGCTATTCTCTAACATACTCTAACATTCCTACATATTGATTAGCTAGAACCAGCAGGCAATTACCAAAGTGCTTTTAAAACTTTCATAGCCACAAAAATGCTGTAGGAAGCATGAAAGTTATAAATCATCCCGATTGAATCAAGGGCCCAGGAATTGTTCCCCTAATAGCTGTAATGCGCAGTACTACCCTAAATTGAAACCAGCAAGATCTCAGAACACCACAAGAACTGCTGTCTGGAATCCTGCACTTTTTTCTTCCTCTAGTGGGTTTTTATATCAGCTTTTCCTGCATTAAACTTCTGCTCTCTCTCTCCCCCCGCCCCCATTCAAATTGAATGAAATAGTTTTAAGGCTTGCTAAGCAGAGCAATTAACTGCTATTTCTACAGAAAGGCTTCATTTTGTATAAACATCAGGACTTCTAAGTGGTAGTACACAATAAAAGGCAATTCAGGTAGCTAGCAATTCCATGCATATACTGAATTAGCACTTTCTGAAACTTACCATTCCACAACACGTTCCATATACAACAAATAGGCAGAATATACTTTCTCTAGTTCTATTATCTGACTGAAATCCTGTTCCAAGTCAGTGTGTCTGAGAAGGTGTGTGGGGCCTTATACCCAGACAGCCAGTATTGCTCTATTTACTGCACAACTCATATTTTGGTTGGGCAGTTCATACTGCAATTGTGCACTTGAGTGTCCAGCTCAGAATGTGACTCCGCAATCAATCATGTGATATGTCTATGGTAGTGCTTCTTGGATCTTCCACCCTGTCATGACTTTTGTACCACTTCCACAGCCTGACTTTATGCATATGGAGGTCTGCAACAGACTGCATTATGAAGTAATTATTGTTATCAATTAAGAAGTAAATTTTCAGCTGCAAGAAATAAATAAAATAAATAAAAGGATAATCAATTGGCCTGCAGTTGATACAAAGAGATGTTCTGAAACCTAAATAATTACTTGTTCTCATACCTGGTAATCTGTTCATGTTCACACCTTGAGCAGAAAGCCCAATTCCCATGTAGCTGCAAAAGCAAAACACAAAACAGTTTCTACGTTTGTGTTTCATAAATAAACAACCATTTCAAAATACAACATTTCTTAAAAAAAACAAAGAGCTACCACTTAATTATTACATACAGCAGCTGTACAATGAGTTTTGTATACAGCACAAATTAGAGATGGACACAAACTGAACTACAGACCAGAAAAAACATGAACTGGGCTGGGTCATAGTTCAATTTGTGGTTCAACTCATGCAATTTTGGTTCCGTTTTGCCAAAGTGAAACAAAGCACCAAAACAGATGCTTACCCATCCCCTTCCTGCTACTCCCACTGCCTCCCTAGCTGGTCCTGCCACCGCCTCCACCACCACCACAATCTTCAAAGACAGTGGCCTGGCTTCCCTTCCCTGTCTCTGGGCATTTGCCTGTCTATCAGCTGATTGGGGTGGATGGGCACAGCCAGTGCCCAGGCTTCCAGCAATTTTCTCTTGCTATGGTGCACAAATGAATTTCATTTCCATAACATATACAAATAACAAGTGTTGAGTTCTCTAGTTGAAAAAAAATGAGAGGGAAGGTAAAAAACAAAAAAATTCTGGCAAATATTGGTAAATATTGCAGAAATATGCCTGATATGTGCAAATCCATAATAAATACTAGGCTATCAATGTGCCAACATTATTTTCATGACAAGCACTGCAGTGGCACTATAACAGCAGGGCATAGGTAAGACGGCAGGACTAAGATGACCTATACTGGAGGAGTAAATATATATTCGAAAATTAGCTGTTCATGCTTCCCTTCCATTCATTTTATGCACAACACCAGGCATAAGGTCTCATTACTTCCCAATAAAGTGGTGCCTCGCATAACGAGCGCACCGTTTAACGACGAATCCGCATAGCGATCTATTTTTTAGATTGCGAATGCGATCGCATTGTGATGTTTTAATGGGCAAAACATCGCATTGCGATGATCGGTAAGCGTTTCACTTACTGATCTTCGCATTGCGATGTTTTTTAAATAGCTGTTTGGCGGTTCCAAAATGGCCACCGCAACCATTTTCGCGCGGTTTCCTCGCTTACCGAGGGTGCGAAAATGGCGGCGCTATGGAGGATCTTCGCTGAACGGTGAGTTTGGGCCCCATAGGAACGCATTAAATGAAGTTTAATGCGTTCCTATGGGTTTTTCCGTTCCGTTTAGCGATGTTTCCACATAGCGACGATTAATCCGGAATGGATTAACGTTGCTATGCGGGGCACCACTGTATCTAGAATGTAGGTAGGTTGGTAGGTAGGTAGGTAGGAAAGAAGGAAGGAAGGAAGATAACAGCAAGAACACTGCAAAGCACATCACCTTTCAATAATACTATTAAATATGGATACTGTCTGCAGAGCACTAAACCCATTATTACAGAGGAAGTTAGAGGCATGATTCAGTGATACAGTGGTGCCTCGCTTTACGATCGCTTTGTTTAACGACGAAATCGCATAATGATGAACTTTTTGCGATCGCTTATGTGATCGCAAAACGATGTTTCCTTTGGGGAAATTTCGCTTTATGATGATCGGTTCCCTGCTTCAAGAACCAATACTTCGCAAAACGACAATTTTCCAACAGCTGATTGGCAGTTTCAAAATGGCCACCGGGTAAATAAAATGGCTCCCCGCTGTGTTTAGGGACGGATTCCTTGCAAGACAGGCAGCGAAAATGGCCGCCCTGTGGAGGATCTTCGCTGTACAGTGAGTTTTAAGCCCATCGGAACGCATTAAACAGGTTTTAATGCATTTCTATGGGCTTTTAAATTTCACTTTACGATGTTTTCGTTCTACAGCGATTTCGCTGGAACGAATTAACATCGTAATGCGAGGCACCACTGTATATGCTACATTTTAAAAAAAATCAGAGCAGCAATAGTCTTTTCCTATGGACAAAAAGGGTTTTATAATCAAGTCAAATTTCTGCTTTTTTAAAATAAATAAATGTATTGTCATTGTAAGTATATACATAGTATACCCATACAGCAAAATTCACACAGACACCCAGAGACCAGACCCACATGCACATACACAAAAAATTCCCAAACACTCCCCACCCACTAAAATCCCCCTCTAAGAATACAAACATCTACACTGCAAGCTAAGTAACACTGTCCAACTATTCACTACTGGTGGTCTTTAAGCTCATTATTAAGTGCAATTATAGCTCTGGGATAAAAACTATTCAGAAAACGTTTGGTCCGAGTCTTGTTTGTTCTATATCTTCTGCCAGACGGCAAGTTGTAAGCAGGATAGGAAGAGTCTCTCAGGATGTTGTGCTACTTCCTCAGACAGCGGGATGTGAAGATGTCATCCAGGGTTGATAGCTGGAACCCAATGATATTCTGGGCAATTTTAATGGTTCTCTGTAGAGCTTTTTTGTCCACTACAGAGCTACTCCCAAACCATATCACAATGCCACAGGTTAGGACACTCTCGATGGTGCTACAATAGTAGAACAGAAGTAAATGCTAAGATAAATTTAACTTCCTGAGCATTCTCAGGAAATACAGCTTCTTCTGTGTCTTCTTCACTAGCATGTTGGCACTTATAGTCCATGAGAGGTCATTAGAGATGTAAGTGCCCAGAAATTTAAAACTACCAACTCTCTCCACTTCCTCACCATTTATGTACAGTAGTAAATGTACATTTCTCTTCCTCCTAAAATCAATTAAGAGTTCTTTACTTTTTTTGATGTTAAGTGTAAGATTATTTTCTTTACACCAGCGTATCAACCCTTGTACTTCCTTTCTGTAAGCAGACTCATTGTTTATTTATGACTCCCACCACTATCGTATTGTCAGCAAATTTAATAACTGCGTTGGTGTTACAGTGGACCCTCGACTTACGGAATGAATCCGTATTGGGACGCTGGCCGCAGGTCAAAAAGTCCATAGGTCGAGGGTCCATTTCCCATAGGAATGCACTGAAAACCATTTAATCCATTCCAGCCGAAGAAAAAAAATCCCGGGCTTCCAAAGCTGCACCCGCTGCCCTGTGCCTTCCGTTCCCGCTTGCCCTCTGCCTCCCATCCCCGCAGGAACAGGAAGCAGAGGACAGTGGGTGCAGCTTTGGAAGCCCGGGAAGCCGAAAGCTGCTCTGCGCCCACTGCCAGCTTTCGGGGCTTCGAAAGCTGCACCCGCTGCCCTCTTGTCTCCTATCCCTGGTGCCCTCTGCTTCAGGCAGAGGACAACGGGGACAGGAGACAAGAGGGCAGCAAGGGCAGCTTTTGAAGCCCCGAAAGCGAGCGCGGAGGTCCACAGGAGGCAGAGGGCACCTGGGACATTAGACAAGAGGGCAGCGGGGGCGACTTTGAATTTCCCATCCTTTCCCCCTGTCTTTCATAGGTCGAAGCTCCAGCTGCAAGTCAAACTAAAATTTTGCGGCCGGAGTTTTTCGTACCTCGAAATTTCCGTAAGTAAGTCGAGGGTCCACTGTATACAGTAGGGTGCAATCATGTGTGTACAGGGAATAGAGGAAGGGACTTAGCACACAGCCCTGGGGAGCTCCTGTACTTAGTACCAGGGTAGAAGAACGGTGAGGTCTACAGTGCTATATTGTATGTTCTTTTTTGCAATACATGCCTCTGGTTTAGCACAGCACTTGGTTTACCAGCTGTTTCAATGCCAATTTTTGAAAGTCAAGGAAGTGGCACACACTACCACACATTCTATAAACAGGAACTTTGGTGACATATGTCCAAACTATTTTATCCAACTAAAAGATAAACAACAGTTATTTTGGAATAAGGCTATACATAGTTTTTGTATTATTTGCATACAAATAATAAGTAACTAGGGACTTTCACATAGAATGCAAAACCACTATATCTATATATATACGTAAGTATGACCACCTAGAAAGGAAAAGCAGTATAATTATTTTGTTGACCATACAAAATCACATAGACTGCATAATAACCTGTTTCAGGACACTATGCAATAAGGAACTACTGTTTTCCACAGAATGATTTGATTTAAAACAAATTGATTTAAATTGTGATTTAAATTTTAAAAAGTTTGGTTATATTTTTTATTTAAATTGTTATTTAAATCAATTCTGTTCTTAAAATGACTGATTTTTATCCACCCAGAGGGACTATCAGGTTAATTTTGATCACTGGCCATGCTTGCTAAAACTAATGAGCACTGCAGAACAGCAAAAGCTAGAGGGCCACAGGGTCCCTAACCCAGACTTGCTTGCTAAAATCATCTTGCATAGCTACATTAGTGCAATGCTAACCATTAGAGGCAAATTGCCTCAAGTTATGAAATCATTGTAGACATTACCTGTTTTATACTGACTTACACTGATACAGTTGTGCAATAGGATTTTGACCATTGTACTTACTTAAAATGCGTGACATTTTGCCCTTGGTCATTTTTACAGAAAAAAGCAAGCTGTAAAAACCTTTTAAAAATGTTATTGATTTGGTTTCAATACCTTAAGGTCTCTTACAAAATTCTAAACCGGGCTATTTAATCAACATTTTAAGATTAATCCTTGATAATTAATTTAAATTAAAATGACAAATCACTTGGCTATCATTCTTACTTGTGTCACAGATAAGAAAGGACTGGAAAAGAAATTTGAGTAAAAATATCTGTTATATCTATAAAGAGGAACACAGTGTAACAAAGTAGCTTTAAAGTAAATCACCTATGTGAAGAAAAAAGGTAGACCATGTACACCATCATGATTATTGTGGAGAAAAAGTAGAGTATAAATGTAATAGATAAATATTTTTACTTAGGTTGTCCTTCTAATCTGGGCTTGTAAGAAAGAATGTCAAGTTCCATTTGAAAAAAAAATTGTTTTTCTTATAGACCCCACTAATAGATTGTAGGACGTTATGGACAGGACACAAAAAACAGCTGCTTGTTCAACTAGTCAGTTATGCAGTTATTTTACCCCCAATTTTTTTAATACAGTGGTGCCTCGCTTAACGACGATAATCTGTTCCAGGAAAATCGCCGTTAAGCGAAAACATCCTAAAGCGAAAATAAAAACCCAATTGAAACGCATTGAAACCCATTCAATGCATTCCAACGGGATAAAAAGTCACCATCCAGCGAAGATCCTCCATACTGTGGCCATTTTTGCTGCCTATATAGCGAGGAATCTGTCCCTAAACACAGCGGGGACCCATTTTAATCACCCGGTGGCCATTTTAAAACCACCAATCAGCTGTTCAAAAAACGTCATTTTGCGAAGAATCGTTCCCAAAGCAGGGAACCGATCATCGCAAAGCAAAATTCCCCCATTCAGACCATCGTTTTGCGATCGCAATTGTGATCGTAAAAAGATCATCATTAAGCGGATTCGTCGTAATGCAGGGCAATCGTAATGTGAGGCACCACTGTATAAATAATTAGGTTTTGCATTTATATTATCAAGGAATTCTTTCAAACCATTTGCTAAGTCGTTTATATACTGATGTTAAAATCATCCAATTCTTTGCTTCAGTGAATGACCCAAGATGACAATAGCAATAAAAAGGTGGCTTTCATTGCTATTCTCATAACAATAAACTATGGTTACAGGTATGATTACCTGTAACCATAGTTCTTCTAGTGGTTCTCTGTGAATTCACACAAATGGGTTGTTCTGCACCTGAGCTGAATGTCTCGGTCAATTCTAGAGCTTAAAAGTAAAAGATTAGTGGGATGTTCCCCCATGGAGCATATGCTCCGCCCACCCAAGATTCCCCTCAGTTCCTCAAAATTGTCCGCCGGGCAGTAAAATCATTTACCGTATTTTTCTGTGTATAAGATGCCCCCATGTATAATATGCCCCCCCCTTTTCTAACCCAAAACTAAGAAATCTAAGTGGGGCTTAGCAAGTGTAGGGGGAAAGGGATCAAAGTGCTGCGGGATCACTTTGATCCCTGCTTTCTCCCTTCGTGCTAAGCACTGCATAGCTTAGCAAAAGAAGGGGGAAAGCGATCAAAGCAATCCCGCAACTGCATGATCATTTTGATCCCTTTCCCCCTTATACAGCCATGGGATTGCTTTGATTCTTTTCTCCCTCCTTTGAGCCCCCCTTAGCACAACACAGATAAATGAAACTCCTAAGGGAAACAACAATATTAGAAACAGGATATAAAAACAAGAGAAAGGTAAATATAAAAATACTAATACTAATGTTAACTACTGAGCTAGTAATTCCTCTAAAAATATTTACACTATAGAATAGCTAGCAAAAACTATAATGAAAATGAAAGATCAACTGTGGAAAGCTTTCAGTTGCAAAAAAAAACCCCACTTGGGACACTGTTTAACATCCAATACAGATAAGCTCTTCAGGAGGAAAAAGTCTAACAGCTGATTATGGGTGACCCACTTCCTAATATCTGCTATCCAACAGCCCTGTGATTTCCCCTAAATTACTGAGCAAACAGGATTTTTCTGCATTTTCTTTAGTGAACTAGCTTAAATTAAGGTCTCAGCAAGATCAGTAAACAAATGAAATGCTGCTTGTAATCATTCTATGATAATTAAACAATAATCAATTACATGCTAGCATAAGGCGACAGCCCTATATAACTTTGGGAAAAAAGAAGAAAGAGCAAGGAGCTTCCCCCTAACTAGGGAATACATTCCAGCATGAAAATAAACAAGTTATATAATACAGCTTGGAAGTATGGAGACATCATGAAATGCAATGAAAAGGAAAAAGGAAAAGCCATAATTAAAGTATTTAGGCTGCAATTCTACTCCTACTTTCCTTAAAGTAAGACTGGATGATCTCATTAGGACTTGCTTCTGAGGTGACATGTGCAGAATTGTACTCTTAAAGAGCAGACATGGTCTAGAGGGGCGGGGTATAAATTTAATAAATAAGTAATAATAAATAAATATGTTTCAAGAAATCTTGTCAAAATCATCAGTGGATTTATATGTAGATCGAAAACAGCAGAAATATTTACTGAGACAGTTCCTTCCACAGACCACTAATCCACTGTTGATACATATTTACAAATCAGACAAGTTGAGCCCCAAATATAGGGGTATAAATTTAATAAATAAATAATAATAAATAAATATGTTTCAAGAAATCTTGTCAAAATCATCAGTGGATTTATATGTAGATCGAAAACAGCAGAAATATTTACTGAGACAGTTCCTTCCACAGACCACTAATCCACTGTTGATACATATTTACAAATCAGACAAGTTGAGCCCCAAATATACCACTATGGTCCATTGGTGTCTTATTACTTATTTTCTTCAGATATGTGCCATAAATTGTAGATAAATTTATTTTACTTCAGCACAAATTCTAATGTTCAAACTATTTAACATTCTCTCCTTGTTCACCTCTCAATAACACTTTGATATAGTCCGCAATTATCTTAACACTTGTGAAATAAGTCTACCTGCTGAATTCAAGGCCTTGCAAAGTTAATTTACAATTGAAGGTTAAAGCTCATCTTCACAACCAAGCTCAGCTTCAGCCTATCCACTATGCTTCAGCACTCTAAATACAGTAAAATTTCAGAACTACTTATTATGTTATTAATATATTATATGGCACGTGGCAATCCTTATTTCTAATATCACACTGAGAGAAATCTCGTATGTTTGCATCTCCATACAAATGGAAAGAAATGCATTTAACTGCAGATCCCTGATCTGATCATGAATTCAGGCCTTCCAAAGTCTGCTTCACCCGTCTCTACTCCACATCAGCACATCACTAGACTTTACTATTGGCTGAAATTCTGTTGACCTAAGTTTCACCATTCAGGCTAATGACTCAATCAGAAGTCCTGATTTTTCAAAAATTAACTATTTATTACCTCTATCTTTAAGTTCTTGTATAATCTCTTTCATTGTCAGGAAGCCATGGGAATTGCGGGATGGAAGGGGGAAGTCTTTAATTGCTGAAAGTCATTGCCACCAGCAAAGTCATCTCACTGCTGATAACATCATTAGCATTACACTAACAGGACTTCACCCATTATAGTAAGGTAGGGAACTAAATGCATGGATGGTGTTTCATTTTTAACAACACATAACGTATATGTCTGTGGTTAATACTACATGTTTCAGAGCTTTTCCCAAAGACAAATGCTGCTCAAAACTCACTGCTGACTATGATGGAAACAGCTTCCATTCAGGAACAGAGTTATCATACTTCCAAATATGAGCATATGAATACCATCCAAACCAATCCAATTTGCATCCAAATGTTTGCTGTACACGTCAGCACCAAAAGCTGGTCTGGAGGTGGCATGAACCAATTTGTTCTCAGGTTTATGCAGATATTTGTATGTTTGTATGTTTCAGGATTGGGGGCAGGGTTACTGCAAATGGGAAAATAAAGGGCTACAACCTGAGTGAAATTAGCTACCTGAAAGGAAAAGGGGAGATCATTCTTAAAATGCAACCTGTATAAGTAAGAAAAGTAGCATCCCTCCTTTGCCCTACCAATTTTAATGCTAAATTCCTGCTTGGTTGAGTGGACAGAAATATACAAAGACAGTGAGGGTGGTGTGAGTCCTCTATGAGGGTATCATGATTAGATTTTCCAAGGAAGGTTTCAACTTTCACTTTGGAACCTCATTTATTTGCTATATCAGCTTGTGTCAATCTCCCACCCCCCCAACTCAGCTAAAGATGACTAATGGCTTCTTGAAACCCCTCCAACTGATCCAAGAAATGCTTAAATATGCCTTCACCATCTTTATTTGGACCCTCTTCTCATAAGCTGGTGCACATTCCTACTTCCAAGCACTGTTTCCTCACACCAATCAAGCAAAAACTGACTTTTCAGGGTCAATGTTTCAGAAGAAGAGGCTACTAATAGTCAAGGAAAGTCCTGTATCCTCAACATTGTTTTTGCAAGTCAGGTATGTGGCAGTCTTGAAGAACAAGGCACATCACCTCCAATTGCAGAAATAAAGATCTAGAAATTCTGTACTGCAGCAAATCATTTAAGATGACCCTCACCTTTTGATATTGCTAGAATGGTATCACAGAAAAAGCAAACAGTAAAAATACTAAACTCTGCTGAATGAATGACTGGAAAAATGGAAGAAATAGCCAAGTATTGTGCTTCCAATCATAAATGTCTACAGGTACATGATGTGCAAAGTACTATTTTACTCACTTGTAGCACAGAAAATCTTAGATTCTATTTGACAAAATAATCACCAGTGAGTGTGCAAACAATCTGTAATGTGGTCGGAATGGTTAGTCAGAAAATCTGATTTCTTTGTTATTTGGATACTAAACAGCCTTCAATCCGGTAACTTAGATTAAACCTTTAAATGTGCAGATCCTTTAATTTTCACTGTTAAGTTGCTACTCTTCCTTTTATGCTAGACTTTCAGCACAACAATACATCCAGGATTCTACCATCTGCTTTGTAAATACTGTATGAACTTCACTAAAATCACAATAGTAGAATCTTTATAAAATATATTACATCTGAAAAAAGTACACTAAAATCTTACCCATCTCTTCCTTTGCTGACAATTTTAACTTCAAAATAGTATATTCCACAAGCAGCGGGTATAGGGTGGGTGGCTCGAACAGAAGCAGCATCTTTAGGAGTTTTCCCATGTCCTGAAAAATGCATTAAAAATACAGTTCAACGTATAATGCAATACTTAACAATATAAAAGACAGTATGTTTGTTTGTTTATTACACTTTTATATTGCATCAACTTGCCAGAAGCCACATTGAAATGAAACGACAATCCAATGAAACATACATGAAACATGGCACTGAGAAGATTCAGTTATTCTAATGGCCTCTTACTAGAAATCAAGATGAAATCTATTTGAAAAATGCTTCAAAAGAAAGGTGTGGCTATGTATATAATTAAAGAACTGGAAACAAAACTAATTTTTGCCTCAGACAACGGAAGGATATTAATGATGGAAATCCAAAGAGAATCAACGAAAATGTTAATTATTAATATTTATGTTCCAAATAGAAATAAAAACCATTTCTTTAAACAATTACAACTAGAACTAACAAAGATTATGATCATTATCGTGTGATAGGAGATTTTAATGCCGTTTTTGATGAAGAACTAGAAACAAAATCAGATGAAATAACAAAAATAAGAGAGAGGAACGATATCAAGAAATTTTCTACAATTGGCAGAAGAAGTAAATAACATAGATGCCTGGAGGATGTGTTTCCCAAAGACAAAAGATTATACTTTTTACTCTAATAGCCATAAATCGTGGTCAAGAATTGATGCATGTGGGATCTCAACAAGCCTAATGAAAGAATTGGAGCAAATAGATATTTTACCTAACACATTTGCAGACCACAGTCCCATTTCATTACAACTGGGTAGCAAATCCAGAGAATTTAATTAGAAGCTCAACATATTTAAAAAATGAGGAGTTTATAAAGCAAATAAAAAAAAGACATGGACTTCTTCTTCAAACAGAACATGAGGCCAGAAACACCAATGATAATGGTTTGGGAGGCAAGTAAGGCATTTTTTTGAGGAGCAGCCATAAGATTAGCATCAAAACAAAAAAGAAAAAGACAAAACAATAAAATAAAAGATGAACCACAGCTGGAAAAAAAATCCATCAAATACAGAACTGAAAGAGAAGATAAACTTAGTACAACACCAGATAAATATATTGCTCACTGAGGAAACTGCAAAGAAGCTTAAATCTGCAAAGCAATTTTTTTTTGAAAATGCAAGTAAGCCACGGAGATGGTTAGCATATACCGTATTTTTCGCTCCATAAGACGCACCTCTCCATAAGGTGCACCAAATTTTTAGAAGAAAACAGAAACAAAATAATCTGTTTTCTTCTCCTAAAAATTGGTGAGCCTTATGGAGAGGTCCGTCTTATGGAACACACACTAGGACCCTTTGGAGGCCCACCCAGCCCCCCCCACGGAGGCCAGA